GGACGCCAGGGTTGCCTCCAGACTTCGGCCGCTGTGAATGAAGCTGCTGTAAACACCCTTTTGCAGATTGCCGTGTGTGGACATAAGTTTTGAACTCAGTTGGGCATTTACCGTGGCATATAATTGCTGGATTGTATGATGAGTGTATGTTTAATTTTGTAGAAAGCCACCAAACTACCTTCCAAAGTCACAGGCACACCCTGACCATGTAGCTCAGTTGGCTAGAGCATTGTCCCCTGTACACCAAGGGTTGTGGGTTCGGGCCCCGGTCAGGGCACATGCAAGAATCGACCAGTGAATGCATGAGTAAGTGGGACAACAATCGATGTCTGTCTGTCTTTCTGTCTCTCCCTCACTTGCCCTTCCCTCTCCCCTTCCTTACTCTCCTGCCCTCTCCCATCTCTAAAATCAGTAATAAAAAAGCAGAGCCACGGCGCTGTTTTACCTCCTGCCAGCACCAAGCGAGTGTTCCTGTGCTCCAGGTCCTTGTCAGCACTTGGTGTTGTCAGGGCTCTGGGTTTCGACCATTCTGATAGGTGAACATATCTCACTCTTTTAGTTTGCATTTTCCCACTGACGTATGAAGTGGAGCATCTTTTAAAAATTTTTTAACTCATTGATTTGAGAGGGAGACATCGATTTGTTCCACTTATTTATGCATTCATTGCTTGATATATTTTTTTGAAGATTCCATCTATTTATTTTTAGAGAAAGTGGAAGGGAGGGAGGGAGGGAGAGAAACATGCGTGGGTAGTTGGCTCTCGTGCGCCCCCTGCTGGGGACCAGGCCTGCAGCCCGGGCCCGGCCCCGACTGTGAAGTGAGCCGGCTGCCCTTTCAGCCGCAGGCGGGCGCTTCATCTCCTGAGCCACACCCGCCCGGGCCCTGTTTGAGTCTTGTCTGTGCCCTGACCAGGATTTGGACCCACAGACGCTGCGGTATCGAGACGACGCTCTGAACAACAGAGCCGCCTGGCCAGGGCCCCGCTGGTCTGTTTGTTCTTCCACCAGCACCGCGTGGCCCTGGTGGCGGCGCCTCCCGGGGCGTCTGCAGGCCACGTGGTGCCCGGCGGCACTTGGCTCCTGTCCGTCATGTTGTGTTGGCTGTTCGGCTCTTTCCCGCCGCAGACAGTTTAAAATCAGCTGGTCGATAATCCACAAAGTCACTTGCTGCGATTGTGACTGGGCTTGCATGTGACCTAGAGGTCAGGCTGGGAAGAGCCGACATCTTGACTGTATTGAGTCTTCCTGTCCATGAACATGGGCTACCTTTTCATTCATTTAGTTCTTTAATCTTACTCATCACGAGTTGTGTAGTTTTCTTATAGGTCTTGTTCACGTTCAGTAAGGTTCGTTCTTAGGTGTTGTGCTTTTCTCGGTGCTAATGTAAACTGTGTTTTTAATTTAAAATTTCCCTTGTTCACACTTGGTATGTAGGGATGTGATTGATTTTCATACGTTGGCCTTGTGTCCTTTAACTTTGCTGTAATTGCTCATCAGTTCCAGGATTTTTTTTTTCTTTGAGATTTTCCACATAGGTGAGTGATCATGTTATCTAGGAACAAAAGATAGTTTTACTTCTTCTTTCTCAATATTTATACCTTTCATTCCCTTCTCTTGTCTTACTGTGTCAGGTAGCATGGGAGTGTGTTTATCTAATTGTGTTCGTGCTGTAAACCTAGCACCCAAATTCTAGCATCTGACACATCGTAGGCACTATAAATTTTTGAAAGAACAAAACACGGATGTTATGTCTCTTAATGCCTCTTAAATATTTTCATCTCGTATCAGCCTTACTTGTTCTTATTTATCTTATAGTCTATTAATTACGTATTTTGCTGTGTTCAGTCTGCTATGTTCAACTGTTGATTAAAAAAAAGAAAGAAAAACATCTTTTATTTCTTAAAAAACCCTGTGAGGGCTGACATCTGAAGGCCTTGCTGGCCCACCGCCCTGGGAGCCCGCTGGCCCGGCCCCCGGCGCCCGCCCGCTGTCCCCGCTGCGTGTCTGCTGACAAGGCAGCGTGCGGGGGGGCCCCGCCGGGCCGGCCCCGAGTAACGGCCACTCGCAGGGCGGCAGGGAGCCGGGCACATGGGCAGGTTGGCGACGCCGTGTTTCTAAGTTTTTCAATCACGGCTGATATACAGTGTCACGTTAGTTTCAGGTGTGCGGCACAGTGAGCAGATGTTTACATCCCCTGGGAAGTGACCCCCCTGCTAATAAGCCCCCCCCCATGGCTGTCCCACATCCTTGGCCGGGTTCCCTGTGCTGGCCTTCACCCCGTGGCTGCTGCTACAGCCGGCAGCGCCCACCCCGTCCCCCGTCCCCCGTCCCCCGCAGCTGGCAGTTACCACAGTGTTCGCTTCCCCGTGAGCTGTTTCTGTTTTCAAACATCGTATTTTCTTGGTTACATGACTGCCGTTGTCCCGTTTTCCCCCCTCTGCCCCCCTGCCCGCCGCCCCGCTCCCTCAGGCAGCCCCCCCACCGTTGTTCTCTCTGTGGGCTGTGCATCTAAGTTCTTGGGCTGCACCGTTGGTTTGTTTCTATTTCGTTTAGTTCTTTGGATTCCACATGCAAGTGTAGTCCTGTTGTGTGACTTACTTCACTGAGCATAATACCCCCTGGGTCCGCCTGTGTTGTCACCAACGGGAAGCTTTTGGTCTTTGTCGTGGCGAGTCACACCCACCGAACATGTGCACCGCGCGTCCCTTACCTGCTCGTCCGCTGACGGGCGCCTGGCCGCTCCCACAGCTCAGCCGCCGGAGCAGCGCCGCACTGGGCATGGGGTGCGTGTCCATCGGACTCCCTGTCTGGGTCTCTTCGGGTAAACACCCGAAAGTGGGGCCCCAGGTCATAAGGCAGTTCCATCTTCAACGTTTTGAGGACGCTCCACGCTGCTGTCCGGGGTGGCCGCCCCCGTCTGTGCCCCCCGCCTCCAGTGCTCGAGGGCCGCCTTCCTCCACTTCCTTGCCAGCCCCTGCTGTTGGTCTGTTGATGGGCGCCATTGTGACGGGTGTGAGGCGGTAGCTCATTGGGTCATTTGTGTTTCTCTGGCGACGGGCGACGCTGAGCACCCTTCTGTATGTCAACCGTCTGCAGGTCCCCTTTGGAGGAGAGTCTGCTCAGGCCCTCTGCCCATTTCTCAGGTCTGCCGTCCGTCTGGCTGGGGCTCGCCCACCGTGGCGCCCCCCACCCCCCATGTTCTTCCCCTCTGGGAGTTCTGCGTCCCGCACAGCTGGGGGACGGGCCTCCAGCGTCCTCGGGAGCAAAGCTGAGGAGCGGGCACGTGCCCGGCGCCGCTGTGCTGTCGTGGAGCGGCCCCCGCGCTCTGCGGGGCTCAGAGCACTCGCGCGCTCGCTGCCGCTGGTGCCTTCCGGTGCCTTGGGGGGGTCGTGCTCCTGTCCGCTGGCTGGCTCCACGCAGGCGGGACCGGCCCCTCTGCCTCGCCGTCAGAGTCGGTGCGAGCCAGGCCGCGCGCGCTCCTGTGTGTCCCAGGGCTGAGAGGCGGTCGGCGTGCCCCTGGGCTGGGACCGTCCTGCTCCGCTCCCTGTCCCCTCCAGCCGTCCCGCCCCCTCTGCTGCTCCTGTGGGAACCTCCCACGGGTGGCTGGCTCTGCAGCCCCTCCTGCTGGCCGCCGGGTGTACCCCCGCGACGCGGCGGGCAGTCCCCGGGCGGTGCTTTGCTGGAGAGCCGCCCTGCGCCTGCAGGCTGTCTGCCAGCGTCCGTGCCCCTCCCAGCATTTGTCAGTAGCAGCTCTCAAGTGGTGACAATCAGAAATGTGTCCAGGCAGGCTGGGTGTCCTTGGCGGGCCTGGCCGTCCCCAGATGGAGCTGCCGCCGACCTCCTGGCCCCCGGGGGCCTCACGCTCATCTCCGTGAGGTCCGGTGCTCCTGGTGCCCCTCCTCGGAGGGGCCTCCCAGGTGCTGTCCCTGGGCCTGCTTGGTGGGTGGCCCCCGCTGCTGTGGGGGCCTGCCTGTACCGTGTCTGGCTGCCCTTCGGGGTTTTGGCGCCCTCCCTGGGGACCGTAGCTGTGCCAGGAAGACCCCATGGGGACAGTGTAGCCGGAAGGTCGCTGCCGTGGGCCCAGGGCCGCGAGTGCATCGCAGGCCGTGTCGGGCTCCGCGCCGGCCCTCGGGGGCTTGGCTCGGGGTGCTGGCTCCGCCAGGGTTACGGCTGCTCCTGTCGTGGCCTGTGGCTTGGGCCTGGGCAGAGCTGGGTGGGGTCGGTGGCGTGCTGGCCAGGCCTGCGCCGGGGGTCGCGCCAGCTGCCGTCCCACTTCCTGACTCCTGGCCCCAGCATCAGATGGCGCTAGTGATGTGCTAGCATTGGAGCATCTGTTTCTTGTGGGTTTTTTTTTTAAAATTGTAGATTTTTATTTATTTTAGAGAGATGGGAAGGAAGGAAGAGAGAGTGAGAAGCATCCATCTGTTGCCTTTCATGTGCCCCCAACTGGGGATCTGGCCCGCAGCCCAGGCCTGTGCCCTGACTGGGAATTGAACCGGCGACCCTTTGGTTCGCAGGCTGGCGCTCAGCCCACTGAGCCACAGCAGCCAGGGGAGGAGCACCTGGTTTTAGACGTCGCTGCCGGGTGCCCTGTGCCCGTCACTGCACCTCCGCCGGGGAGACCGCCTCAGCGGTGACAGGCCTGCTCTGTGCGGGCTGCCTCCGGCGGGGGTACCGGGCAGGCGATGGCATCCCTTCTGGGGGCGATGAGGCGGACCGGGGGCCGTGTCCCCGCCCACGTGGCTGGGGGGCGCCCGACTGGGGTCTCCATGCTTGGCCTGTGTGCTCTCTCCCTTACAGGCTGCTGCCGTTCTTTCTTTCCAGCTTTATCGTTTTGTAGTTTTGTGTCATTTTTGTGGTATTTGAACTGTCTCCCGTGACATAAATCATTATACATCATAAATTGACTCAAAGAAAGCAAAACAAACCCACGGCACTGTGGAGGTGTGGGTGCACTTGTGTTAGGTTCTAAATGTAATGTTTCTCTCCCCCCCCAATAGTGTAGTGTTCTAAGAACGGAAGCACCCGGACTGAATGGAATTGAGCATCAGAAAAGGCCCTCTCTCCGTTCAGAAAGCTGTCAAACCCATGAGGATGAAGCAGGCCCCGGAAATCCTGGGCAGCGCCAGCGGGAAGGCGCCGGGCTGCGAGGTGAACCGCGAGTGCTCCGTGTTCCTCAGCAAAGCGCAGCTGTCGGCCAGCCTGCAGGACGGGGTCGTGCAGAAGTTCAACGGCCACGACGCGCTGCCCTTTCTCCCTGCGGAGAAGCTGAAGGACCTGACCTCCCGCGTGTTTAACGGGGAACCCGGTGCTCATGATGCCAAGCTGCGCTTCGAGTCCGCGGAGGTGAAGGGCGGGGGGACCCCGCCTAATACCAGCCCCATCAAAAACGGCTCTCCGGAAATCAAACTGAAAATCACCAAGACCTACATGAACGGAAAGCCTCTCTTTGAGTCTTCCATTTGCGGAGGCGGTGCTGCTGCTGCGTCCCCGTCAGAAGAAAATGGGCAAAAACCAGAAAATAAGGCGAGAAGGAGCCGGAAGAGGAGCATCAAATACGACTCCTTACTGGAGCAAGGCCTGGTGGGAGCCGCGCCGGCGCCAGAGGCCTCGAGCCCCTCCGACAAGAAGGTACCAGGGGTCGCTCTGCCCGGGTGGCAGCGCAGCGCGGGGGCCACGAGGAGGCGGCTGCTGCTCAGGGCTGGGGAGGGGGGCAGCCCCACCCCGAGGGGCCGTGGGGCGGGGCGGGGGGGGCCGGGCCACTCCAGGGCCCCTGTGCGGCCTCCTCTGGGCGCTCCGCACACTGCAAGGCCCAAAGAGGCCACCGACGTCCTCAAGGTCAGAGTGGCACAGAGTGGTCACACCGGTTTCTGAGCCCAGGTGTGGCCAGTCCCAGACTCTCCGGCTCTCCTGTTTCATGGTCTCGCCTTCAGAGATGTGCCATGGTCAGTGGAGGTGGCCGACACCCACCTGGGCCTCTCGGCTCTTCCCCGTCTGCGCCGTCTGAGGAGTGAGTGTGCGGAAGGAGGGCGCCTGCCCCCACCCCAGCAGCTGGCGGTCCCGCAGCATCTCTGCGGCCCGGGCTGTGCAGGGCCGGCCATCCTGTGGGCTGGGCTCTCCCCCGGCCCAGCTGCCGGTGCCCGGCGCTCGCGCCTCAGACCCTGGGTTGCGGGGCCCTCGCCCGGCCCGTTGGAGCGCTGTGTGTCCTCGCGGCCTCACAGGACTCGGGGGCCCCGCCTGAGTGGCTGTGCGCCCGTGAGGCAGCCAGGGAGCCTCAGCCGTGGTCGAAGGGGCGGGGGCGGCGGGGGCGCCACAGCCACCTCGCCCTCCCGGTGCTGGGCCGAGGGGCCAGGCCTTGCGGCCCCTGCGTGAGGGGGCAGGGACGCTGAGGCTGGTTGAGGTTGGTGTCATTACCGAGGTTGGAAAAGTCTGTTTAAAATTATCGTCGGGGAATTTTATTTACAATTTCCACAGATAGAGGAAACAGCCAAACTTTTCTTGAAATTATTAAAATAATGAAGACCTTAGAGGGTTTTAAAAATGCCTTTTTGAGTGCTCAGGGGCCGTTTAGGTCTTGTCAGTGTAATTATAGTGGTGAATTTCTAAACCGCCCAGGCGGGTGGGCGGTTCTGGAGCTGCCCCTGGGCATGGGGAACTCGCGTGGGGAAGAGGCCGGTGCAGGCCGGTGCAGGCGGCTCCCAGCCCCGCCACCTGGTTCGGCTGAAACAGGCGAATGCCCTGAGTTCTGACACCCCTCCTAAGGGGGGGCCCTGGCACCTGTGCTCGTGGGCTTGTCACGGGGCTGAGGTGACATGGCGGCGTGAGGCCGGCTGCTGCGGGGGGGGCCGGGGGACAGCCCCGTGCCCGCGCTGGCGCCGTGCGCGCCGAGCTCTGTGAGCGAGACCCTGCGGTTTGCACAAGGGCGAGGCCCGTGAGGCCCGAGTTCACACTCAGGAGGCGGCCAGGGCCGCGCTGGTGGCTTGTCCCCGGGGCAGAACGAGGTGTCGGGCCATGGGCGGCCCAGGTCGGGGCTTTGGCCTCTGAACCGCCTGTGTTCCACGGCAGGGAGACTGAGGTCCGGGACCCCAGGACTCTGGCCACGAGTGGGGGCTGGGACTTGCCGCCAGGCCTGCTGATGCCCTCGCCGCCCTGGGTTCTGCCGCCCCGGCCGAGGCGTGTGCTGGCGGAGGGGTTCCGGGGAGCTCTCTGACCAGCTGAGCCAAGCACCCCGACCTCCGGCCAGGCCGGCATGGACGCAGGCGCCCTCGTGGTGGCAGGAGGCGCATCCCCTGCAGGCGCCAGCCGGCCCCTTGGCTGCGGGCAGGGGAGGCGCCTTCTAGAGGGTGTGCTGGAGCTGTGGTCTGACCTCTGCGGGTGGCGGGGCGCGGCGCCCGTCTGGCTGCTGGACGGGCCTCGCGGACGTGGGGCTAGGCCCAGGGCGGTTCTGGGTGTGTCAGCATGTGTCTCCCGTGCATTTTCAGACTCCGGTGAAGACAGAGCCCTGTCCGGGCGCCGGCAGAGACAAGGACCGCCTGCTGAAGTACAGCGTCGGCGACCTCGTGTGGTCCAAGGTGTCCGGGTACCCCTGGTGGCCGTGCATGGTCTCTGCCGACCCGGTCCTGCACAGCTACACCAAGCTCAAAGGTACTGCCTCGGGCCCGCTGCTGTCCCTTCCCCACGGCCCTCAGCCTGGCCCCCTCCTGGCTCCTTTCTCACCTGTGGCTCCACCGCCTCCGCTCTCCCTTCTCGTGTGCTAAGGCGCGTACGGCGGGAAGTTTGCCGCCTTGCCTGTGTCTGAGGGCGCGGGGGAGCAGCGTCGAGCGCCTCCTGCTGCTGTGGCCTCGCCGCCTTCGTTTCCAGGGCTCTCGGAAGATGGACACCCTGCCTGTCCCCACGAAACACTCGCCAAATGTTCATGAGAAAAGTGAGGTCGCTTCGTGCTAGGTCATCACACACGCCCAGCAGGTTCCCTTCAGGGCGCAGAGGCTTTGACATGCGTCTGAGTCACTTTCATGGCCGAGGGCAGCCCTTCCAAGTATGGAAGAGCGAGGGCCGCGTGAGCCGCCCGCCGGGCTGCGCAGCGCAGCCAGTGTCAAACGGAAGGCGTGCGCAGGTGTAGACCCGCCCCGAGGCGGGCGGTGAGGACCCGCACCCTCCACTACCGAGGAGAAGCTCTTTCTAAGTCTTTCCACATTTCCTTGCAGTTTTAACTGCTGTTCTTTGATTTATTGTTTGGACATTTTCTGTTGACTTTTTATTAGGGAAAATGAAAATTGATCTCTTCCGTCATTTCCTATTTTCTCTCCTCCCACCTGCCCACGTAATTAACTCACTGTTTATATCAAACGTAAGTGCTTATGCAGTTTTGACCGTGTGTGACTGTCACTCAGAAAAAACCAGGTCGTGTGCTGTAATTATATTTTTTTTCTTATACAACTTTTTGTTTTTTCCTGGAGTTAATTTTGTTTTTCTTTCAAAATCATGTACTTGCCTGTCTGTACAGTCTTAATTTTTTTCAAGTATGCATTTCTTTGTCCTTAAAGTGTGTCTTGCCGCCCAGGCCAGGTGGTTCAGGTGCTCGGAGTGTCGTCCCGCACACCAGAAGGGTTACAGGTTCAGTCCCTGGTCTGGGCACGGGCCTAGGCCATGGGTTCTGCCCCCCTGAGAGCGCGTACAGGAGGCAGCCATGGCTGTTTCTCCCTTACGTCGATGTTTCTCGCCCCTCCTCGCTTCCTCTCTCTAAAGTGAATGAATCTATTATTTTTAGAGAACTTACTCTGTTACATAGTGGGCTTCTCCTGTTGGGGAAGAAATGAAACTTGTTGATTCCTGTTTTCCTTTCCCGCTCCTTGGACCGCACCTCTTTTTCTCTTGAGGTCTACTTTACGGCTCGGCTGCCGGCTGTCCGGTTTCTCCTCCCCTTTCTCCCCCTCCGCCCTGCACCGCCCCTCCCACCCGCGTCCCCCTCCCCCCTTGGTTCGCGTCCCGGGTCGTGCGTCTAAGCTCTTTGGCGTCTCCATTTTCTGGGCTGCTCTTAACCTCCCTGCCTGTTCTGTACCTGCCAGTTATGCTGCTTATCGCCCGCGTTTCCCCCCATTCTCGCCCCTCCCCCTCCATGTGATCTCCAGCCCTGTGACTCTGCTCCTGCTCTAGCTAGTGGCCTCGTTTGTGTTTGGTTTTGCGTTGGGTTCAGTCGTTGATGGCCGTGAGTTGGTTGTCGGTTTGCCTTGGACCGCACCCGCCCGCTGCGCTCCTCGCTGCCCAGAGCCCCCCGTGGGGGGAGCGCCCTGCGAGCACTGCCCCCCAGGCTGCGACCCAGCCGCACCCTCGGGCTCCGCGTCCCCTGCTGTGGGCGCGGTCGGCCCGTTCTGCCGGGGCGCGCTTTGGCGCTCCGAGGAAGTGTGCGCGGCACGGGGGTCGCGTCCCTGTGGCTCGGAGGGGCTGCCTCTGCCCCGTCCCGCCTGACCGCCGGGTGCGGCCGGGCGTCGAGTCCTGTGTTGGGAATCGTTTTCCTCAGACGTGTCAGGGGGCACGTCCCGTCCCACCGGTGCCCAGAGTCACCCTGGGGGCTCCCTGACAGGTTGCCTGGCGTCTGTCAGCCCCTTGCCAGTGGCCCGAGTGTCACACGGCGCCCTGGTGTGGGGTCGGGGACGCCCGGGGCGTGTGCCTGTGTCGCTGGGCAGGTTTCCCTGTCCCTCCCGCTCGGGCTGCTCGGGCCTGGGCCTGGGCCTGGGCCTCCCGACGGGGCCTGTGGTTGCCTTGTGGCGGCAGGTGTTCTTCATCCTGGTTTCTTCTTTCTGGGAGACTTTTTTACTTAGCTTCTAAGGCTTTTAATTGAATTTCATTTTCATGACGGTACTAAAAAACACTTTTTTTTTTTAAAAAGATTTGATTTATTTTTAGAGAGGGGGCTGGGGGAGAAAGAGGCGGACGCGTCGATGTGACAGAGACATCGGTCCGTGGCCTCTCACCCAGGCCCCTGCCGGCCTGGGAGGGGCTGGCGACCTTCCGCTTTGTAGAGACGCCCAGCCCGCGGCGGCACGCCCGTCAGGGACCCACTTCAACGCTTTCAAAGCTCGCTCTTTGTTCTCCTCCCGTGGCGTGGCGTGGCGTGGCGTGGCGTGGCACGGTGCAGGCTGTCTCCGTTGGGCGTGGTCCCCTGCCGTGCCTGCGGCCTGTGCGCGCTGTTGGTCTGCGGTGGCTCGTGTCCGAGGGAGCAGGGTCTGAGTGGCCCGCGGGCGCGTCAGCTTCTCTAGAGGGTTTGGCTGGCTGTCGGCGGCTGCGTCGTGGGGCCTCCCACGGCGTCTCGTGACTTCTCGGGCCGGTGTCCTGTGGGAGGGAAGGGACTCGGTTCCCTGAAGGAGGCCCCTTTCTCCCCACTGGCGCAGAGGCCTGACCTCGGAGCCGACGTCCTCACTTCACTCTCCTTCCGCCGCGGCCTCAGCCCAACCCCTCTCCTGGGCCTTGGGACCAGGGGTCCCTTCCCTCGCCCGGGCCCGTCGGGCTGCTGGCAGGGTGGCTTCTCGGCCGGGAGCCGCAGCCGTGGGCGCCTCGGGACCTCCCTGCCCACACGGTCGCCCGCACGGGCCCCAGGCTCTGCAGCGAGTGGCTGGTAGGGCTGCCGACGCGTCGGTGCTGCGACGGGCCTTGCCCCCAGGCTGCCTGACCCCAGCCGGCCCCGCTTCCTGCGGCTTGGTCCCCTCGGTGGAGCGGCCCTTCCGTGGTGTCCTCTCTGGGCTTCGCTGTCTGGAGTCTTTCTCAGTGAACCTGGGAAGGGGGAGGGGAGACGGAGGTGCGGCTCAGGCCGCTTTCTTTCCCAGGCGGCCCTGAGCACCGCCTGGCCGTCCTTCCGCGGCCTGGACGGGGACGAGGGGCAGGGGAGGCCAGGGGTGGCGCTCGGTGCGTGCCTGCCCGGTCCGCCCCGAACTCCGACTGCCCGTCCTGACGTTGTGTGTTAAAAACCAGGTCAGAAAAAGAGCGCACGCCAGTACCACGTCCAGTTCTTCGGTGACGCCCCTGAGAGAGCTTGGATATTCGAGAAGAGCCTGGTGGCCTTTGAAGGAGAAGGACAGTTTGAGCAGCTGTGCCAGGAGAGCGCCCGGCAGGCGCCCACGAAAGCCGAGAAAATCAAGGTGACGGGCGCCCCTTAGGTCCCGCTCTGCACCCCGAGTCTGATTTCTGTGCTGGGTGACGGTTTCTTCTCGCTCATGGGATGACTCCCAGATGTCGTTTGCTTCATAATTTTTACTTTCCTTTATGAGTGTGTGAGTGGTGATGCTGTGTGTGATGTGTGCCGTGTGTGTGTGTATTTACGTTAGGTAAACGTGATTAAAATGTATTTCTAGCTTAAAGAAACTTTTACTGGGCTGAACTCTCACGTAAAACCCTTAGGTTAATTGGGTTTTATATTTTTGATTTTTCAATTTATATGAAATTCTAAAAGTGTCCTTTAAAGCGGGTTGACTTGTGTGTTACAGTGAAACTCACAGTGTCCCGTGCCCTCTTTGCAGCTGCTGAAGCCTGTTTCAGGGAAGCTGAGGGCGCAGTGGGGGATGGGCCTGCTCCAGGCCATGGAGGCTGCCGCCATGACCGTGGAGGAGCGGAAAGCCAAGTTCACCTTCCTCTACGTGGGGGGCCAGCTCCGCCTGAACCCGCACGTGGCCAAGGATGCGGGCGTCGCGGGGGAGGCGCCGGGGCCCGTGGGAGCCACTGGAGACACTGCTGGCACCCCCAGGCCGCGGAGAGAAGAGGGCGTCTCTGTGAAGAGGAGGCGGAGAGCCAGGCTGGCTCGCCCTGCCCCGGGCCGGGACGGCAGCCCCGAGGCAGAGCCGGCGACTCCGAAGGGGGCCGAGGCCGACCCCCGGAGAGGAGCGGGCTCGCTCCCCGGGAGGAAGAAGGCTGCGGCCGCCACGCCGCGGAGCCGGAAGGGGGACGCGGCGTCCCAGTTCCTGGTCTTCTGTCAAAAGCACCGGGACGAGGTGGGTGCTGCGCGGTCTGGGGCGGTCCTCCCTCCCCCCGGGGAGCGTGTGTGTCTGAGGCGCCATCTCCAGGGCGCCCTGTGCCGGTTCAGACCTCACGAGCGGCGGTCGTCACTGCTGTCTTCCCCTCGCGGGGCGAGGAGCCTGGTGCTCGGCTCTGGTGCGGGGCGCGGGGCCCCAGGGGCGGTGCTGGTGCTGCGGCTGGGCCCACGCTGACCACCCGCCTCCACGACACTGCACGGGACAGCAGCGTGTCAGCGGTGCAGACCTGCGTTCGTGGGGCACGGGATCTGTTAGTCGTGACGGCCTGACTCCCTGGGGCTGAGGGGTCGGTTTTGCTCACCGCTCCAGTGCAGGCTGGGGCAGGCGTCTCTCGGGGGTGCGAGAGGCACCCCGTCAGAGGCCTGGCATCGCGGTTTGCTGTCGCAGATTCTGCGCGCGCCCCGGCAGGTGGAGAGAAGGCGCGTGACGTGCTCCCTGCTCTTTGAAATGCAGTTAGCGGCCCGCGACGAGGCGCGGGCTTCCCCGGTTTGTTTGAGGCCCCTGTCAGGCTCCCAGCAAGCATCGCACTTAGGACCACAGCCTCAGAAGCATTCTCTTCAAAATGAAGAAGGCAGGGTGCCCATCCTGGCGCCTCTCGCTGGAAGTATTGCAGTGAAAGTCTTAGCCAGTGCTGTAAGGCAAGGAAAACCAAAAAGGCGCATTTGTAAAGGAGGAAAGGGCTGATGTTGTCTGCAGAGGTCTGTGTAGAAAACCCGGAGATTCTACAGAAAACCTGCAGAATTAGTCTGAGTTCATCAGAACTGCTGGGCATGAGACAGAGTATAACCACAGGAACAGAGGAAATGCCGAATTAAAAAGGTGCCATTTCTGACACGGTAGCAGTACAAGGTACCGAGGCATGAACGTGACGAAACGTGTGTGACTCTGGAGAAAGATGACTCTGACAGGGCGGCAGGCTGGGGGGCCAAGGCCGCACCCCACGTGTCGCGGACACTGCGGGCAGTGGGGAGCCCAGGGTGGGCGTGCGCGTGCGGGAGCGGCCGGGCGGGGGCTTGGGGCAGCGCGGGGCCACGTGGGCGGCGGCCCCCTGCGGCCCCTGCGGGACGCGGCTGTCACGTTGGGGGGGGGGGGGGGTTCTTTAAGCCACGCCGGTCACCTCCCGTGGAGGGACTCCGCCACAGCGAAGACGTGCGTGCCCGGGACGGCACACGAGCCCCGTGGACAGGGGCCCTGGGCCGGCAGCCCACACAGTCCCACAGGAGGGGCCGTGAAGACGGCCACGTACAGAAGGGCCCGGACGGCCCACGCGCCCACGGGGAGGGGCCTCCGGGGGCTGCGTCCCAGCCCCCGCGGGTGGCTGCCCCGCAACGTGCCCACCCAGCGCCCTTCCGCTCAGCTCTTGCAGAGCCCGCGGGGCACGGTTTGCTGCTGCCGGTGCCACGCCGATGGCAGAAGCAAGCTGCGGCGCGCAGGGCGGCGTCCGCTCCAGAGCGAGCCTGCCCACCCTGCTGGCCAGGAAGGAGCGACTCTCGGGCTGTCCTTTCACGGCTGCAGCGACGTGCGGCACCGAGGCTGTGCCACAGTTCTGAACGGGGACTGGGGCGGCGGCGCCCATGCCCGCCCTGCTGCGCAGTCCGGCTTCTCGAGGCCGTCGTTTCCTTGTGGGGGTGGGGGCCCACTGCCCCACGGGTGCTTCCAGGCGGCTCTCAGTTGACGGCCAGCGTGAGAGACGGCGCTGGGTGGGCGTCCCCCTGCCTGCTGGCCTGCTTTTCCAGGGCCACTTGTTAGGGGACAGTGACAGACAGGACACGGGGTTGCCGCTGGCCGAGGCCCCTTCCTGCCGCCTCCTTGTGAGTGGGGAGCGCGCTGGCTGCTGGGGACGGGCTGTGCCTGGCGCCGGTGCTTGCGTGTTCGTCGGTGCGACGGGCTGGGTCCAGTGCACGGCGCACGCGTGATGCCCGGGCCCGGGAACGGGGCTGGGTGGCGGTCAGGGTGGTAGCAGTGGGGGCGTCCCCACGAGAGGCCGGGTCTCTGCGGACCGTCCCGGAGGTGGCCGCGCAGTAGCGATTCAGTAGGTGTTAGTGCTGCGAGGCTGCGTTTTCTGCTTTTGGAGGGTCTTTCCTGCCTCCCCGAACCTCGCGTTTCCAGGGCCAGCGGTGCTTTCAGCCTGCCCTTCACAGGCACATTCGCGCCAGTTAGTTAGTTACCCGAAGGCGTGAAACTCACCTCGAGACATTGTGGCTTCAGACGAAGGCGCGTGTTGTGCGTCTCGCAGAACCTGCGGGTCAGGAATTTGAGAGCAGCCCGTGGTGGGTTAGGGCTGGGCCAGGGGCAGGGGTTCCTCCCGGGTGCCGCCTCGTTGCTGGAAGGCAGCCTGTGCGCTGGCTGCTGGAGTCCCTGCCACACCGGGTGACCCGCGCAGCACACGTGACCCGGGGAGGGCGGGTGGAGGCTTGTCTGCCGCAGGCTGGGGAGGCAGAGGCACTGTTTCCACACCTGCCCGCTGCTCAGGTGGGGTCCCAGCACTGGCATCTGGGGCCAGCACCTCCGTGCGCACCCACAGGTGTGGGGCCAGCGAGACAGCAGGCCCAGACGTCACTCCATGTCCCGAGGTCACGTTTCCAGGGGACTTTGTACAACTGGCTTTTCTAGGAAGCTCAGGCAACCATAACTTCCTAGTTACTTAGTGATTTTGGAAGCGTGTGTTCCGTCTCACGTGTGTCATTTCCTGTGTCTGTGTGATGCGCTGGGCCCGTTGGCTCCGGTCTCCGGCGCACGGACGAGCCTCGCCAGCGTCTGCGTCGTTTGAGCCTGGGCTCTCCTTGGAGCTTCGGCGGTACCCGGTCTGCGGCGTGGGAATGCAGAGGCCCTGTGGGTCCTGAAGGGCCTTGCTTGGCCCTGGGGCGAAGCTCAAGAGTGTGGCCTCTCACCTCTACCTGTGCTGTGCTCTCAGGTGGTGGCCGAGCACCCGGACGCCTCGGGGGAGGAGATCGAGGAGCTGCTGGGGTCCCAGTGGAACATGCTCAGCGAGAAGCAGAAGGCCCGCTACCACACCAAGTTCGCCGTCCTGGCCATGGCCCCCTCCGAAGAGGACGCTGCTGGTGAGGCCGGCGTGGGGTGTGCCCAGCGCACGGGGTCAGGGGCACCTCTGCGGGCTGCGTGTCCTCACTCAGTGTCCTGAGAGCTGTTCCTTGCGATCCATCTGGCCTGCAGCTCCCTCCCTCCTATGCCTGAGTGGACCAGCAGGGCCAGACGCCAGGCCCGGGTCCCGGGGAGGCTACGTGAGCCCCTGGCCGGCCAGCAGGTGGGGCTCAGGCCCCGGCGGGGGCCTCCGTGGCCTGTCGGCGAGCTTGCAGCGTGGGGGGGTGGGCCTCACGTGCGGGTGTCCTCCGGCCCTTCCTCAGCCTTTGCTCCGTACGCTCCGGAGAGAGCGTGGAGCCCGTGTTGTCCACGTGCTGGCCACGTTGAGAAAATGGACATTTTAAAAACATTTTATTTATTTACTTTTAGAGGGGGAAGGAGGGAGAAAGAGAGGGAGAGAAACATCGATGTGAGAGAGACATCAGTCCCTCGCCTCACTGTGCGCCCCGCTGGGAACTGCCCCGCAGCCAGGCTGTGCGCCCCGACCAGGGGTGGAACGAGCGACCGTTCCCTTTGCAGGACGACACCCAGCCGACCGAGCCACACGGTCAGGGTGAAAACTGACTTTTTAAATGTAAAAGCAAGAGTGACATTTGGGTGTCAGTTTAAAATACAAAAAAAGCAAAACAAAATGAAAAATACTGTTGCCAGTGTGGCTCACTCGGTTGGAGCGCCATCCCGTGCATCCAGATGTTGCCAGTCCAGTTCCCCGTCAGGGCACGCGCCTGGGTCGCCGGCTCGACTCCCCCTCGGGGGCCTCTAGGGGAGGCGACCGACTGACGCTTCATAGATCGATGTCTCTCTCTCTGTCTCTCTGTGTCTCTCCGTCTCACTCCAAAGTCAGCAAACACTTTTAAAAACTAAAAAATAATAACAAGTCCTGCACCTCTCAAGGTTCACTGTTGAAGGGTCTTGGAGAGGCTGAATATAAGTGTGTCCAGAGCCCTCAGAGGGAGGGTGGGTGCGGAGCTGCGCAGGCGGCCGAGTGCGTGCCCGCCGTGGCGAGCCCGCTCCGGACAGCTCGTCTGTCGTGATGTTTGGGGCTTTCCGGGCTGCCTGCGCCATCTCACCACATCAGGACGGAGTTCGGCTCATCTGTCCAGTGTTCACTGCGAACACCGGGATTCAGAGTTGCGGGGATATTTAGGATCTGGGCGTTTTCTTCAAGAGGCGGGAGCTCGGGCAGCCTCCTGAGTGCACCAGGCCCAGCAGGTGCCCTGCTCAGCCTGCGGCTCGGTTAAGGGCCTGTGGGGTCCGCCTTCAGCCGGACCCTGCCCGCCCGTGAGGAGGGCATGTGGCAGGGACTGTGCCGCACTGAGCTGTTTCGGGCGGCCAGTGGATGCCTAGCAGACAGGAGGGGCAGGCCAGCCCCCCCCCCCCCCCGCCGTGGGCTTCAGGTGCGCGTTCATCCCTGGAGGCCCTTCAGCCCCCCTAACAGGGACCCCCTGCACTTAGGACCAAGATGGGGGGCACGTCCATGGTTTCGGCCCCCGATGGTCTGTCTCAGCACAGGAGTTCAGACAGGGCCCCGCTGATGTTTTCATGAGAAGCGGCAGCTGCCTCCTATGTCAGGGGCCGGGGCGCGGGGGGGCCGCTGTCCGGCTGGCTGTGCAGGGGCCGAGCAGGCCCCGCTGCCTGCCGGCCTCAGCCCTCCTCCCGGGACGTGGCCGGGGCGGGGCTCGGTGGGCCGCTCAGTGGGCTGGCCTCCAGCAGGCCGGCCGGGCAGCCCCACCGGCCAGCGCCCTGCCCCGGCCCTGGGCACCGCTGGACGTCACGGCTGGCTGTGAGCCCTGCACCACCCGGGCTTCCGGGTCCAGGGCGGTGCTGCCCTCCCACGGGGAGTCGGACCCGTCCAGGCACGAGCCCTGGACCACATGGAGAGGGCGGGTTAGGGCTGCGGTGGACGCCAGCGTGCGGGTGGGCCCTCCGCCTGTGTGGACGCCCGACGTCCGGGCCGCCTGGTGTTATTCCGGGGTCAACCGCGCGGCACAGGGAAGCGGGGGGTGCAGCCCTGAAGTTGCTCCTCAGGATGCTCCTGTAAAGAAATGTATAAAGCATAGCATGTTGGGTATTTGTTAAAGTACAACTTAAATTCCACTATTGTTCGAATGTTAGTAAGTAAAGGATTTTTGAGAAAACACTGGATCACATTTGAATGTAATGCTCTACAATGTTAGGGTGCACTTAGCGCAGACACTGCCCACCAGCCCTGGGGTTAGGTCAGGCCTCCCGGGGTGCGACGTCGCAGATGCCGAGGCTGGGGCTGCTCTGCACGGCCGTGGGGCTCACTCATGTGAGTCTCCCCGCCCCACCCCTAGGCTACCTACATGGGAGGAAAAGGACCCACCCGAAGAGGGCACAGGACCCTGCAGGGGACTCGGAAGTTGAGGACGTGCCCAGGAAAAGACTCAGGACGGACAAGCACGGTCTTCGGAAGGTAATGACATCTGGGTCGGCCTGGCTGGGGGTGGGGGGGGGGCCCGCGCCGTGGGAGCCGTGGAGCCGTGGAGCCATGGGAGCCGCGGAGCCGCAGGGTGCCTGACCCCTGGGTGCAGGGGGCGGAGGCAGCCCTCCCGCGTTCCCGGGCCTGGGGGGCTCGCCTTCCTCGTGGCCCCTCGGAGAAGGCTGCTGCGGAGAGCGGTGCTCGCCTGCCTGGGCCTTCGGCACAAGCTCCGGAGACCTGGCTGCCAAAGAGAACATGCCCCCGCCCCCAACAACACCCGACATTCTGGCCCACAGGCCTCGTGGGAAAACGATCCTCGCCTCAAGGCCTTGCAGCTCGGGCGCAGAGCATGCTGCCGTGACCGCGCCGGCGTCCGTGCCTGGCGCCCTCGGGCGCACGGGCTCCGCGGGCCTTTCGCTGTGGTGGGGCCTCGAGGCGTCTGATAGGAGCCCCGAGTGGCTGCTCAGGCCTGTTGGCTACAGCAGGGACGGTGGCTGCAGGCGCCCCACGGCCAGGGGGCAGCGCGTGCTGGGGCCTGCAGGAGACGGACGTTGGCCGAGGCCCCGTGGCCAAGGGGGCCGTGGCCAGTGCTGCCCTGCGGGGCTCCCGCTGGGGGTGCGGGCTGTTCGCGTGACCCGGCCGTCCCGCAGACGCTGCTGGGGACAGAGCACCCCCGTGGGGCTGGTAGTGTCCAGTGGTGGCGCCAACTGAGGGCCGGAGCGTGGTGGTCTGGAGAGCGCTGGGCTTTTGCTGAGGAACCTCAGCAAGTTGCTCTTTCATTGTTCTGCTCTGCTTTGGAGAATGGAAGATAAATGTCACACGCTGCTAAGGTGGACACGGTGGCCCCGCATCGCCATCTCATTTCTTTAAGCCCACGTTTGCAGCTCAGGGGAACGGGCCGGCCCTGCCCCATGTGCCTGGCCCGCAGACGGCGCCTCCAGCCACCTCTGGGGGCAGGTGAGCGCACCCTGCAAGTGAGCTGGCGCAGGTGCCGTCTGCGCCTCGGTGCCCGCTGCCGGTGGCCCTCACTGCCGCAGTCGCCCTGAAGTGCGGCGCAGGTGCGCCCAGGACCGCGGTTCCGGCGTTGGGGTTCCAGCGTTCACGTCAGGCAGTGGGCGGCGTGCTGCAGTGACGGGGGCCAGGGGGCAGCGTTCGGTCCACGGTGCCTGCTCGGGCGCGGTGTCCAGGCTCTGTCCCTTCCGTGGGCAGCTGCTGTCCTCCCCGGCACGGGCACGCTTGTCCACGGTCCTGGTGCTGCCCCAGCGTCCTGTCCTCGGCCCCTTCCTGGGGGGCAGGGCGGGGGGGCCCTGGGGCGTTGGTCGCGGTGCCCGGGCGTGTTCTCAGCTGTGCTGCCCCAGCCTGGAGCGCTGGATGCACGCTCGCAGGGCCGCGCCCCTGCTGCGTCCTCGGCTGTGAGGCCGCTGCGGTGGTGGTCTGGGGGCGGGGCTTGCCTGGCACGAGTCTGCGCACCTGCAGCCTCCGCGTGTGTTTGCGGCGATGCCACCCTGGCTTCACCTGGCGCCACTTTTGCGCTCGGGCGGCTTGGGGAGGGGCTCTGCCCCCTTGTCCACAGGCCACGTGCGTCCATGGGGACGTCGGGGCAGCCTGCTGAGAGCTCCTGGTCCGGCCAGGCGTGGCGAGGCCCTGGCAGTGCGGGAGCTGGCGGGGCCCACGAGAGCCACTCTGTCCCAGCCTCTGGGGCCGCTGTGCGCGGTCGCGCCGGGAGGCTGTTTCCTTTCTCCTCTTCTTCCGTAGTATCTTCCTGTGTTTTATTTGTTTGTTTGTTTGTTTTTAAACAACAGAGAGAGCCCTTCGCTGAGAAGTCGTCCCGGACAGGCCCCTGCAAGGCCACAGGGGCGGCCCCCTCCCCCAAGGGCCAGGCAGGTAACGTGGCCACACCTCCCATGGGCCCCCAGCATGTGTCCAGGGCTGAGGGTGTGGGGGGCGGGACCCCCAGAGGCCACATGTCCTGGGGAGAGGGGCAGGGTCTGGTGCCAGGCAGCTCCGTGCACGTGGGCAGCAGCTGTCCCCATCCCCAGCTGTCGGAGCGACTCGGCTGCGCGTTACGACAGCCACTGTGCTGACCCCCGCGTGGCCATTCTCTGCCCAGAGTAGAGCTGTGGGCCCTGGCTGGGGCGCAGCTGGGGAGCGCGCCACCCCCACACGCCAAGGCTGCGTCGGGGCACGTGTGAGAAGCAAACCAGTGAATGCGCCAAGAAGTGGAACAGATCCATGCATCTCTCCCTTTCTAAAATCAGTAAATAAATAAATAAGTCACTAGGTGAAAAGTAGACTGACTGCTGGAGAAGGACTCAGACCGCGGGGCCCAGTCCCCTGCGCGGAGGTGCTGGTTGTCGCTGTAGACGCCCCGCCCCCTGGCGCCTGAGCCTCCGCCTGCACGTGAGCCAGGTGCAGCCGTGCCTCGCGGCTTCTGTCTCACATGTTCAGCAGATGAGCTTGGAGCGTTTGTGGGGAGACGCTGTCAGGCCGGTGAAAGGCGGACGCCTTGGGTGTTGTCTGATGGGTCCTTCTGGCCACTTGGTGAGGAGCTGCCACCTGCAGCGCCTGCGCAGGAAGGGAAGTGGAGCTCAGGGAGGGAGAGCAAGGGAGGACCAGGCATGGCTCTGGCGTCCTTCGGTTACCAGAGGTGCAGAGGTGGTTTTTAAAAATCAGCGAAAGGCTCTTAAAAACAAGATTCGTGAACAGTTTGAGCACTGAGTGGGTGTTTACCGACGTAAAGGGATGGTAACTTTTCGGTGCCGCAGTGGGGCTGTGGGCATGTTTGGGCCGCAGGCCTCAGGGACGCACACGAACCTGTCTGCGGCAGAACGGCGTGCCTGGGTTCTGCGTGGAGGCCTGGCCCGGTGGTTGTGGGGGGCCGCGCGGGGGGCCAGTGCGGCTCACTGCGCAGTCCCTGCCCTTGTCTGCGCCCAGGCCGCCCACAGTGAAACGGAGGCCCGTGGCACGGCCCCGGAGCCGTCTGCAGAACTTCTCCAATTAAAGCAGGAAGGACATGGAGGGTGTGGAATTCCAACCTGTACTTTATAAACCAACTTATTTTGCAGCAACGAAACACCTGTCTGATGCGTGCAAGCCCCTGAAGAAGCGAAACCGGGCGTCCACGGCAGCGTCCTCGGCTCTTGCGTTCAGCAAGAGCGCCTCTCCGTCTGCGTCCCTAACTGAGAACGAGGTAAAGTAGCAGTAGTGCTGGCGGCCGTGGCCCCGCGCGGAGGCCCTCGTGGGCCGGGCCGGGCTCCGCCGCGCGGCCTGCCGCTCTCCGCAAACGCAGGCGAGGCCCAGGCTCTCCAAACTGTGCACACGCCTGGCGCGGAAAGAAGCCCCTCCCTTAGCCTAGCCGAGCACCTGAAGCGGCGGGACCGCCCGCGTGTGCGGGAGTGTGCGTGTGCCCGCTGCAGGCCGGCGCGGCCGCTGTCTCCGAGGCCTCTGCGCCACCGGCGAGAGCGGCCCGCTGGGCCCGGCGTGACGCCATCAATGGGCCGGCCGCGTTCACTGCGTGGTCGCCCCAGGGGACACGGGCTGGGACACGTGCTCTTGCAACTGCTGTGGCTTCTGGACCAGGCTCACGGAGGGACGTGGCTGCGGGTCTGCGGCCCTCGTCCTTCAGACTCGGGCGCGCTCTTAGGTGCCTGCGCGCGGAGGTGAGGCAGCCCCGCCACGGCAGGGACTCCTGTCGCCTGGGCTTGTGCAGCGCCCGAGGCCGTGGCTGTCGCTCTGTCACGGCACCTCGACTCCGTCAGCAGACCTCAAGTCTTTGCCGCACGAGGAGCAAAACAAGAAGTAGCCCCAGATGGCAGATGCGGCCCTTCCTTGTCCTGAGGGGCTGGGGCTCTGGACTTCGGCGGCTTCCCCAGGAGCTCCCTCCCCTTTCAACTCCTTCCTGTTTGTCCTGTGACTCCCTTTGCCCAGTGTGGACAGGGGTCCTGTTTCTAGACTGTTAACGAGGAGGTGCTAACCTTGGGCTTTTTCGGCGCAGGACGGGGGCAGGGAGTGGGCGCCCTTTTGGGTTAGAAGGCGGCACTTCTGCCCTGTCTCTGCCACAGTCCCCAGTGGGACAGGCGTCCTGCTCTCTGCCAGGCTCAGTTCTCCCTCGTTAGATGAGGAGCAGGCCTCCAGCGTGAGGGTCTTCGGGCACAGAGGTCAGAGGGGCCTGAGCTCACTGCCCAGGGCCTCGGGGCTGCAAACACGGAGCGCTCCCTGGGGGCTTCCTCGGGGACCCTGGCCGGCTTGGCCGCGGGAGCAGCTGTTTGAGTGTGTGGGGCGGGGGCTCCCTGGCGGTCAACGTGTGTGGGTGGCCTCAGGCATGCCCGGGGGCACGGGGAGAGCTGTTCCCCAGCCTCTGGAGCTGACTGAGCCGTGGAAAGGCACGTCCTCCACAAAAGCTTTTCCTTTTCCTTGTCATAAAGAACTGAATGGAAAGGCGGCCTGCAGTTCTGCGTGCGAACACTCCAAATAAAAGGTTTCGGTTCCGTGGACCCTCCTGGTTAAGTTGGCTTTTCAATGACTCTTCCCGCAGCGCCACGTTCGGGGCCCGCGTGCCGTGGAGCTTCCCTCGCGCTCTCGCCAGCACAGGCGACAGGGAAGCCTGGAGCTGCTCAGGCCCCGCTGGGCCCCGCTCCGGGCTGCGTGTGGGCGCGGGCAGCACCCCTGGGCGGGCCTGGCCTGGCAGGCACAGAGACAGGCGTGGCCGACGAGCCTGGGAGCCTGGCGCCCGCTTTAACCGGGGCGAGCTGGACCGCGCGGCCTGAACCTGGGAAGCGTTTCACGGTTAGACTGGGGAGGCTGCCGGCGCTTTGACTTGGGAGGCGGACGAGCGGTTAGGCAGGCTGGCGGCGGGCGCGGCACGGCTCCCTGCGCTCGGATGCCGGTGCGCAGACCGCAGCGTGCGGCCTGCCTCTGGCCGGGAGCACGAGCGCCCGAGGCCCTCCCCGTGGGCCGCTCTCCGCGGCTGGCCCGCGCCGCTGGGGCGCATGTCCGCGGAAGGGCGCTCTTCCTGAGGACCCCGCAGGAGGACAGGGTGGCCTGCCCACGGTGTGTTGCAGAACCACACACCGCACGAGTCCCAGCGTGGGCTGCACCAAGGGCCCAGGGGCTCGGGGAGGGGGGCAGCGTGCGCGGGTAGGAGCCCCTGCCGCCTGCGGGGCCGCCACCGATGGAGCGTGAGGCTGCGGACGTGCCGTCCGGACTTCAGACCGGCCCTCGTGCGGGCCGCTTGCCCTTTGCATGTGTGTGTTTCTCCTTCCGTCACCCTGGGTCCCGCTAAGGAAACAAATAGGGTTAGAATTTCAAGACGTTTTACGTCATTTTGGTTTAAGTCTTTCTCAGAAAGGGTACATGCACTAAACAAAACCTACGGTAGAACCCTCATTGCGTAGTCACCCTCGTGAAGACAGCGGATGAAAATGATGCGCTTGCACGACAAACGCCTGTGAAGGCTTCGATGTGACTTACGTGTTTGTTCTGTGACTTCATTTCTTACTCCCTTAGTCAGGCAAACTCTTGCTTGTTGCGTCTTCACTGGTAACCGCTTTTAGGGCAGCCCATCCGTCGGGCGAGGCCTGAGCTCAGCTGCTCGTGCCGCCCCTGCTGCGGGGCGGCTCCCCGGGGCGCCTGCTGCCGACGGCGTGTTGCCGCCACACTGAGGGGCGCCGCCGTGGTCTCCCTGGAAGGTGAGCGGTGTCTGAGTCTGTTGGGGTTATTGAGCACACGCCCTGAGGGAAGCGCGACACGTTTTGAGACCAAGACAAGATCCTGGCGCGGCCCCTGCGGCTCCAGCTGCGAGCACAGCGCCGGTCCCGGGGGCAGGGCTGGGCTCGTGAGAGGGCGTGTGCGTCCTCCCGCCTGTTGCTCCCAGCCTTCCCTGGCGCGTGTCAGCGTCAGCACCCTCAGAAGCAGGGCACGGACAGCGTCCGGGGAGGCACCGTCCCCGCGCGCCCTTGCCGTTGCCAGGGGAGCGGCCAGCGCAGCAGATGCTGCCCTGGTGCCCAGCGGGGGCGGCAGGGGGGCTGGGGTTCTGCCTCTTGGCTGAGCGGCCGTGCGGCGACTGCAGGCTGAGGGCACATGCAGGAGAGGCACCGGGGCGGCTGCCGCCCCGGAGGGTCCGTCCCGGGCGTGGTGTCCTGCCCAGGGCCGCCGCTGGCGTGCTGAGGACGAGGCCCCATGAGCCCGGGCCCACCGGGGCAGGGGCGGCGCACGCCGTTCCCGATGCCCGCGGCCCTTCCAGTGGGCCGTCCCTGCCGCGGAAGCTCTGAACAGCCTGGCGTGCGGAGCCGTGACTCCTGTGACGTTAGCCGAGTGCTCTGGGCGCCGGCACCTTGGAAGGACTCGGCGGTTCGCTCTGCGACGGCACGATTGTGACCGCGGAGGGATGAGTTCTGTCCGGCCCCAGAAGCACCGCCGCGGTGCGGCACGGAGAGTGGCCCTTGTGGCCGCGTCCTGCACGGGGTGGGGGTGGGGCGAGGCAAGCCCGGCAGCGCCAAGGGGCAGGGCGGCAGCCGAGGGTGGCGGCTCTGTCCAGATGTAGGGGGCGGGACTCGTGGCCTCGAGGGCACCAGCAGCTCAGCAGTGACGTGCGGTTCTCAGAGAGGCTCAGGAAGTGCGGATGGTGGCGTGGGGTGGCTCTCACTTGGGACATGGTCACCGAGAGGGAAGGCTCACCCGCAGGCTTCTGGCGGGGACCAAGGGCGCCGTCGGCAACCACAGACTGGTGCGTTTGGACGGTGGCCGGCCAGCTCCCAGCGGGTGGTGGGCAGCAGGTGCCGTCTCCTCCAGCGGGAGAGAGGAGAGGACCCTCAGGGTGGCTGGTGCGTCCACAGGCAGCATAAAATCGGCGTCCGCTGAGGACGTGGAGCGCGCCGCGGCGGGGGCACTGGGTGGGGGGGTGCCAGGTCTTGGGGCTGGGAAGGGGGCTGGGCTGGCGGAGGGGGTTGCGCTCGGGGCGCTGCGGCGAGGGGCCGGCCCACTTGCCCAGGGCAGGGCTGTGCCCTCCGGCCGCCAGCGGCGGCCTTGCGGAGGACGGTCCCCGGGAGGCCCTGTGGCCACCGGAGGGCGAGGGGAGGTCCAGCTCTGAGAGCGGGTGCGTCCCCAGGGCAGTTAACGCAGGCTTGCGGCGCGTCCTGCAGAAGTCCTCACGGCGCTGGCGTGTCCCTGCCGAGTCACCTGCGCTGCCTGCTGTCGGGTGGATTTTCTTCCGGGTTCTGTGCAGGGTTGCAGGGTCCTTGTGGCGCCGCCGCCCATGCACCGCGCACATGCAGTCGGGGCGGCCGGGAGGAGGAGTCTTCGTGTGGGATGGAGGCATTGGCCAGGGTCTGGGCTGCAGCTGCTCTGAAAGGGCAGGCTCCACGCCAGCGCGGCGCCTTCCCGAGCTGCGTGCAGGTGGCAGTGGCGTCCGGCCCCGACTCCCTGGCCCACCGGCTGCTGACGCCGGTGTCCTGAGGGCTTTGCCCAGGCCAGGCCCGGGGTCCCTGCCTCTGCAGCGGCGGGGTCAGGGGTGGGCGGTCTCGGTGCGCTGCACTGGGCGTCCTTTCCGCTGTGTGCCCCCCTCCTAACCGAAGAGAGGGCCCGGGGCTAGAGGGTGCCCCTGGAGGCCAAGGGGGTGCCCGAGGGCGGGTTCTGGGCTTCGGGCAGGGCCGGCGGGGTGGGGCACGGCCATCGCAGGGGTGGTGGAGTTGGGGGCATTGACAGCTGGACACAGCGGAGGAGAGGACGGCGTGGGCCATGAGGCCAACACCGGGCACGGGTTGGCTGCGCCCGTGGGCCCCGGCCCCGGCCTGCTTGCCCAGGGTTGGCGGCCACAGGCGGCGAGGAGGGCCTGAGCAGAGCCAGCGCGCGCCCGGTGCAGGAGAGGGCGGAGGAGAGGAGGCTGTCAGCCAGCACCAGGCTCCGAGCCCCGCAGGCCCTCGGTGTGGGGGAGGCTGGGCCCGCTGCGACCGGTGACCCGCGGTGCTGTTTTGACCGAGAGCAATAGCACCACACAGGGTGGCCCTCTGCCCCCTCGGCCCCGTGCGGGGGAGGAGTGTCCTCGGGCCCCTGGGGGACCTCTGTGAACTCGCCTCGGGGGCCCGGCCACGGCCCTTTGGGCTTGGTGGGGGCTTGCGTTTTGTGCTTTGAAAATCAATGGTTTCATCATCTCCGTTGAAAAAATCCTATAAACTGAAAAAGCAATCGCTGCGGATTGCTGTTTGTCCTTGAGATCGTGACTCTAAGTCACAGTATTTTGCTGAAAGAATTGAAACGTCACTGCGGTATCACAAAAGGTGTCTCAGACACTCTCAGGTCTGCCAGTGGCTTCGAGGTTGCGTTTGAAGAAGCGTGTGAGCCCTCTGCGCGTTGTGGGATTTTGGCCAGTGAACCGGGTCTGACCCTGCCAAGCACCGCGTGTGCTGTGGGAGCTGGAACCCGGGAGGTCGCCACTCGTGCGCTTGCCGGTGGTGGCGCGGGACTGGCCTCAGCAGGTAGGAGGCCCCGCGCGCGCCGTCCTCCTCTCCTTGCGCTGCCCGGAGCGGGCAGGCCCCCGGGGCCTCGTCCACGTGTCCCCTTGCGGGCTCCGGGCCCTGCTGGGAACCAACAGCCTTGTCTTCTCGGACACCTTTGTAACTGGCAGGTTGCGTGTGAGGTCCGCCTGTGTCGCCTTTTCCTGGCTCCCGTGTTGTCGTTGGGTTACTCTGTGAAATTTGCCAGCATTTATCTTGAAGGGCTCGAACCAGGGACACAGGAAACATCTTCCAGGACCGCGGGGGCGGGGGCGGGGGGCGGGGCTTTCTGGCCGTTCTCCAGTCCCGTCCGGCCCACGCTCTGCTGAGCACAGTTGGGGGGCAGCATTGTTTAAAAGACTTGCGGCCCCTACGAGAAGGGCTGGCGCTGGGCCTGCGGCCTCGCGGGTGGACGTGGGCGGGGCGGGGCGGGCGGGGCTCAGACTCAGCGAGGGGCAGCTGGCGAGTTCCAGCCTGAGTCCTCTTGAGGGGCTGCTTTAGTGAGGACTGTCACGCCCTGCAGCACTCCAGGTTGTGGACGGCTCACCTGCAAGCTGTTTTAGCTCCACTCGAGTATCTGCCTCGCTGGGCCGCTCACTTGGAAGGCCTGTCCGAGGCTGGTCTTGTGCTTGGGTCTAAGTGGGTGAAATCTGCTGCTCGCAGGGCCCTTACCTGTCAATCCAAAATGCCGTGTGAAAGGGCTCCCCGTTCTCTCTTCCCGGAAGCATCACTCACACGTGGGGCGGTGCTGGTTCATAGAAACACTCACTGTTTAAGGTCTGCAATTGTATTTCACAAATGCTGTAGTGTTCAACCTGTGCAGGGTTCTGTTTGGTCAAGAAATGAGAGACGCGCTGTGCGCTGCCTCACGGCCGGCGGCCGGCGGCCCGCGGGACAGCTCTCCAGGCGCAGAGGGAGCTCCTGCTGGCGGCCGCAGCGCCCTGGCCGCATCACCTCCAGGAGCTGGTTCCAGCGCCGCCGGGCCCGGTGTGCGTGCGGCCGGCCCTCGCATGCCCGTCGCGTGGGTGGCAGAGGCTGCCCCGGCCGTAAAGGAGTGTGTTTCTCGGGCAAGTGGTCGAGTCACCGGCTGCTCGCTGAGTAGAGAGCAGGGAGCCGCTCAGACCCATGGGAGTCGTGGCGTCGGGGGCCACGGCCGCCCTGGCGGCGGCGGAAGCAGCGGGGAGCTCTTGCCAGTCTGTCCACCCAGTCACCCCGTGTTTCTTTTTCCAAATGCCGCCTGTTGGACACGGAATAGCCCGTAGAGGTCGTAGACTGAGACTGGGGACTGTGTTGGGACCGTACAGGGGCTGTCACTCCGACAGACGCATCCCCGCGTGAGCACTGTCACCTGGTGCACGCACGCGGGCCTGCGGCTGCAGCGAGGGCCCTGCGGGCCGGCCGGCCAGGCTCGTGTCCGGGCGGGGACGGGGGCGGGCGGCGGGCTTCCCACACTGTGTCCTGGCTGTGCTGTGCAAGGCCTGTTCTCTGTACGCGCCTCTGCCCCGGGCCTCGGGCCTCCTGTGTGTCCCGCACAGCGATGTTCATTCAAAATGTGTACCCGTGTTCACGCCTCCAACGCTCTGTCGATGTGGGAGCTGCTGTCTCCCGTGGAAACGTGCTGCCTGCCTCTGTAAATCTCAAATAAAAGGTGCTGTTCCTTCCTGTGAGCCCGGCCTGGTCTGTGTGTTCTGTCTCTCTCTCCGAGCATTTTTCTTTGAATCGGGTCCAGCCCCATGGAGGGAGGACCGGGGTTGGCGGGCGGGCACCGGGCGGTCTCCCTGGAGCCCCCACGAGGGCCCTCCTTTGGGCCTGGTGGCTCCCTCAGGGAGGCCGCCCTCAGGGTCCCCTGTGCCCCTGCAGCCGCAGGGCCCAGCCCTGTCTGTGACATGTCTGAAGGACACGTGACGTTTGGAGTTGGAGCACAGCACATTTCTTCAGGGGGTCAGTGCACGGGGAGGCAAGGTGACCGGAGGGCCTGGGGGCCCCAGCAACCCCACCTGGGCAGCCCCAAGAGGGCCCGGCTTTGCCACGGGAGGCCCTGTAGCTCAGGGCGCTCTCTCTCTCTCTCGAGGCCGTGCCACGGGGGGTATCAGACATTGAGAGTCCGGAGGCGGAGCGGGGGCCGCCGCGTCTGCCCCGCCACAGATGCCGGCCGAGCGGCAGGTCCCAGCAGACACGCCAGCCCACTCTGACACCAGCGTCTAGGGCAGCAAAACGCTGCATCTTTTTTCTTTCTCCTGCTCACAGAGGTGCCAGAAGGCAGAAGGGCTGCGGGCGCTCCTGCGGGGCTGGTCCTTCTGTTCTGTTCCTGATTTTCTAACGTGGTCCGATGTCCATTTCTCGCTTTGCGTTTGGCAAACGGCAGGCCTGTAACACAGCGCCTTGTGGTTACTGAGTGGACAGGAAATGAAGTTTATACGTTTACTGTGTTGAAAAATTCAGTTTTCAACATTTATCGAACATGAGAGAAATGCTGAATGTGTTGTTTTTAAAAAAGACCCTCAAGTTGGTATATGAGAAAGTTTTCTAGTGAAAGAGTTACTGATCTCTATTTGAAGACCTACTACTGAGGGTCCATTGAGGGGTCCATTGAGGGGAACGAGGGGCGAGGGTGGCGCCCGGCCGCGGGAGCCGGCCGGCCGGAGCGCCGCGCCCTCCCCTATGGTCCCGGGCAGCTGCCCCCTCCTGGGTGGAGGACAAGCAGGGCCGCGCAGCCTGGTCAGCGCTCCGGTGCACGACGTGCTCCCCACACGGAGCCCCTGGCCCGGCCGCCGCAGACGGCGGGGCCACAGCGCCAGGGCTCACGCCGCGACTGCACTTGGGTTCTTTCAGAAATTCACTTGGTAGCGATGTTTCTCTTACTTAAAGTAGTTGGACCTTAACCAGTCGGGTAAGAAAGGTCAGGATTTTCCATCCCAAATCCTGTTTTCAGCCACCAACAAGAGCACATAGAGTTTTCATAAAAATTACTTCACGTTTAAGGCTTCCTAAGAGAACGTTAACGCTGCTTCACATGAATACACACGTATCCACGTATAATAAATACCAACTGGAATGAAGTCCGTTTCTGAATTTCTACCCAGCTTATCAACACGTCGTACCCTCAGAACCCCTGCGGGCGACGTGTGTTTGCAGGGGAGAGCTGGCGGGCGGTGCGCAGAGGGCCTGCGTGCAGCTGGCGTGCGTGCGCGGCCCGCGCCTGGCGGGCCTGCCGCGGAGCCCCCGCGACTAGTGAACTGTCGTCCGCCTCCGCCCGCAGGTCTCGGACGGCCCGGGAGACGAGCCTCTGGAGTCCCCGTACGAAAGCGCCGACGAAACTCAGACCGAAGCGTCCGTCTCATCCAAGAAGTCGGAGCGGGGAGTTGCCGCCAAGAAGGAGCACGTGTGTCAGGTGAGGGGCCGCCGCCCCACGCCCACCACCCGGCCTCGCCGCCAGCTGGCCCTGGGCTGTGGGTGCAGCCCGCACCGTTCCCTCCCACGTGGGCGTGTCTCACCTGTGACTGCCGCGCGCATGAACACGCGCGCTGGGGCGTGCGCAGAAGCAGGGGGCGGAGGCGTGGGGCTGCGGGGGGCCTGGCTTCCCCGCCGGCACAGGCTGGGGCCCGCATGGGCGCCACCCGGCGAGGCTGTGCGCTCCTGCTCCGGGCCGCCTCTGAGCTGCCTGCGCGGGTCCCCGAGGCCTTGGATCCTGTCAGTGCCCATCGCTGTCGCCAGGGGCCCCCATCTGGGCCCTGTGGCCCGGCGGTCCCCTCAGCCGTGCTGTGCGCCCCCCGCAGGTGTGCGAGAAGCCCGGCAGCCTCCTGCTCTGCGAGGGCCCCTGCTGCGGGGCCTTCCACCTCGCCTGCCTCGGGCGGTCCCGGCCTCCGGAGGGGAGGTTCGTCTGCGGCGAGTGTGCTTCAGGCAAGTGCTGTCCCCGTTCCGAGGGGACCAGGCCGGTGTCCTGTCGCGTCCCCTCCCAGCCTCCCTTCACACCGGGGTGTGGGCTGCCGTCGCAGGCGTGGCCGGCCCGGCCGGCGTGCCTCGTGCCCCCTGCGTGCCTTCCCTTGGGCGGCAGGCGTGACTGCTTTCACGTCCCTTGGAAGGAGTCCCGTGTGGGGTGACCGGTAGAGTGCTGTCCGGTGCGTGGTGGTGCCGTGGCCCCTGCGGGTGATCTCGCCGGTCTCGGGACGCTGGGGTTCGAAGGCGCACCGAGCCGCAGCGTGGCTCAGCCCCACGCTTGTCCCCGCGCGGCCGCGGCCCTTGCTCTGGGGCGCTGGCCCCTTGTGCGCAGGCTGGGGCTGACGAGGCCGGCGGCACAGAGGCTCTCACAGCTCCCCTCCCGCCCAGCGGTCCCGACCCTCCGGTGACTGACGCGCGGTCAGCAGGTGCTGGGACCCTGTACTGCAGGGGACCGGTCCTGTGAGCAGTTCTCCCTGCGGCGGGTCACCGCGCTCGCGGGAGAGGAGGGGCGTTCTTCCCCAGGAGCCCCACTCCTTCCCACTTCTTGCTCCCTGGAGCAGCCACCACCTGGCTGCTGGCCGCTTCCCCATCCTCCGGGTGAGGCCGCGTCTCCAGCCGCAGCCCCGTCGCTGCGACGGCCTGGCTTGCAGGACCTGGGTGGGACAGCTCCCGGGGGGGGGGGGGCGGCCTGCCCCTCAGCGTCGCTGGTGGGCGTGGCTCTGGGCCTGCGGCTCACCCTGCCCTGTGTGCCCGCCCCGCCGTCGCCGTCGCCAGGGGTCCACTCGTGCTTCGTGTGCAAGGAGAGCCAGGCGGGCCTGAAGCGCTGTGTGGTGTCGCAGTGCGGGAAGTTCTACCACGAGGCCTGCGTGAGGAAGTACCCCCTGACGGTGTTCGAGAGCCGGGGCTTCCGCTGCCCGCTGCACAGCTGCGTGAGCTGCCACGCCTCCAACCCGGCGCACCCGCGCCCTGCGAAAGGTGGGCGCACATGGGCGGCGGGCCTGGCGGCCAGGTTGGCGCTGTCGCCAGAGGCCCTCGCCCCTCGGGGGTGCGGGGGGGTCCGCCGTTCCCCATCCCTGGCTCGGCACAGGGCGGGCCGGGGCTTTCCTTGGCAGAGGACCTGCCCGTCCCCTTCAGCCTCCCGTCTTCCTGCTCTAGATCCTCAGTCTAAAGATTAAGGGCGGGACCTTCGAGTCCTTTTGATAGATTCTTTTTTTATTTTAACGGTCCTTCACATACAAGGTGTTGCGGCGCAGCCGTGCCTGTCACTTGACCTCGGGTGTGTGGCGTTGAGGACGGCAGGCCGCCTCTGCCTCCGGGCCCCAGCAGCGGCCAGCCAGGGCCGGGGCCCGTGCCCCCTGGGAACCCGTGGCCTGGCCGGGTGTTCAGAGGCTGCTCTGGCATCCGGGGGTGGGGGTGGGGGTGGGGCCGGCGCCCAGCCCGGGGAGCCCAAGCGGAGGGCGGCACTTGAGAGGCTTGACCACTTTCTCAGGCGCCTTTGGAGCCTTTGCTTCGAGGAGGCGTGTTTCGTGGCGTGTATCACGTGTTCTCGTCCTCCTGCTCTAGTTATTTTTTTCGGCTACGTCATTTACGTCAGCACTGATTTGCTGAGCGAGGGGGCTGGGTGGTTCCTCGCTGCCCTGCTCCTGGGGCCGGGCCCTCAGCCCCTCAGCCCCTCTCTCTGCCTGTGCAGGGAAAATGCTGCGCTGTGTCCGCTGCCCCGTCGCCTACCACGGAGGCGACGCCTGTCTGGCCGCGGGCTGCTTGGTGCTCGCCTCCCACAGCATTGTCTGCACGGGCCACTTCACAGCCCGGAAGGGGAAGCGGCACCACGCCCACGTCAACGTGAGCTGGTGCTTCGTGTGCTCCAAAGGTGAGGCTCGGCGCCGTGCGTCCACAGGGCCGCTGCTGCGAGGTCAGCAGGGTCGCTGGGCGGAGGCGTGTGGGCGGTTAGAGTACAGTGCTGCCCCCGGCCTGGAGCACAGGTGGCTCCTCCGGCCCCCCGGGCACCGGTGCGGCCGGCGGGGTGCGACCACACAGTGTCCCCGTGGATTCACGGCATCACGCCGTGGCGTTGCCAGGTTCGCCGTGGCCGCCTCGGCGCATGGGGAACTGTCGGTGGCGACGCGGCCTTTGCTGTTGTGCCAGCGGCCGGCTGGGCGGGCTGTGGGCTGGGCCCGCGTGCGCGGCCAGGCTGAGCGGCCCCTCCCCCGCAGGGGGCAGCCTTCTGTGCTGCGAGTCCTGCCCGGCGGCCTTCCACCCGGACTGCCTGAACATCGAGATGCCCGACGGCAGCTGGTTCTGCAACGACTGCAGGGCCGGCAAGAAGCTGCATTACCAGGACATTATTTGGGTCAAACTCGGGAACTACAGGTGTGAGAACTAGACTCCCATGCTCCTGCCCCTGTGTTCAAACGTGTCTTTTACTTTGCAGTACTTGCAGTGTTGAAGCTATTGTCACTCTCTCTGAAGAGTCTGTGAACCCTGTTTTTAATATTTATAATAGATGGTGGCCGGCAGAAGTTTGCCATCCCAAAAATGTTCCCCCAAATATTCAGAAAATGAAGCACGAGGTTGGAGAATTCCCTGTGTTTTTCTTTGGGTCTAAAGATTATTACTGGACGCATCAGGCTCGAGTGTTCCCGTACATGGAAGGGGACCGGGGCAGCCGCTACCAGGGGGTCAGAGGGATCGGAAGAGTCTTCAAAAACGGTACGGGCCCCCTGGGTGGAGGGAGGCAGCGGGCGGCGCTCACTCTCGTTTCTGCGCTTGGGGAACGCGGTTTCTGTCAAAAGCCCTGCAGTCAGCGCTCTAGCTGGGCTTTAAATGAGGAAAAAGGATGGTTGCTGGTCGGTTGAGGCACCAAATCAGACAGATTGATACTTTTGTAGCATTGGTTCACATTCACACGCCTGATAGCTGTGGTTGGGGCTGGGCTCCATTCCACCCGGATTCGGGAGCTGGGCACGGCGGGGGGAGCGGGGGTCAGGTGAGGAGGCAGGCAAGGAATGCAGCCCCGGGGCTGCCGGAGGCGCGCCCACGCTGCGTCGGGGGTGCGCAGAGCCGCGAGCAGGCGGCTGGGCCGGGAAGGCACGTGAGTCCCGGCTGAGGGCACCTCCAGGGTGTGGCGGCCGCAGAGCCTCGGGCCTGCGGGGGGCAGTAGGCGTCGGAAGAGGGTGCTGAAATTGAGAGGGAGCCAGATGTGTTGAGTGTTAGCGGAACCGTCGCCAAGGCAACTCTCTCATCCGACCCCTGGCTGGAGTGCCGCGGGGCCCGGAGCAGCGACCACTGCCCGTGGCAGGCCTCGCACCCCGGTGTCGACGCCTGGCGCCCCATCATGGCGACTGCCGGGCGCGGCAGCCCCGACGTCCCGGCGAACAGGCGTCAGGCACAGCCGGGGGGTCCTTGGCGCTCTGGTCCATTGGGAAAGTGGTGGCACTGGGACCGCCCTTGGGCAGTTTTGCGCGCTGTCTAGTTTCCTGTGCGCTGGGAACCACCCTCGGCAGCGAGGTGAACGCGTGGAGGGCGCCGAGGGAGCAGGGAGCCGACGGGCAGGCGCGTTCCGCTACTGACACCCTTCGTGCGTCTCTCGTTGGCTTTTCAGCGCTGCAAGAAGCCGAGGCCCGTTTCCGTGAAATCAAACTTCAGAGGGAAGCCAGGGAAACGCAGGAGAGCGAGCGGAGGCCCCCGCCGTACAAGCACATCAAGGTGACGGTCACGGCCGTGCAGAGCGCAACAGGGCTGTGGTGCGCCTCCCTGAGAGGAGGCGCAGGCGCTGCCGCCCCCTGCCCCCCGAGCGTGTCCGTCCTTGTCCACGGGGACCGGGTGGGTGCGGGGCTTGCTGACCGTCCACGGGGGCTGAGCAGGGGCCCTGGACAGGCTGCTGGGAGCCAAGAGGCGCGGCCGAGCCGACCCCGGGGCACGCTGTCACCCCGCCCGGAGCCGCGGGGACAAAGAAATGTGCCCGCCTCCAGGGGCGCGGCCGGCGAGGAAGGGCTGGCCCCTGCGTGTGGCCCTGCGCCTGCTCCCTGGCCCGGGGCGGCAGGTCGGCCCTCCGACTGGTCTCTGAGGCCTGTGCGGGCGACCACCTCACGCCGCCCGTGCCCGCAGAAGGTGCCGCCCAGGCCGGGCGGCCGCTGCCCAGGGGCTGGTCGGGGGCTCTCTCGTGCCCCTGCCGTGGGGCCGCTGCCGCATCTTGTGCGAGGGCCACGTCCTCCTGGCGGCAGCTGCGCCGCATCCCCACGGGGCTCCGGGGAGCAGGGGCCGGGGTGGCTGCGAGGGCCTGGGCGTCCTCCACCGTGTCCCTAGAGCCGCTCGCTCCTTTGCACTGTAGTTTCTTTTTGGTTTTCTCTGCTGCTTTACTGCGGGGTCACCCTTGCCCCATTAACGGCACACTGGGGCCACGCGCCCAGACCCACCGCCTCCCCGGTGAGTGCCCGTGGGCGCTCAGAGCAGAGGGCCCAATGGCTCTGGGGCCGGGAGGAGGGCGAGCTGGTCAGGGTGGCCAGGCACCCCTCGCGCGGAGCGCCCGTGGGTCTTCCTGTTACGCCCGCCGGCTGGATTGGGTGTCAGCTGCCCAGCGCACGGGGCACAGACACTGCGATTGTGCACGGCGGGCGTTGGGCTTGGGGCCAGGCTGCACCTCGGCCTCCTGCTGAGGCGCTGGGGCCCGGATCGCCTGTCGGCGCCTGCGGCCCGGGGCGTTGCGACCGGCATGTGGGCTGCGGGGCCCCCGCGGGGTGTGGCCCTCGCATGTGGGCTGAGGCAGCGCCTGCCCCTGCAGGTGAGCAAGCCGTACGGGAAGGTGCAGGTCCACACGGCCGACATCTCCGAGATCCCCAAGTGCAACTGCAAGCCCACAGACGAGAGCCCCTGCGGCATCGACTCGCAGTGCCTGAACCGCATGCTGATGTTCGAGTGCCACCCGCAGGTGTGCCCGGCCGGCGAGGCCTGCCAGAACCAGTGCTTCAGCAAGCGCCAGTACCCCGAGACGCAGATCGTCAGGACGGACGGCAAAGGCTGGGGCCTGGTCGCCAAGAGGGACATCCGCAAGGTCTGCCTCCCGCGCTCGGGGCGGCGCGCGCGTCTGCACGCGTGGGAAGGCGGCGTTTGGACAGCGTTTGAGTTGCCGCGGTTGGGATACATTACCTGAGAGTTACCTGTCAGAGTAGCCTAAGTTCCCGTAAAACGTGCCTTCAGCTGGGACTTGGGGGGCTGCTTCGGGGAAGCGTGAGATGGGAAGGGGCCACGGCTCCCTCGCGAGCAGCCCGGGGCCCGCCCCGCATCATCCGCGCCCTCTGACCCCCAGGGGGAGTTTGTGAACGAGTACGTGGGCGAGCTGATCGATGAGGAGGAGTGCATGGCCAGGATCAGGCGCGCGCACGAGAACGACATCACGCACTTCTACATGCTCACCATCGACAAGGTAACGCCGCCGCCGGGCCTCGCTGGGCTCCACGCTGTCCTGGCCCCGGGGCCCGCCGGCGAGGGAGCATCCGGGGCCCCGGGGGCCCACAGGGGCGCTCGTGCGCTTCCTCGGCGTCGGAGGTTGGGCGGGCGGGGAGCCAGGGTCGGGACACCGGGCGTGCCAGGCCCCCGCCGTGGTGCTCCCTTCTCGTCGAGGCCAGAGCGGCACAGCTTCGCGCGCGTCTGCCGACGGCGTCGGTGTCCCCAGAGGAAGGGTGGATAAGGCCATCTGCCTGCAAGTGGGCTCAGCGAAAGGTGCGTCTGGGACGCGCTGGGGCGCCTGGCGGCCGCGGGCCTTCCCAGGGGTGACTCCTCAGCCACCCCCAGGCAGCAGACGCGTGTCCCTTCTCTCCCTCCCCTCCCTTTTGGGGGTGGTGAGGGAGGCTGTGCTGTTAGAAACGGAAATCCTGACGTGGTTCAGAGTCTAACTTGAACTGTGTTTTGCCGTGTGTAATGCGCACCCATGTATTTGGCCTAAAGTTTCGGGGAAAAAAACTTTTTAATTTTTTAATTTAATTAGTTACTTATCTGTGCTTAGACATCATTGTTTTTTAGAGCTGCACTTTTAATGTATAAGCATAGACAAAAAAACCTAACATTTATATAGACACAGAATTAGTGCTACTCATATGTAACGTGCATCCTTATTTTTCCCTCAAAAATTCGGGCAAAAAGTGTGCATTACACACAGCAAAATGCGGTGCTGTGTTGTGCCAAGTGCCACGCTGCTCACGGGACACACAGGCTGGCCCCGCGTTGCTCGTGCTCCGGGGACGCGGCTGGAGCAGAGGCCGAGGCTGCGACACACGAGAGGCGGAGTGAGCAGTTCAGAAACACACGCAAAAAGCCCTGCCTGGACGTTGCTGGCGCCAAGCAGAGCGCGGGCGCGTGGGCAGGCCCTCAGGCAGGAGGTGTGGGTTTTGGTAAGAGCCTGGGACGACAAGACCAAGTCTGAAGGAAAACTCTGGAGCAAGCGTGTGGCAGGCAGAGGGTTAGACCGAGAGGCACCAGGCAGGTCTGAACGGTCACCGCGGGGTCAGGAAGCCGGCCGCGGGCAAGCAGGGGCCAGGGCAGGGGCCGTGCCAGGGCCTGTGGCGCCGCGAGGCGGAGGCTGAGGGCGGGGGACGGAGGTGCGAGGACACAGGCTGTTTCTGGCCGAGAGCCGGGGGAGCCTTGTGAGGGTGCACGTCCATCTTCAGGACGGCAGGCTGTTGCGGTTTCAGCCACCCCTGCCGGTCAGCTGCCAGGCCGGCGCAGGGCCAGGGGGCGCCACCAGCCCGCGTCCTGAGCAATGAAGGGTGCTGGGCGTCCGCCAGAGCCAGGCGCCTGGGCCGCAGGTGGGGACAGTCCCTGGCCGCAGGAGTTGCCAGCCTGGGGCAGCGGCCGCGCCTCCCCGCGCTCACAGCCGGACGGATGCAGCGCTGGGCCAGTGCCCAAGAGGCGTCGCCACGCGGGGCTTGGGGAGCCCCGGCAGCTCCGAGTCCATAAAGCCCAGAGCTGGTGAAGTGGTTGTGCGGAGGGAGCAAGTTCTGAGGGAGGAGGGCTCTGCGAAGTTCCATGAAATGCCCGTGAGAAAGGTTCCGACACACGCCGACTCTGGAAACGTGTGGGGACAGTAGCCCTGAAAGCCACGGGAGGGCAGCACCGGGGGCGGGGGCGGGGGCGGGGGCGGCGGCGTCGCCCCGACCCGGGAGGCATTGGAGAGCTGGTGGCGTGGATGCCAGCCCTGCCTGGGCACGGGGCCGCCTCCGCAGCGGGGACAGCGGCACGGCCGCAGGGGCGGGGGCAGTGACAGAAGGCGTCCCTGCGCCTGCGCCAGGGACCGGCGGCCGGGGCGCCTCACGGGGCCGCAGGCTCCCCATGTGCTTGTCCCTGTGGCAGACGCGACTTTGCGTTCGCTCGTGGCTCACGCCTGCTGGTGCCTTCCTGTGGGCGCCCGCCGCCCCCAAGCGGGGACCCCGCCCCACGGTCGAGGCTGCGGCTGGGCAGGTGCGTCTCCCGCTAGTCGTTCCGCGGCCCTGGTCGCGTCGGCGGCCGGGCCCAGCGTGCTCCCTGCACGCTGTTCCCGTGGGGCCTCCGGCCTCTGGCCTCGGCGGCTCCGTGTCACGGTGTGAGGCTGGACCCCAGTGTCCGGCCCTCGTTGCCTCAGTGGCTCACACACATGGCCGTCGTCTGGCTGGTTTTGTGCTTGGAGAGTCTTGTTTGTGTTCTCTGCCCATTTCGTCACGGGGCCTGCCTTGCTCTCTGTGAATGTGAGTCTTGGGGAGCTGTTGGTGCTGACCTTCAGCGTCCTGGCCCCCTTGTCTGTCACCCAGTGGCTGGCGCTGGGGAGCTGGCGGACGCAGGCTCCTGCCTGGGCTCCCCGGGGCTCGGTCCTGTCCAGGTGGTCCTGGCCCGCCCCCCCGGAGCGACAGAAACAGGACTGGATTGGGGGTGTCCTGTCTCAGTGGACGCAGGGCGCCACGGTTCCCAGCACGACACCAGCTGCCCGGCACCCCTCGTGGCGGGGGCAGCCCCTTTCCAATGAGCCCGGCGGCTGAGAGGGGCCGTGTGCCGATGCTGCGTGAAACCTGAGCTGTGCCTTCCAGGACCGCATCATTGACGCCGGGCCCAAAGGCAACTACTCGCGGTTCATGAACCACAGCTGCCAGCCCAACTGCGAGACCCTCAAGTGGACCGTGAACGGCGACACCCGTGTGGGCCTGTTCGCCGTGTGCGACATCCCTGCAGGTACCCACCTGGCCTCGCCGGCTCCTGGCTGTGCGGCCAGGGCAGCAGGCCCCCAGGGGGGGCGGCCCGTGTCGCGGGCGTTGTGCTTCGTTGGGGGCGTCTGCCTTGTCGGGGGTGCGCGCGCAGCTGGGGCATTGAGGCTGTGAAGGACAGCGGTGTTTCCATGGGGCTTGTCTGCTGTCACCAGGGACGGAGCTGACTTTTAACTACAATCTTGACTGTCTGGGCAACGAGAAAACTGTGTGCCGCTGTGGAGCCTCCAACTGCAGCGGGTTCCTCGGGGACAGGCCGAAGGTACGGTCCCTGCTGCCCAAGCTTGTCCCTGGTGCTGGCTTCTGCTGAGCTGAAGGGTGGCCAGGGCGGGCGCCGCGGCCGGGGGTGAGGCCGGGGGCCGGGCTCCGGGGTCCGGCCGAGCCCCCGGCGGCTTTGGCGGTCTGGGGCTGCCTGGCAGAGCCCCCAAGCAGGGACGGAAATGGCGGCACTTTTGGTCTGGAGGCCAGAAACCCGGAATCAGTGTGGTTGGGGCCAGGGCCCCCCGGGCTCCCGGGGAGAACTTGCTCGTGCCTGCAGCTTCAGGGGCGGCGGCGTCCTGGGCGCACCGGCTGCAGCTGCTCGCTCCGGCCCCGCCGCCTGCCCCGTGGCCTCGCCCCCACGCCCTCCCTCCTCCTGTGAGAAGCCCGGTCAGGACACGGTCGTGGCCGCCCGGCGCCCTGTGGCCTCGCCCCGAGTGTGGCCTGCCGTGACCGCGTCTCCAGCGGAGGCCGCGTTCCGAGGTTGCGGGAAGGACGTGGGCGGGGGGGGGGGGGGGACACGTCTGCCGCAGGCTTCACTGCTCCTCGCGCTCACATTCACCGCGACCCTCGTGGGCGGGAGCCCCAGTGCCGTGGCCTCGCGTGTCCGCCGGGCAGCCTGGGCGCCGCGGGCCGCGGGCTGCTGGGAGGGGCACGTGCTGGTGTCGCTCTCTGAGGTCGAGGGTCGCCGCTCACGCGGGCGGTGCCCGAAGGGCCGAGGCGCGTGGCCCGTGGGCACCCCACCGCCCCGCAGGCCCCTGCGTCCCCGGGCGGCTTCACGCTGCTCTCCGTAAACTGTGCTCGATCCCCGCTGCAGACCTCGGCCGCGCTGTCCTCAGAGGAGAAGGGCAAGAAGGCCAAGAAGAGGAGCAGGAGGCGCAGAGCCCGCGGGGGGGGGAAGAAGGCGTCGGAGGACGAGTGCTTCCGCTGCGGGGACGGGGGCCAGCTGGTGCTGTGCGACCGCAAGGCCTGCGCCAAGGCCTACCACCTGGCCTGCCTGGGCCTGCGCAAGCGGCCCTTCGGTGCGTCCCGGCCGGGGGGGCGGGGCGGCGGCGGGAGCCCGGGCGCGGGGGCGGGGCGGTGACCTCGGGGAGACCCCAGGGGCTGTCACTCCGAGGCCAGGGAGCGAGACCCGCCAACGGCAAAGTCGAACGTGTGTGTAAAAAACAGTATGTGGGAGGCAGCTGGTGACGAAGCCAGGTCGACAGACGGAGTGGCAGGGGTGTCTGCGGTGGGTGCGGCGCCCCCCCCACACCTGCCCAGGGCCCCTGGGGGTCAGCACCGAAGGTCCCCGGCCGCCCCGTCCTGCGGGGTCCGCCGGCTGCACCCCGGCCTCCGGGGGCGCCCGGCGCGCGCGCAGGGAGGGGGCCCAGCCGGCCGCCTGCTGACCCCCGTGTCCTTGCAGGGAAGTGGGTGTGCCCCTGGCACCACTGCGACGTGTGCGGCAAGCCTTCCGCCTCCTTCTGCCACTTCTGCCCCAACTCGTTCTGCAAGGAGCACCAGGACGGCGCGGCCTTCGGCTGCGCCCCGGACGGGCGGCCCCACTGCGGCGAGCACGACTGGGGGGCGGAGTCCGCCGCCGGCGCCGCGGCCGAGAAGCCCCTCCCAGTGCCCGCGAAGCCGAAGGGGAAGCGGCGGCGGCGGCGGTGCTGGCGGAGGGTCACCGAAGGCAAATAGCGCCGGGGGCGTGGCCAGGTCGGGCTGCCTGCTGGGGGGCGGGCCAGCGGGCGCGGACGCCGGCCAGGCACCCAGGGACAGTGACGCCGACAGCCGGCCGCCGCCCCGTCGCCGCCCGGGCGGGAGCGCCTGCTCACCACTGAGCCACCAGCGGTGCCGCCGCCTCTGCACTGAGGGCGCGCGCGCAGCGCCCGCGCGTGCCGCGACTCGCCAGCGGCGCAGCATTAGGGCTACACTTGAATTTTTAACAGCGTTGAGCCTCCCCGCCACGGAGTTTTAGGTTCAGGTTATGATTGAAAATTAATTGGCACATGAAATGTTTTTTATCTCACCCCGAACGTGTAGAGTAGTTTTCTCCTAACAATGCTCCTTGGCTGGCTTCCCCGTCGTCCTCACTCGGGGGCCTCGCTGGCCCGCTGCGGGGGACACAGACCCCGAATCTCTTGGAGACCATGAGTTCGATCGTTATTTTTGCTTTTACGAAACAACTGTATTTTTTGTACTAATGTGAAGTTCTCCCTCAACACGCTCCTTTTCCTTCGTGGTGAGACGCTGACCCAGGAACGGTGGTAGTGATAGTAGTTTCAGTTTTCCCGAGTCAGTGTTTTTCCCTCTGTAGGTTTGAACTCCGAGTCGTTCCCACGGCTGCCTTCCCAGCGCAGGCCCCCCCTCGGGAGGCCGGCAGAGGGGCGCTCGCCCGGCCGCCTCCCACCGCACTAGGTTCTTACCAACACTTGGGGAAAGGCTTTGTACATATTTTTTTAATTTGACTTTTCTTTACTGATTTCTGGCTTTTATTCTCAATATATTTTTGCTAAACTCGCTTCACAATCACCACCGACTGAACCGTGTATTTACTGATGCGACCCTGAGCCCTCCCAGCCGCAGGCTGGGCTCGGCGGGGGTGCGGCCTGGAGGCGCTGGCCCCGCCCGCGCAGCTTGCTTTCCAGGGCCTGAGGGACCCAGGGGTCAGAACTGGCCACCTGAATCCCATGCACTTCCTCACGCGTTGTGGGTCTGTGCGTGGAAGACAGTGGTGCTGGTCAGATGTGTTGGGCCAGGGCACCCCCTTCCCGGCAGGGCCCTTGGGGGGCGAGGAACTTGTAGGAAGTGCGGAGTTCTCTGTGGAAGACGCAGTTCTTTTCTGGAGTCCCCCTTGACCCTGGGAGTTCAGCCCCCTAAAAAGGGGGAGCATCCCACTGGGCACTCACGTGCGCTTGGAGGGGCCTGCACGTCCCCGTGTGTGCAGTGGGGGACACCCAGCAGCAGAGTCTGTCTGAGCTTTTCTTCTTAAAATGCCCACGGAGAACAGCTGTTCTGCAGAGAAGTTTACACAGCTGTTCCTGAGAACGGCTACTGAGGCCCCCGTTCATTTCTCTTGGGCCGTTTGGCCTTGACTTGCTGGACGGCCTTGGCCCTGGGCCTCTTTCTCCAGTTCCCATGGTTTTTCGACATGAGCTTGGGCGGGGGGGGGGGGGGGGTCTGTGAGGTCGTGACCCCGCGGGGCCCATGCCTCCCGAGCACTAATGGGCCATCCCCTTGGCCCCCTTTCCATGGTCCTAGACAGAGCCACACACAGAACCGAAAGGAAAAACCAGAGCTTTGTCACTTGCCGGCTGCTTCCGCACATGTGGCCTGGCTCTGTCTGGAAATGCACTTGCCTGACGAGACAGTTGTCCTAAGGAAATGCTGGATTGATGTTCAGACACATGCTCCTGCGCCCCCAGCTTGTAGGGTGTCCCAGCGACGGGCCCAGAGGCCTGGCTGCCTGCCTGCCTGCGGCCGGCACCTGCGCGTTTCGGACATGGGGACAGGTGACAGCCGGGGCGGAGGGGTCGCAGCTGCCTGGGTGTGGCCCTGGCACCCGCGGTGGTCCCCGCCCGTCCTCTGACCAGCTGAAGGACGTGTGTTAGACCATCAGAAGTGGTGTCACAGCGCACTTTGGGGGAGCAGATTAACTTATTTTTGTATTGACAGTAAAATCTTGTGATTTTTTGAGTCACTTTGATTATTTCCAAATTTTTAAATGGTCTCTCTGAAGGAGAGTAGAAAAATTTTTAATGTGGTTGCTCTCTTTCCAAACACCGTTAAATTAATGAGCAAATAACACTAACTTTAAAAATCTCTAAGAAACCAGTTTACAAATCTGAGCCCCACCGGGCGGCCGGCGGGGCACGGCTTCAGCAGGAGCTCGGCCGCAGGTCCAAGCTTTCTGGACCTCAGCTATAGCCCATTGTCACTGAAGCCTCAGGGTTCCGTGGCGTCAGGAACCCGTGCCTGCGTGCGCAGTCGCCCCGCCGGTCCTGGCCTGGGGAGGCAGGCACAGCAGCGTGCGCCCCCACGCGTGGCGCCCACAGTGCAAGGCGGGGCCTCTGGGCCCCACCCCCGACTCAGGTCTGCGCTTCTGACACCCTCGAAGTATTTATCTTGAGTGACCGCTGTGTATATAGTGCCTGTCTTCTCCAACTACCTTCTTTTCAGGAGTTAAGACAACCCTGTTTTAATGGAAGTCAATGCAAATGACTGTTGCCAAATGTTTGATCCCGTGAGTGCATGTTTGATGAATGTGAGTAAATACTGTGTGCCGCACCCTGTTCACATGTGAAACACCCTGTCAGAATTACACACGGACTTCAGCAGGCCCACTGGCACCTGGACGCAACGCTGCGGTCAGGCCCCTTCCGGGATGAGGGCGCTGCGCCCACCCTGACTGCCTCCGAGACTTGAAGCTCACCTTTAGGGGAAACTACCGAAGTGTAGATTGGGGAATTGCCAATACTGGGGGAAAAGCATTTCAAGTGGGACATTGTTTGGAAAATTGTGTATTTTTGTATTAAAACATTTTTAAAGGCTCTTTTCTTAAACTTCTATATGTGGGATTGCACTTTGCAGTCTGGGCTTCCCTGGCTCCTGCAAGCCGCCCCTCCAGCACCCCACAGCCTGTGCCCCAGAGGCCCCGCCCCCAGACCGCCACCCGCCTCGGGCTCGCGGGAGTCATGAGCGTGGCCTGGGGAGGGGTCACAAATGCAGGAAACAGTGAGTGTCGTTCTGATTTTGGAAAAAAATTTAATTTTAAAAATACGTTGGTTCCAAATCCCCATTAACGGGGAGGTGGTCAGGAGGGCGGCGCTGCCCCCGCCCCCAGGACGAGCCGGCCCAAGGCCCAGCCCAGGGGCTTCCTCTGCGGCGCGCGGCACCGTCCGGACGGCTAGCGGGGCCTGGGGCTCGGCCGCGGTAGCCGTCCGCCACGCTGCTCACAGCCCCACTGGGCCCACCTTTGGTCCCCTCGGCCTCGCGGGTGGGGAGAGCCCCTCCCTCGTGGCCAGAATTTAAGAAAAATAAAAAAGGTAAAAGTCTACCAGGCAGAGCTGTCACTAAAATTAGGAAGTTTTAACTTTTTTGGTTAACTTTAACATCCAAAAATGTAATATTGAATCCAAAAAAGTGTCTTAGATCACACAAAAAGTAACCCATATTAAAATTTAAAAAACAAGTTCAAAACACCCTGGAGAACTGAATCTAAAGAGTAAGCAGGCCGGAGCCTGGCCGCGTGCCAGACGGCAGGGCCACAGCGCTGGCGTCCCTGGAGCCCCCCGCGGGCCCGCGGAGGTCGGGGCGGCCCCTAGGACACGTTGGCCATGGGCTTGTACTTCTTGAAGCGCGTCCACTGGCCCGTGGCGTAGTTCATCTCGAACACGGTGTCCACCAGCATGGTGGTGCTGCCCTGGCCGTCCGACTTGGGGAGGTCCTCGGTGTGCTCGCTGAGCTTGATCTGGATCACGTCGCCCTGCTCCTGGCACGGGTTCTCTGTGGAAGGGCGGGCTGTGGGGCGGGCGCCTGCGGCCGCGGGGCCCGCCCCGTCCTGCAGGGCCCAGGCTCCCCACCCCCTGGGCCGGCCCGTGGACCCACCTCGGGAGCCGGCCATGAAGCCCAGGATGAGGGCCTTCTCGGGCCGCGTGACCTTGTTGGCCGTCTTGAACATCTCCTGCGCAGCGAACATCTGCTCTCTCTGCGAGCACAGGGACGGGGTGAGTGCCCGGGCCGCCCGCCCCCACCCCCCAGCTTCCCTGCAGGCCCAGGCACGGGGTGGGGGTGGGAGCAAGACCGCAGCCCCTGCCCAGCGGCTGGCCCTCCAGGGCCCACCTACCGTGAGGGACAGGTTCTTCTTGGGCTGCGGCTGGGCGGGGGGCTGGGCCTGCGGGGCCACCATGGCCGCTGGAGGCGCCTGGGTGGCGGGGGCGGCGGCGGGGGGTGTGCTGGGCGTCAGGGGCGCGGCGGGCGCTGCGGGCGCGGGCGCGGGCGCGGCCGGGCTCAGGCTGCTGTTGTACATGGGCGCCCTCTGTTTGAACTGAGCTGGCAGGGCAGGCGTCGGGGTGCTGGGCTCCTCGGGCGGCCGGCTGGCCTGCAAGCTGGCTTCCCGGGAAGGAGGAGCTGGAGGCACGGGGGGCCTGCTGAGGCTGGCGGGGCAGGGGGGCAGCCTCCCCCCTGCCTCCCAGGCCCTGCCACAGACGTGTCCTCCCCGAGCCCCTGCACCAGCTTTTGCAACCATTGTCCCCGAGACCTCAGCTCTCCAAGCGCCTGGGCCCCGGGAGGCCACCCGGCCCGCAGCCCAGAGAACCCCGCCCTGGGGCGACAGGTCTCAGGCTTTTTTAGAGGGGCAGATGAGACCCAGCAGCCCTTGGCCTGGGGGCCAGGTCCCCCTGCCCTGGGGCCAAAGTCCTGGCAGGAAAAGCGGAGCTGGCCCAGGGGAAGCCTCCGAGCAGGAGCTGCTACCCCAGCCCCGTTTCCTGCCGACACCCCCTCTCCGGGTTCCAGGGCAGTGAGGTGAGGTGAGGAGCCCCGGGTGCTTCACCTTGGCCACCCCTTCCACTCCCAAGCTGGGGGTCAGTGCTGCGGAGCCGGACACGGGCAGCTGCCTGTGGCTCCGGAAAGGGCACAGCAGGTGAAAACTGGGCCGCTTCCTTTCAACCGCGCAGGCGCAGCCCAGGAGGGTGTGCCGCCCCCACCCTGCGCCGGGCTCGGGGGCCCCAGGGGACCCGTCCTGCTGCCCGAGGAAGCACCAGGCGGGGCTGGTGGGGGCCTGGGCAAGGCTGGCCCTGCGGCCACTCACCTGCTGGGGTCTCGGAGCTGGGGACGTAGGAGGAGGCCGGGACCACGCTGGGAGTGGCGGGCAGGTAGCTGGTGGAGGGCAGTGGGGGCTCGCTGCTCAGAGCCCCAAGTTTCTAGAATACGATGCACAGACAGGCCCCGGTCTCAGCGCTACCCCCACGGGGGTGTGTCAGGACCTTGGACCCTGCCCCCGCCCCGGGGCTGGGGGAGGAGCTGCTCCCAGCCACAAGCCCCCTGCCAGGCAGGCCCCCCACCCCCAGCTGCCAAGGCAGAGGAAGGCGGCCCCTGTTTGGTTAAGGAGCCTCCAAACCAGCCATCTTTGAGGAGAGAAGAAAGCGAAGCCACATGTTTCTTATTACAAACACTACAGAGGACATGCCCTTGTAAGAAGATGAGAAAACACAGCTCAGGCCGCCTCCAGCCCAGAGCTGCTCGTTGTCTGCGTTGGAGCGGATGGGCCAGGCTGTCAGGCAGCGGGGCCAGCCCGCCGGCGCCCCCGCCCCCAGGCCGGCATCACTGCCCCGGAAAGCCCGGCACGGGGAAGCCAGCGCGGCCTCACGCACGTGTGCGCGCACCCGACACACACATCCCTTCTGACAATGCACTCCGGTGCCCGCGAATCGGACAAGAGGGAGGCGCTGCAGCCGCACCGAGGCCCTACCTGCGTGGACACCAGCCCGGCCGCATAGTCGGGGGTGGCATTCTCGATGACTGTCTCCTCCTTGGCTGGCTTCTCCACCACCTCCGTATCTGCAGGCAGAGCCCGGTCAGTGCCCCTGAGGCCCCCTCAAGCAGGCGCAACAAGCCATCCCGGAACGCAGCCCACGCCTGCCCTCGTCCCGGCCGAGGGAAGCGAGGCCGCACCGCGGGAGGAAGGTTGCCTCCCGCAGGCTCCCACGGCTCAGGGGCGCCCTTGCTGAGGCGGGGAAGGCACCGGAGCCGAGGGGGGAGCCCGGGAGAGCGCGGACCCTGCAGGGAGCTCGGGTACACACCCATCGTCTTCCTCCTCCTCTTCGCCTCTCGCCCGGCACCGACCATGTCCAGCTCAGAAATGTCCAGCAGCTGCCGAGACAGACAGAAGCCCACCCTGAACTACAACAGGGGGTGCGCCCAGGCCACTCCCGGGGCCACGACGGCAGGGGGTGGAGCCCACCTTCACGCCCCTCTCCTTCCGCAGGGGCGTCCTCGAGGGCGGGACGGGGGTCCGGTTCCCGGCAGGGCTGAAGACGCTGGGCGCGGCGGGGCTCCGGAAGGGCGCCTGCTTCGGGATGCCTCTGAGCGGGGCTGCAGGCGGGCAGCACGGCGCGCATCAGCGGGGGCCCAGAGAAGCGTCTCTCGCCACGGGCACGCAGGCCGCGCCGCAGGAAGGTGCCTGCTGCCCCTCGCTGGTCCCCAAGGCCCTGGGCCTGCTGGGTGCTGAGCCGGCATGAGCCCTGACCCCACAGACTCGCTGCACCTCGAGGGCAGCTGGAGGCGACACCCCGGATCACCTGTACCCCGCCCGTCCTCAGGGAGTAAGGGCCGGCTCAGGGAAGCACGGCCTTGGCCCTCAGTGACCTCACAGCCAACCGAGGGCGTTCTCCCCAAAAACGCTGCCCCTGCAGCACCTGCGCCAAACCTACCAGCAGTTCCCCGCCTTTCCTGCACCCCTCAGAGAGCGGGTCTGGTACACGACTGACGCCCGCCCTCGCCCCCAGGCCTGGCCCCGCGTCAGAGAGAGGGAAGTTGCTGGACACACCAGGGACAGCTCCTCCTGGGCCGGCCGGGCCCCGTCCCGTCCCGTCCCCGGCAGCCCCGCCTTGGCGCCCCGCACGCGGCACACCCCGCCCTGGCACCGCGGCCCAGACCCAGCGCCCACGGCCCCTCCTGGCATGGTCCACGGGGCCGGGCGGCCCAGGACGCGGGCCAAGGATGGGCCCACTGCCACTCCCGCACCCCCAGGCGCCGCAGAGAGGCCAGCAGCACCTCCTGTGCTCCCCGCAGCGACAGGGCTGGGGACCACCCCTCATGGTGACCCATCAGCTGCTACGCAGACACTGGCTCCCAGGCAAAAGGTCCAGATCTGCGGGTCTGTGTGTGACAGAAAGCAGGGCACAGGAGCAGGGCGCGCCCCCAGAGCGTACCGCCCAAGGCGGCCTGCCTCCGGCCTCCCCCGGGGTCTGCGGTTTTCACGTGGCCCATGCTCCAGGCTGTTTGCTGGGCCCTGGGCAGTAAGCTGTGTGTGCGTGTGGGGGGCACATGACACTTGGGAGTGTGGCCGCCCTTCCCCCTGGATGGCTGGCCCTTGCGGTTTGGAGGGAAGCTGCCGGCCAGCCCCTTTCTCGCCTGCTCGGTCACACGCGGGGGGGTCTGAGCTCCCAGCCCCGAGGAAGGACCAGGCCCCGGGCGCGAGGCGCGGCTGTCGGCCCCCAGGCAGCACCTCCGGTCTCTAAGGCCCCCGGTCCCCCGCCATTCCGCCCCCTGCGTCACACGCCCGCGTCACACGCCCGCGGACGCTGATGGGCAGGCAGCCTGGCTCTCCCGCAGGCCCAGGAGCCCGGATCCCTGTGGCGCTGGGCGTGGTGCGGGGCTCAGACAGGCCACCCCGGGGCCACTCCGGCGAGGGCGCAGCCTTACTTGTGGTGTCCATCTTGCGGAGCAGCCCGCGGCCCTTGGCGTGGAAGGGCACCCCCGCGCTCCTCTTCAGCTGCTGGGCGGTCTCGGTAGCTGTGAGGAGAAGGTGGTGGAGGTCAGCGCCCCAAAAGGCTGACACGCCTTCCGCGGCACCCACATCCTGACACATACACAGGTGTGTGTCCCGCAGAGCCCCGGCGGCTGCGCCTCTGAGCGAGCCCACTCCGCTCGCGGGGAGCCCGAGGTGAGCTCAGGCGCCCCAGCCACACCTGCACACAAAGCAGAGCCCGCGGGCCGCACGGCCCGGGAAGCCGGGCGCTCGGACGGGTCCCAGGGGCCGCATGTGGCCCACACCCTGTGAAGCCCCGGGGGCGGGGGCAGCACGGTGTTCCCACGCTGGGCAGGGGTCCGGAAGGAGGAGAACGCCCGGCCGTCGCCGCAGGGGCCTGGGGCGGGGATGTGGCCGCGGCAGGCCGGCCTGCACTCGCCCCGGACACTGCCTGGTTTTATTCAGGTTCCTTGGAAACAGGGTGTTTATGGGTGTTACTAACACCCTTTCCACATCCATTCAAATGTGACGGTTCACTGAAGTCTGGTTTCAGGCATCTTTTCCCCTGCTTTTCCCAGCAGGAACCTTCTGCATAGGTTTCTTATGCCACAGTTTGAGAACATGATAAATAAAATGACCAGGCGTCTTCAAAGCCAACCTGGGATCAAGACAAAGCTCAAGTCACGGGGGGAGCAGGACTGGCCTTTGCAAGGCCACCTGTCTCTTCACCCGTGTGACTCAGTCGGTAGAAACTTCATTTTTGTAACAAGGGCCACAGACACTTTAACCTGAAAATTCTTAAGTTCGTAAAACAGATTTTTAGAACACAGTTCAGCATAGCGATAAGAAAGAAAAAGTCTTTTTTGTAGGACTCTGCCTTTAAAAGACAGCTTAGGTCCCACAAAACCTAAACGGACACTGGGGCAGCACTCACACTTCTGCAGGAGCTCGGCACGCAGTGTGGCGCTCTTCGGCTTCCTCTTCAGCTGGAAGTGCTTCACGGGCGGGGTCAGCGGGCCAGCCAGGGTGGTCAGGGCGCTCTTATTCAGGTACCGGCACTCCAGCGGCAGCATAGCGGACGCCTCGCACTCGGTCACTGCCCGGGCGAGAACCAGCACGAGGTCAGGCGGCGCGCGCCCCTTCCACAGCCAACGGCTCGACTCACTTCTGCCGTCACGGAGGAGGGACCCCCGAGTCGCTCTGCCACCCGCCGCCGGCAGTGACGCCACCTCCACCGTGAAGGGCAGGCTGCCAGCTCCCATTCTGCAAACTCGGAGAGGGACTCGGAGAGCAGCCGAGCGCCTCGCCTTTGTGTGTTCGCTCAGAGTCGCCAACGTTTTCTGAACGGTTTTCGGTCTGTGCTCTGAACGCCGTGCCTGCACTCCTAAGCACGGGCTCGGTGCCGGGGCGGTTCCAGGCTCCGCAGCGCCCATCCCCGCGGGGGCCGCGTGGGCACGAGAAGCGCGTCGTGAGAAGTTTCAGAAAACACAGGGGCCGCGGTGGGGCGCACCCCGCGGGGCAGGGGACAGTCCCCAGCCTGACGCCCTGGATGCCAGCCTCATTTTAGAAAAGGCCATTTTCTCTTTGGAAGCCACCCCCTCCTCCCCGCACAGACCGACCGCGTGCACGCACCCTTTTCTCTGAGCTCCCCTAAGATGTCTTGAACGTTGGGGTTCTGCTCCTCCAGATCGAGGTTCAGCGAGCCCGTGTCCGGAAAGGACTTGAGGATGTCAGCGACCATGAGCACCCAGGGGTCCGAGTCCAGGGTGGCCAGCTGGATGATCTCCGTCAGGGCGCCTTTCATCTGCGCGGAGAGGACACGGCATCCTGAGTGGGTGGGAGCCTGCCACCCTCTCCACTGGGGGCGCTGCCGCCCCACGAGGAGCTGGGGAAGGAGCTCAGCAGGAGGGTGCAGCTGAGAGCCTTTGTTTTTTACGTATTTATTTTTAGAGAGAGGGGAAGGGAGAGAGAGAGATGAGAGAACCATCGGTGGCCTCTCACATGCCCCCACCTGGGCCGCAGCCCAGGCCTGCGCCCTGACTGGGAACTGAACCAGCGACCTTTCGGTTCACAGGCCGGCGTTCAGTCCGCTGAGCCACCCCAGCCGGGGCGAGGTGCCTGTGTCCAATCACAGAGGAGCCCCCTTCAAACCCCGCTGCAGCTCCAGTGGCCACAGGGCAGCAGCCAACCTCTCCGGCAATGGCCCCGCGCCCCCACCCCAGGGCCACCGCGCCTGCTCGGACCCGGTGCCCCAGGCCCGCGGGCGCTGGAGAACGCTCCGCAGAGGGCGGGGGCCCGTCACCGGAGGACACGGCGTCGGGCTCCACGTGACAGGCAGCGTCCAGTGCAGCCAGGCCGCCGACACAGGGAGCGGCCCCGCGGTCGCCGGGCCAGCTGGCTGGCGCGCGGTTTACTCCTGGGCTGGTGACAATGGCCTGAAACTGATGAGGCTGCCACACTAAAAACCAATCCGACCGCAGTATCTAAGGGGCGAGTTACGGGCACGTGAATTGTGTGTCAAGAGCACTGTTAAGACTCGTTCATGATTAAAGTAACACTTAAAAAACCTAGAAATACAAGGATGCTTCCCTAACCAGACACAAGCTGTCGATCAAAAATGACGGGGAAACAGAACCTGCGTCAGCAGAACATGGACGTTCCCCCTGTGTGACCAGAACCCAAGCAGCACGCCAGGCCCACGCGGGGTCCCCGCGAGTGCAGGGGACAGGAATCGGGAAGCCCAGGAACCCGGATTCCTCAGGCAAGTCACTGCCGTTAGTGGGACTTTAGCCCGGACGCTATTCACAAATTCATCTAAAAATAAAATTCGACCGTGTTTATCACAGCATGAAAAAATACGAAATGCCCAGAAACGTGTCTGACAGGAGACACAAGGCCTACGGAAACGATCGCACAACTTCACAACCAAGAGTAAAGACCTCAGTGGAGGCAGACGTCGACGTTCAGGACTCACACGACTCCCGTTCGGAGGGGACTCCACCCCAGAATGAACCACAAGTCAGCTCAGCCTCAGCCAGGATCCCCCGCGGCGCGTGGGAGCGCGCGTGACCGGCGAGGCGCGGCGCCCCCTCTGGAGGACGGAGCTCCGCCCAGCGAGCTGCCAAGACGTGGGCACGAGGCGGTGGCACAGGGCCTGGCGTTCCCAGCGCCGCGATCCACCTGTAAACGGCCCAAAAGCCCGGGCAGGGTCCGACCGCAACCGCGGCTCAGCGGCCCCTTTGGAAACGCTGTAAGGCGTGCGTTTCCATAATCGGTGCCTGGCCGCTGGGACATCCGGGCGGGCAATGATCAGACCAGACCCTGCTCACGCCTCGTCCCGGTGGATGCCCCCGTGAGAGGCACAACTGTAAGCTGCTCCACAGCGCGAGCGTCCCGTCCGCCCCCGCCCCGCATCCTGAACACGACGACCGGCCCCGACAGCACCCCGTCGCCTAGTCGCGGCGGCGCTGCGCCCAGATCCACGAGGAAGCCGCGTCCAGCCACCACGGAGGCACCCGCAATACGTGCAACTGAGAGAGGACAGCTACCCAGCCTTGATTTTAAAAAAAGTCCTACAAAGCAATGGGGGGGGGGGGGAATCAGAAACAAAAGGTCCGAACAGAGAATTCACGAAAAAGGGTCCCCTGCCCCCCCCCAACTTCTGCAACTGTGCGCGGGGAGGGCGTGGGGGCGGCTGCCGTGAGCACCGCGAACGCACACGAACGTGCAGCCATCCGCTGCCCCCCGGGGACTCGGACAGCGCGGGACGTCGGTTACACCTCGAAAAGGGGCGCAGGCACTTCGGAAAACAAACAGAAACCTCTAATGCTGTTCCACCCTCACCAGCCGGTGAGGCTGCGGAAGAAAGTTAAATTGATAAACCATCTCGGAAAACAATCTGGTGTAAAGCCCCCACCCCACTTGCACGGACGCCCGGGATGCCGGCCGCGCGCGGAGGGCGGCGCGGCGCGCTCGGCGGACGGGGCCCGCCGTCCAGGTGTCGGCCACGGGACGGCCGAGCGCCCCGGCGCCGCGCGCACGCGCGATGTCCGCGCGCTGCGCCCGCTCACGGTGCACACAGCCGCGCGCGCACGGGGCTCGGGGCCCGGCACGGCGGGGGGCGGCGGAACGGCGGAGGACCGCCCGCGCAGCTGATACAATTACACAGAAGGGCGCGGCCGCGCGGCGGGGCGGCGGGGCGGCGGGGCCGGGACCAGCTGGCAGGGCGGCCGCCTGGCGGCGGGCGGGGCCCAGGAGCGCACTCGCGCCCCTGTGGACGTCACACCTCACAACACAACACAGTCGTGAACCACGACCCTGTGGTAGCGATCGCAGCGTAGCTGGGGAGGCTCCAGCAACACCGGCCCCAACACTGACGAACGGCGGTTCACTTCGCCCGAAACCAGCAGAACGCGCCGTTGGGGGAAAAACTCACGCCCCTGACCACCTACTGGACGCGGGACACCGGCGCACGGAGAGGGCCCGCGGGCCGCGGGGCCTGCACGTGCGCCGCTGCGCCGGCGCGGCCGCCGCGAAGTCCTGCGGCGCCTGGGGCCCCGCACGGCCCGGCCCGCCCCCACGCACCCAGCGCGAGCAGCTGCCCGCGTCCATCCTCGCCGCCCGGCGCCCCACCCCCACGCCCGATGGGCGCCGCCTCCCCCCGGAGAAGGGGGCTGCGGGGGTGGCGGCCGGGCAGGGGCCGAGGGCCGGTGGGGGACTCCGAGCCCGGGCTCGGCCCCGGGAGGCCGGCCCCGCGCCGCGCGCCGCCGCCCGCCTCACCTCGTCTACCGTGCGGCGCGGGAGGTGCAGCGTCCCTAGCAGCAGCTTGAGCTTCACGGCCGACGAGAGGCCGTGGAAGCAGAGGCGGATGTTGTCGATGACCGCCGGCGTGAGCAGGGACGCGATGCTGGGCGGCGCCCACAGCTCGTCCGTAGCCCCCAGCTTGTTGTGCAGCCACAGGCCCGTGTCGCTCTCCCGCATTGACGCCATCTTGAGGGGGAAAAAGCCGGGCGCCACCGCCGAGCCGGCATCTTATGAAGACACCTACGCGCCCGCGGCGAGGACCCCCAACATGGCGGCGCCCGCTTGGGCGCCTGCGGGGACGTTGCGGCTGGGCGGGGCCTCGGCTAGACGCCGTAACGTAACATGGCGGCGCCCGAGACCCGCTCGCCGAACGGCCGTGTGACGCGACGTGACGTCAGGAGAAAGGCGTGGCACCTTTGGAGAGTGAAGGCGCGCGACGGCCGGCGGAGATCCCGGGGCGGGCCGGGCGCGGACCCCAGCGCCGCCAGAGTGGGTTTCAAGGTCAGAAAGACCCTCAGGGGCAGCTGCGTCCAAAAGAGGCAAGGAGCAGGGTCCCGCTTTCCTGCCTTCCGTGCCGCGCGCGGAGCACCTGCCGCGTGCCCTTCCAAGTCCAAACCTCAGGAGTACAGTTGGGACCCGGAAGCAGAACCTCAGAGGGTTGAGAAATGCTCCAAAGAAGGGCCGGTGGGTCGTTCTCTTCGCGCCTTTAGTGTGAAAGGAGACAACTAGGGGTTACGTGAAATCCATCGGCGGGGGCAGGCAAGGCGGGAAACCCCGCGTCGCGCGCAGGGAAGCAACGCCTACACTCGCCGCCCGCGGGGACGGGGCGCGCTGCCTTCCGGGTCCGGAGGAGGACGCGTCTCCGACTCCCAGAGGTACGTGAGCCGGGGCGCAGAAGAGCAGCGGACGGGCCGGGGGAGGATTACCCCGACCTTTGGGAGGTGCGTCCCCCTCCTGGAGTCCAGGGTGAAGGCTGATTGTGCTGAGGTCGCCGTAGGGGGGACGTGGCTCCCCGCCGTGACCTGCGCGGGTGGGGATGTACGGTCAGACCGTCCTTCGTGGTCACGTTCGGTCGCTGGGCGTCTAGGGCCTGCCACGCAGCCCTCTTTACGGTCACACCTGGGAGCCGCGGTGCCCGCCGCATCGAGCCCCGACCCTTCGCCGTCGTGGGTCCCATGACTCCAAGGGCGTGGGCGTTCGACCGCGGGTGGGGAGGAGAAAGGAATTGGGCGCAGGGCAGGCGGGGCCTGGAGGGCGGCGGCGGGATGCAAGTTACGCCGAAAGGGGCTTGGGGCGGTTTCCTGGACCCTGGCCAGACAGCCATCCCGACAAAGGGCCGGTGGCTGCGCCTGCAGCCGCTCCGCGTCCCGGGCCTGGGGCCCGTCCCGGGCGCCCGCACCTGCAGGGTTCGGCCTGCCCTTTCCAGCTGCCCCAAGGCGGCATTCAGTGGGCAGATTCCCTTGGGAGGTCCGCCCAGCGTGGCAGGCCCTCACCACCCCCGGCCCGGGCCAGCCTTGGACATGACCGCGGGGGGCACAGATCTGCCTGGAGGGCCTCCTCCCGCCCCGGCGAGCCCCCTGGCCTCCTGCCACCTTCCTCGCCTGCCGCCAGCGGTCCCTGTCCCCACGCTGGGGCGGGAAGGGGCCTCGGGTGGACCAGGCAGCGAGCTGGAGGCGCTCCCGAGCCCGGCCTCAGACTGAGAGGGTTGGGGGCCCGTTTGTCACGGCCTGGCCGGGCCCTCTGAGGAGGTGACGCTGCCGGTGAGGTCGGAAGAGGCTGCAGGTCGCGAGCAACGTGCGCGGGGAGCAGCTCGGAGCCCAGGAGCGCCCCCCACGTCCCTTCCCCCATCCCTCTCGCCGGCCTGGCCCGCCGCTGCCGAAAGCCTGCCTGGGCCCTAACCGCCCTCCGCCCACCGGCGCCCTGCCTCGCCCTCTGCCTGCGCCCGGGCGCTGGGAGGTCAGCCGCTCAGACCTGCGATCGGGACGCCGGTCCTCAGTGGGGGTGCGGCCCAACTCCGGTGCCGTTTTACTCGCGTCCATTTTTCTTTCGCCATCGGTCACTCCCACCAACGCTCCCTTCTGCCCCAGCCCCGCACCCTCTACGCCAGTGTGTTTGGGGTACATCCTGGCGGGTGTGTCCTTGACAGACACGAAGTGGCCTAACCTGTGCGTGCCCGCGCGCCTTCAGCGCACAGAGAGGCGATTGCGCCAGACCTTGTACCAGCGCGTGTAGCCCTCGCCTCCCGGGGTTCAAGCGCACGTGGCCGCCGCGCCCGCCGCACACACTGTGGGATGAGGTCCCTCCTGCGGTCCCGCCGGGGCGCCCAGGCTGCCAGGGGGCTGCCCCCAAGCTGCGTGCTGGGGCCGCTGTGAAACTTCCAGGAATTTCATAAGCTTGTCATTAAACAGCCGTTGTTAAAACTTCATTGTATTCACTTTACTACTTTACTTTCCACAAGGTATTTTACTTTATTTCACTATTACCCGCGCTCGGGGCGTTACTTACAGCTTTTGTAGCCGAGTGGCGGGAACGCTGTGCCCTGGCGGTCGGTTGAGTAACCCAGCAGCGCAGACCGAGGCCGGAAAAGACTCCCGCCGGCCGGGCTGTGTCTGCGCAGAGTGTGCGCGGGTCCAGGTGACAGAGGAAATGCCAGCAGCGAAGATCAAACTTGGAAGTGCGTTGTGTCTGTGGCCGCCGCGCGGCGAGTACTGCACACAGTGGGGCAGCACTGCGGCGGGTTCAGAAGCGCTGTTGTCGCCGGCGGACCCGGAGGCTGCCCGTGTCCCGCGGGACCAGACGTGGGTCATGAGCCAGCGGTGCTGGGGCTGAAGTTTCAGTGACAGTAATCGGAGCTGCTGTTCACAGACTCCGGCGGCAGCACAGCGGTGACGGGGAAGTGGGTTTGGGGGCGGGAGGAGACGTGACTTGGGGAGGTGAGTACACAATATGGTGTACAGACGACGTGCCATAGAATTGTGTCCCTGAAACCTATATAATTTTATAAACCAACGTCACCCCAATAAATTCAGTAAAGAAAAAATTAAATTGAGGGTGGAAAACCGTTTTACACGTGATTACAGGTCAAATTTAACGACAGCACATTTATTGGGAAGAGAGCGGGAGGCGACCACACGTGCCGAGTAGCGGCTGGAGTGGGAGCAGCAGGCGGCCGAGGCCGGTCTTCCTCCGCGGCGCAAACCGACCGCGGGCGTCGCCTGCACAGCTCTGGCCCCAAGAGTGGACCCTTGATCCAGATGCCTTCAGCCCGGAGCCCTGTTTGTGGCTTTCTACGGACTGTGGCACTCGGTGTGTCGGCGTCCTCGGTGCCACGTCATTGGAGTCAGTTCCGCGTTACCCGAGGAAACCCGACGTAGCCGCTGGCCTAACAAGGGGCCAGCAGCCCAGTAGGGGGAGGTGTCTGCGGCAGTAAAAAGCAACGGCGGATTAACGTTCCGAAGGGAAAAGGGATGCCTGTGAGTCAGAGGAAAAGGAGATCTACAGACCAAGGGTGAGAGTCCGCAGTTCATGGAAGAGAAACCCGAGATCTGAGGGGCAAAGATGCTAAGCGTAGCAGGCCCCCGAAAATCCAAATTAAAATACTGTGATGCCTCATCGCACCCATTAGATTGCAATGTTAGAAAGTCAAAGTTTTTGTTTTTAAATATGGATATTTAATTGTCCCAACACCGTTTGGAAAGACTGTTCTTTCTCAGATGCACTTGCCTTTGAACCTCAGTTAAGACTCTGTTGTCCGCGGACGTGCGGGCCTGTTTGCGGACCCTTTCTGTCCCAATCCGTAGGCACCACCTGTCTTCACGCTGACACCGCACTGCTCCATACGGTGGCCTTACAACGTGTTGAAATAATAGTTCAACTTCAGTGTTTCGCAAAGTGATTTTGGCTATTTTAGGCCCTTTGCATGTCTACATATACTTTAGAATTGTCAATTTCTAAGAAAAAAATCGTGGTCACAGAAGTCGTTTACAATGTACCTTTGTGGACCTTTTTAACATCCACAGGATCTGTAGTGACACCCCATCTTTATTTATTTAATTTCTGACAGCCACAGTAGTTTGTTTACGACTGAGCTCTTCATGTGATAGTTACAGAACAATCAATTTTACACACCAGAAATTACATTAAAAGCGGGAATTGCAGCGCAGACAGAACCCGGAGCGCGCTGCCGGCGCTCGCGGTTGTCCCGGGCGGGCCTCACCGCCCTCTGCGTCGCTCTGCCGCGGAGTGTGCGCCCCCGCGGCGAGCACCCGCACCTCTTTTTTCTAATAGTGACTTGTGTCCTCTTTTTTTTTTTTTTTTTTGGAATTGAGGTATAACTGACATACAATCTATTCGTTTCAGTATGTTCAGTATATTGTGTTACTAAAAAACCAGTAAACAGAAGCCTCCGGCGGAAATGAGATGGGGAGGCCAGCAGGGGGCTGCCAGCCTGCGCGGCGCCGTCGGGGTCACCGGCCACTCCCTCCTGCAGGCGCCAGGTTTCCTCTGGCCTTGGAGCGCCGTGCGTGTGGCCTGGCCGTGTTCGGATTCCAACGTGTCCTCAAATCCACTTTGCCCGGCTGACCTTTTGTTTCAGGCTAACATGTACAATATAATGATTCACTGTTTATATGCGCATATATATATATATATATATATTTTTTTTTTTTAAGATGTTTTAGAGAGCAGAGGGTAGGAGAGAAACTAATGTGTGGTCGCCTCTCATGTGCCTGCGCACTGGGAACCTGGCCTGTAACCCAGGCCTGTGCCCTGACTGGCAATTGAACCAGCGACCCTGTGGTTCGCAGGCCGGCGCTCAGTCCACTGAGCCCCGCCAGCCAGGGCTCAATGTTTTTGTATATAATACATATGTACACACACACACACACACACACACACACACACAACCCCCCCTTTAACACTTTTCTCCTTTTTTCTGTTAACCTGGCTAGATGTGTTGATTTTATTGATCTTTTCAAAGAACCAGCTTTTGGTTTCATTGATTTTTCTCTGTTGATTTCTCCTTTTTAATTTTATTAATTCCTGCTCTAATTTTTATTATTTCTTTCCTTCTGCTTACTTTGGATTTACTTTGCTCTTGTTTTTCTCTTGTTCTGAGGTAGGAGAAGCTCAGGTTATTGATTATAGATCTTTCCTAATAGACACATTAAATACTATAAATCCCACCCCAGCACTGCTTTTGTGAGCACACCTCACAAATTTTGGTGATTCATTTCCATTTAGTTCAAAATATTTTAAAGTTTCTCTTGAGGTTTCTTCTTGGAGCCCTGTGCTATTTAGAGGTGTGTTGTTTAATCTCCCAAGTATTTTGGGATTTCCCAGCTACCTTTCTGTTACTGAGTCCGACTTCAATTCCTTTGTGTTCTGAGAGCTGTGTGTTTCTGTTACTTTCAATGCGTTACGGTTGCTTTATGGCCCGGGGTGGGGTCTGCCTTGGTGCGTGTTCTGTGGCAGCGTGGGAGGCATGTGTCATTTGCTGCTGTCGGGTGAAGTGGCCTGTAGGTGCCAGTGACACGCAGCCGTTTGCCGGTGCTCTGGAGTCCAGCCACGTCCTCGCGGCCCCCCTGCCTGCGGCCCTGTCCACTCTGACGGAGGCGTGCCGGCGTCTCCCACTGTGACCGTGGGGCCTGCTGCTTCTCTGTTATTCTTGCCTTAAAATCTATCTTATCTGATGTTAACATAACGGTACCAGTCTTGATTTTATGAGCATTTACATATTGTGCCTTTTATTGGTTTCATTTTCAGCCTTTCTGCAGCTTTGTAAGGATGCAGGGTCTCACAAGCAATGTACAGTTGTGTTGGTTTTGTTTTTTTTTTTTTTTTCAGGGTGATGATAATTTCTGTTTATTAACTGTAATGTTTTGTACATTTTCATTGAATAAAAATCATTGCTCTGTTTGTTCCTTCCTTTTGTGTCTACTGATTGTTCTTTATCACTTACTTAATCACACATATTCATTTAAAAGTCATCCGCTCTGGGTATTTTTTAGTAGTTTTGCCAGGAATCGCAGTGGGTCTGCTTAGCTTGTCGCAGTCTACGTACTCTACCTCTTTAAACACCTAACACCCTGGGAAACATAGGAAACAGCTTTTCAGGCCGCAGACGACACAGGCAGTGCTGCATGGCGAGGGACCGTCCCTGGAGCCCAGCCTGCCCCTGGAGGGACGTCCGGCTCCGGGCAGGGAGCAGGAGGCTGGGTACGCCGGCCGCGGCGCTGGGACCTGGGGCAGAGTGCGGAGCAGAGGCACCTGGGCCAGGCCGAGCCCCGGGCCCTGCAGCCTGTGCCCCGCCCTCCCAGCGGAGTCCGGCCGGCACCTGCGCGTGAGACAGGCCACACGGGCAGGAGCGGCAGAGCCATGGGGCGCCCAGCGAGGAACAGGCACCACCCCCGGCCCCCGGCCACAGGGCACAGTCACCGCCTCGGCAGGGGGTCACACCGGCCTGAGGATTGAGCAGAGCTCCACTGACAAGACTCAGGTCCAGGCATCCTGACTGCCTTCGAGAACAGAGCTCAAAAGTATACAAAGGAGTGAAAATCTCCAGGACGCTGTGCAGTCCACAATGTCTGACACCCAGAGAGTTAACCGTGAACGCAAAGCAGGAAGACCGACCCACAGCTGGGATCCCTCTGTGGGAACCGCAGGCGGGGCTCACATCGGGGGCCCTCCCCTCAGGCTGCGGCCCAGCCCGCTGGGCGCTGAACCGCTTCCCCGCCCGCCCAGCCCACCAGCCTGACTGGGCGGCAGCGAACTCCGCCTGCGCCCTGAGCCCACCCCCAGCCCCCGGAATGCAATGCCACCCTCACTGCCACCCGGCCCTCCGATCCTGTGCCCACCATGGGCTCTGCCTCCCCAAAGGCGCGTGTAGGGTGGGGGGAGGGGGCTCTGCTGGGGGAGCTGATCCCCGAGATAGTCCCAGGCAGAGTGGAGCCAGTGAGAGGCGGCCCGCGGGCCACTTGCAGGCCCAGATGCCCCAGACCCACCGGGGTCAGCCCCTGCGTGGTGGCCCCGGGGAGAGTGTGGAGGGGCCACTTCCTGAGCTCCCTGGTGTTCCTGATGAGGCCATTACTTGTGCCCACACTCCAACCTGCAGGCCCTTGGGCTCTCGACCCCGCCCGCAGGGCCCACCGCCCCGGGGGCGCCATTTCTGGCCCGGCCCCGACCTGCACTGCCTGGCCCCCCAGCCCTGCGAGGCCCCCCTCCACGTCCCGCCCCTGGGTGGGCGCCCCTGCCTGTGTGGGCCTGGGGGGGAGGCGGCCCCGCTCTCTTGTGTCCCAGCAGACCCGGCCCCTGCCCTCCGGGGCCCGGGCCCCCGCGGATGATGCAGCCAAGGCCTCCCGCGCAGCTCCCCTGGGGCACTCGCCGCCCCTCGCCCCAGCTGCAGCACACGCCGCGTCTCCAGGCATCGCCGGTACCCCTGCGGGCACCCCCCCAACTCTGGGTGCAACGAAAACTCAGCATCTCTAATGAAGTTCATCGTCAGAAGGTGAGACCTGTGTACGCAACCCAGGTGTCCACCTATGGACGGGTGGACAGGCAACCGTGTCCGTCCACGCGGTGGCACGTCAGCCTTCGGGAGGACGGGTGAGCCGCAGCCTCCACGGGGCTGAGCCAGCAGGACGCCGGCCGGGGGTCAGGCACAGAGACTGACCGGCGATCCCCCTCCGGAGATGCTGAGGAGTCGGGTCCACGGAAGCAGACAGGAGGCGGCAGGTGTCAGGGCTTGGGGCAGGGCGGGGGTGTTTAACAGGACGGAGGGTCAGTATGGGGAGACAGAAGAGACCCCAGGGAGAGGGTGGGGACAGCTGCCCACACCGAGGATGTCCTGGTGCTGCCAAGCGGCTGTGCGCTGCGGGGTGCACTGTTAAGTACATACATGCATGTTACAACTTAAGAAAGAAGCTACAAAAGAAGGCCCTTCTGGTTGTCTTATGGAGACTGGACCCTGGAGGCAGGGGTGGCAGGAGGAGTCAGCGGGGGCAGGTGGACCCCAGGGCAGGGCGCCTGGGTCTGGGGCTGCCGCAGGTCTGGCCAGAGCCCCGACGGCATGGGAAGGCCAGGCCGCAGCGGCCGAGCTCTGCGGGGGTGAGGGGGCGGCGGCGACCGATGGAGGCTGGAATCGGGCCAGCTCGTCCCGCGCTGCCACTGCGGAGTCTGATCTCCCAGTGGGGACACATGTCCGGGGACAGCTGGACACGGGGACCAGGTGCTGTCCAGTGGTCTTTCACAGCTGCGGCTGGACAGGGCCACCAAGTGTGGGGGTGTAGTGGAGAAGGGATCTAGGGACAGGGCCGCGGGGAGCGGACACTGGAGGTGGGGGGCAAAGGGCGGCCACGCGGGGAGGGCTGGGCCTGGATCGGGCAGGACGCCAGTGGGGCCCCGGCGAGAAGAGGGCGGAAACAGCGGCATGGGGAGATGCTGAGCGGAGTGGCGAGGGGCTCCTGGGGCTTGCTTTGTCCGGAGGGGGTGCAGGCTGGGGGGAGGGGAGAAAGCACACTCGCAGCCCCCTTCCTCGGGGCCCGGCGGCCTCGAGGACCCCCGCGGTTCCGTCCCTGGCCGGGGGCGCAGCCCTCAGTAGGGGCGCACGGGCGGGAAGTTTAGGCTGGACCGCGGGGTGACCCGAGCCGGAATCAGAGGATCCTGGGGCGTGCGGTGATCTGGCCGCAGCTGGAGCTCTGGAGTCGGCTGGTCCCCTTGCTCACGTGGGCGCGGCCGCGCGTCTGCGGAGAGGGCGGCGGGAGCAGACGGAAACAGCCGGGGCCTCTCGGCGTCCCTGGGCGCATGACCCCCGGAGCGGGGCTGCAGCAAGACCCTGTCCCCCAGAGCTCGAGGAGGGGTTTTCCGCCCCGCGAGCGCCCCACGGCAGGAGCAGACCGGAGGTCAGAAGCCCGGCCCTTTTCCTGGGTCAAGGAACACGCATATGGCCGGGCCGTGTGCATCCTCATTCCGTGCCTGGGCGACAACCGCCCCGAGGCCCGCGGGTGGCGGTCGGAGCCGGGCGCTGCCCCACCTGGCGCTGCCCCACCTGGCGCAGCAGGACGTGGGCCCGGGGCGCCCTCCCTGGGGTCGAGGCTTCTGCGCCCTTGCTGGGCCCTGTGGGGACCAGCGCACGCCAAGTGGGTCCCCGCTACTCAGAGGGACCAGTCTCCCCGCACCCAGGGCCTGAGACGCGCATCAGGCGTCTGCGGAGGCCACACGCGGCTCTTTCCTCAACAACAGTGTGCGCTCACAGAGGAGAAAAGGGCACAGAGAGTCCTGGCGACCGCTCCCAGGTCACACAGCACGGGAGCCGCTGAGGTGAGGGTGGGGGCGGAAGGCGAGTGACAAACACGCGCCTGGGCACGGAGAAACGGAGAGCCAGGGTCGGTGGCCAGGCCGGACGCAGCGAGGGTGGACCCGTCCCGGCCGCGGACCTGGGTCGACCCTGGGCCGGACCTCCCGGGCAACGCACCCGATCGGCCCCACCTGCCCGGGGAGCAAAGCTGCGTCTCTACAAGCACGGTCCCCAAGCCGTTCGCGTGCGCCGAGCCCCTACCTCGGGTCGGCCCCAGGGACTCCCTAGCCCCTGCACCGCTCCAGCCGCAGATCTCCCGAGGCCTCAGCCCTGCCCCCGCCGGCGGCGGCTCGGAGGGCTCTGCCCAGGCGCCGCCTCCTCCAGGGCGCCCTCCTTCTTTCCTCCTTGCGCCAGACGGTCCCAAGCAGCTCTGGGCCAGGGAAGACACGAGGGTCCCTTTAAACGCGCGGTACGCGCAGGCTCCGAGTTTCCATGACGACGACGTCGGAAGGAGAACGGGGCAGGGTCGGGTAGCGGCGCATGCGCGGTGCGCGCAGAACGCGGCGAGTCTTCCCGAGTCGCCGGCCCGGCTTTCGCGGGTCCCTGAACCGCGGTGAGGGCGGGGTTGGGGTGGGGTGGGGTGGGGTGGGGTGGGGCGTCGCTGGGCCGCGGGGCGCTGCGGGGTGTAAGGAAGGTTCGGGGCTAGCGCTCACGGGTTGAGGTCGGTGCGATGGGGGGCGGGGTGGGGGTCGCAGAGGAGGGTGGAGGGCGGGCGCGCCGACCCTGCCGCGCTCGCTGCAGGGCGGCCGGCTCCCTGCGCGTGGCCATGGCCCCCCCGTCGCCGTGCAGACCCCTGAGGCCGTGGCTGCTGTTGCTGCTGCTGCTGCTGCTGAGCGTGGCGCTTCTGGGAGCGGCCCGCGCCGAGCCCACCGCTGGGAGCGCCATCCCCGCGCAGAGTAGGTGCCGCGCGGGGGTCCCCGCCCCGCCCCGCCAGCTTGCGGGAGGCCGCGCCTCGCCTTTGTTCCTGGCGGCCCCCGCGTCCCATCCGCAGCCCGGCTCCCCGGCAGCCCCTTCGATGTGGGGTGGGAAGTGGGTTCGGGGCTGGGACGCCCCCGCGCTGACTCGCGTCCCCACAGGCCGCCCGTGTGTGGACTGTCACGCGTTCGAGTTCATGCAGCGTGCCCTACAGGACCTGCGGAAGACGGCCTACAGCCTGGACACGCGGGTGAGGGGCCCGCGGGGCAGCCTCCCCAGTCTCCCCACCCCGCTGCCGGTGCAGCACCCTCTTTTGGCTCCGGTTATTCCCAGGCATTTGGGCGCACATCTCACCTGGCAGCGAGCACCCCCTTCGCGCACCCAGGACACCCCGAGTGTAGGGAATGCAGGCCGCCCGCCCCCCCAAAGCCTCACTAGGCATTTTTCCCTCGGTCCCCAACCTCCCAGCCAGATCCTGGGGGAGAACACCCGTCCCAGCCCAGCCTTCCCCAGCCAGCCTTCGCCAAGGGACACAGGCGGGGAAGGGGTGGTCACTCGCGCGGGCAGCGCTGGGCATCGCAGGTGGGCTTGGAGAGGGTGGTCCCGGACGGGGGGGTGGGGCCAACCCCCAAGTGTGGGATGAACAGTGAGCCCCCCCCCCCCCCCCCGCCTCCAAGCCTTCACTGTTTCTCAGCCGAGGAGTCTTTTTTTTAAACATTGATTTTTGGGGGAGAAAGTGAGGAACATGATGCGTTGGTTGTTTCTTGTATGTGCCCTGACTGGGGATCGAACATGCAGCCTTGGTGCACCGCGATGGTGCTCTAACCCACGGAGCCACCCGGCCAGAGTCTTTACGACAGAGATAGAACCTCCTCTGGACTGGGAGACCTCCCGGAAGGGGAAAGAAGGGGCGGCCCCAGCCTGGCCCGGTCCGAAGGGCCTGGAGCGTCCCAGGGTCCGCGGGGCCTGAGCCTGAGTCTGGAGCTGGGCTCCTGAGAGGGGCAGCGCCCATGCGCCCTCAGTGACGGGGAATGTTAGAGGTTGGGGGGCCCTGATGGGGGAAGGGTTGGAGAAGCGGGGGAAAAAGTAATCTCCCTAGAGGGACATGGGTGCGCAGGGCGCCCCGCAGAACTGGGGTGGGGGCTTGCACCTGCTGGCGAAGGGAGGAGGGGGGCTGCGGCAGGGTAGTGCAGAGGGTCCCTGCAGTGAGCAGGGTGGAGACAGAGCCAGGAGGGGCTCTGCCAGGGTTTGGGGGGGACAGCAGCCAGGGGGCGTGGCAGGGGTGTGCCGGTGGGCGGGGCTGGCCGCACGTGACACCGTGACCTCTGTTCTTTGCAGACCGAGGCCCTCCTGCTGCAGGCGGAGCGCCGCGCCCTGTGTGCCTGCTGGCCAGCCGCGCGCTGAGGACCCTCGCAGCACTGTCCCTGGTCAATAAACACCCAGCTCAGCACGCCTGTGTCGTGTCCCTGCTCTGGCCACCAGAGCCCACCTGCGCCGTCCCCGAAGCCCCTGGCGGGGCCGCTCTCCAGGCCCTGACCTCCCCGTCTGTCCCGTGGGCCGAGGTCCCCCCTGCTCCTGTGCCACCGCCACGCCCATGCTGAGCCCAGACGTGCACAGCCGACCCCTCGCATGGGCCGGGACCCATGGGCACTGCACTGTGGCCGGTCTGCCTTCCAGGCCCCTGCTCCCTTGCCCGCATGCCCTTGTTTCCTGGCCAGGGGCCGACAGAGCCGGTGTGGCCCCCAGAGCAGCTGGCCCTGTGCTGAGCCCCTCTGCACTGTGGTGGGGTTAGCAGCTGGGGGAGGCCCGGCCAGTGGGCCCAGCACCGCAGAGCCCGTTGTGGCCCAGGAACCCCAGCCACCAGGAGAGGGAGGGCTCCTCCCTGGAGGAAGGGCCGCAACCTTCCCCAAGGCCAGCACCCGCCTGCTGGGTCCCTTCTGCAGCCCCCAGCCCAGCCCCATCCTGTCCTGGTCAGTGTTTCCTTGGATCCCTTCCAGGCCCAGCGGGATCCACTCTGGGGCCAGCGCTTCTGTGCCTGGAAGCGCAGGCAGGAGGCCGAGCGACGTGGCCGTGACCTCTAAACCGCACAGCAGGCCAGACGCCGAAACCAGGGCAGGTCCAGCGTGGCGGCCCTTGCGTGAGCGCGGTGCGGTGGCAGGGGCGAGGCGCCCCTGTCCTGGGGCCCCTGAGAGGAGCCGGAGCCGCTGAGGCAGGCGTCTTGCGTGCAGGGTGCTGTCTGCACGCGCGTCTGATTGGCCAACCTCAATCATGGCCGCTCCCGGGTGGGAGCCAGAGGGCAGACGCGTTGTGGGCTGGGCTGCCGGACTTGGCAAACCCCAGCCCAGGGCGGATGCACACTCAGTGTGAAACCAACGTGTTCTTAGGGTCAGCACTTCTTAGTAGACACACACGCCATGCAGCTCGGGACAAAGTTATACTAAAAAGTTTTCAGTTTTTATCCAACATTTAAATTTAGCTGGGTGTCCTGTATTTTATGGGCAGCCGTGAGCCCTGGCCCAAGTTGGGGTTTCCATTGACAGAAAAGATGGGGGCAGCAGAGCGTGCCTGTCACAGAATGATGGGGAGCCGCCCTTTGGGAGGAAGTAGGGGCTGGGGGGGGGGGTGCCGGGAGGCTGCTGTGTGGTCTGCCCAGCGAGGGTCTGCAGCTTCGCAGCTTCAGGGTCTGGAGGGGGCAGGAGGGAGTGGGGCGTCACGATGGAGCCGGCAGCCTCGGGTGGTCAGCGCAAGCAGGGACACAATGTGCCATCTGAGCAGGACCCCGGTAGAGAACAGCGCCTGGGGTGGCAGGGACAGAATCAGCCGTGAGGGGGGCGGGGGCCCTGGGAAGCAGTGGTATCTGAAGGGAGAGCCCCCAGGACTGGCCAGTTGGTAGGTTTGAGAGGAAGGGCGCCGGGAGGCGGGATGGGGTTGGGAGAAGGAAGGACTGGATCGGAGCTGGGCTGGTGGGAGGAGAGGGTTGGGCCGGTGCTGGCTGGGGTCCCCCAGGCCTGAGAGAGGAGAGAGGAGTGCGGAGGGGGGTGGGGCAGCCGGGAGGCGGGGGCGGCCGCAGGGCAGGCCGGTGTCCGCAGGGAGGCCGGCTGGGCCCCTGCGCTGGGCAGCGCCGGCGGGGGCAGGAATGGGGCTGGGGTGCGCAGGCCTGAGTGAGGCGCGTAGGACGGGCCGTCGGCGCCGGCAGCTCCTGTGAGAGTTTGGGCCGGGGTGTGGCCAAGGCCAAGGGCATTCAGGCTTCCTGCGTGGAAACACGATTCTCCACCGTCTAAGCCGAGAAGGAACTGCGGCCGCGCGGCGGGCGGCCGTTGTGCTTCCTGGGCCTCTGAGCCTGCCGTCCCCCGCTCCCGCTGCCTTTGTCTCATCCTTAGATCCTCCAGACGCCAAGTCATCCTCCCCGCCCCCGCCCCGTGTCCCCTGCGGGGTCCTTGTCCTCGGCCTCCAACCAGCTCGGCCTCCCCAGCTGCACCCTTCACTCCTGAGCTTTGGGCCTCTGTGTCCTAGGCCCCTGGAGCATGTGCTCAGTCAAGCAGCTTCCCAGACACTGGCAAGCGGCCGTCCGGAGCCGGCGGCCTGCGGTCTGGCTGCTGGTGCGTTCCCCTGCTCGCGCGCCGCGCGGGGGCGCCCCCCTCCACCTGGGCCGCCCCCAGGACCCGCCCACTCCCAGCCCTCACCCGCCCACTTGCCTTTGCTCTCCCTCGGGGCTGCTGGGGCGCCGCCCCCCCCCCCCCCCACGAGGGCACGGTGCTGTCGGCCCGCTGGCCTCCAGCTGCGCGCAGCAGGCGGCTGTCCAGGCCCCCTCCCTGGGACGCCCTGCGAGCCGGCCGGCCGCTGGTCAGAAGCCTGGGCCCGCAGCTCGGGGACATCGTCCCCCGCGCCATCTCCCCTTCCCCATCCCGGGGACCCTGTTCGCTGCGCCCTGGGCCTTTGGATTGGCTCCTGGTTTTCCTCCCACCTCCGGGCCTCTGGATTCGTGCCCCCCCAGCGTCCCTGTCGCCCCACCCAGGTCCCAGGTGCCCCCTCGCAGGCCCCGCCTGCCCCCACCCCAGGAACAGGCTGCCTCCTGTCCTAGGCGCTCAGCAGCCGGTCCATCTGGGGGCAGTGTCAGCCTGCAGCTCAGCCGGGGAGCCTGGGCCGGGGCTCGCTGATGCTCACACAGCCCCTCATGAGGCAGAGCTGTCGGGGGGCACCAGACAGGATCTTGGGCTGAGCTGGAGTTCAGGGACAGGTGGGGGTCAGAGGGAGGGCACTGGAGAGCAGACCGGCCGACCGGCCCACACTCGGGATTTTTGTCTCTAAAACGAGCTCCTGATGTGGGCTGAGGGCGCGGCCTCCCTGGGGTGGGGGGCACCCCGTGCCCCTGAGGCTCAGAGGAGTGGCCTGGGCTGCCCTGCTGTCTCTGCACTGGTCACCCCCATTCCAGGTGCCTTGAGCCTCCGAGACCTTCCGGGTGGCTGTCCTGGAGCCCAGCCCTGTGCCTTTGCCGCTGATTCCGGCTGCCCCCCATCTCATCCTGGCCCCTGGTGCTCAGGGACCCGTGGGGCTGACCGTGAAGTCCAGGCCCCTGGAGGTCGGGCCTCTGCGGGTTCGAGGGGCCGCCAAGGTCACCCCGAGTGCACGCCCAGGCCCTCTCTGCCCTCCGCTCTCCCGGCCAGCACCAAGTGTGACCGAATGCTCCCCAAGTTTCTGACCTGGCGCTCAGAGCCCACAGTCAAAGCCCCCATTTCTCTGGGGTCCCTGCCTCACTGGGCCTGCCAGCGCGCTCCCCAGTTCCTGGTTTTTCCTGCCCGGACGCCTGGCGCGCTGCCGCCTCCACCGGGCCAAGCTCGGGACCCCGCGGGGCGGTCCGCACCTGGGCTCGCCGGGCACGTGGATGGGTCCGGAGAGGATCCCCCAGCGGCCGTGATTCCGCTCTTCATCCCCCGCAAGGTCGCGGCCAGGCCCTGGTCAAGTCCTGGCATCTCAAACACACGGCGCGGGGGTGGCTTCCCCCCCGGGCCGCGCCCTCCCCCCGCGGCAGCCCGGCCGCGGGCAAGTTCAGCTCCTCGGTCTGGGTCCCTCAGTGCCATGTTGGCAAAGGGTGTTCAGTCCCTTCTTGGCCCTCGAGTGGCCGCAGCCGCCTCGCTGGGCCCCAGCGCAGGCCCAGGGTCCTCAGGCCTGGACCCCTGGGCCTCGTCCCCATCCGCGTGGGTGCGAGGACCTCACTCTGGGCTGCCCTGCGAGGTCACCTCCGGGGGAGTGGGGGCGAGGAGGAGAGGGGCGCAGCGCTGCAGGGCGCTGGGCGAACCAAGTGCTGGGGGTTCTGAGACCACTTGCCTCCCTACCCCCGCCCCCGCCCCGCCCCCGGCCCGCGGCGCCAGCGGGCCCTGCTCGCAGGGACCCGAGGACTCCGCCAGCGCACCCTCTGCACCTGCACCGAGATCGCAGGGCGCATGCGCAGGCCGCGGAGGGCGGGGGCCAGGCGGGAGGGGTCCTGCGGGCCCTCGCGCCGCCCTCCCCGCTGCCCGCAACGGGTGTCTCTAGTCCGAGCAAGGGGGCGCAGCGCTGCGCTGGGTGACGCGGGCAGCAGACCCCGCTCCGGCCGCGTCCCCGCGCCTCCAGCCCGTGCGGCCCCGGGCGCACGTTCCCAGGGGCACCGGGCCGGGGAAGCCGGGGTGTCCCCTCCTAGGACCCCGCGGGGCGCCGCGCTCAGACAATGGGGCGGGAGGTGGAGGTGCTTTCGTGACTGCGCCCGGCGGCTGAAGAGGAAGAGGAGTACGCGGTGCTACGGGATCCGGAGGCCCGGTCCCAGGTCCCGGCGCTTCCAGGCCCGCGCGGAGCGGCGGCGGCGCGGGGACGCAGGGCCGAGGTGGGAGGTGCCCGGCCCGGAGCCCCACGGAGCGTCCCTGCCAGCCGAGAACCCCGGCCGCGCTCTCGTTCGTCGCCGGCCTCCCCGGGCCGCCCGCGCCGCCCCCGCCCGGGCGCATCCCCGCTGGCTGCCCGCGCCCGGCCGCGCTGCAGCGCCCAAGTGTGCCATCGGGCGGGCGCGGAGGCGGCGTCTGCTCCCACCCCCGAGATCACATGGTGACCCTCGGCAGCCAATGCAGTGGACGCTAGGACCCTGCGGGACCCCGGGCGCCGCGACTGCACCGGCGCCGCTGCATTATAAATACTTCTCCAAAATGCGGCGCAGCTCCCAGCGCGCGCCCCGGCCGCCCGCCGCCTCCGCCCCGCGCCCCTGAGCCGCCACCGCCGCCGTCGCCGCGGGTCCGAGGGCGCCGCGCCCTTGCCCTGGGCCCGGGCTGTGCCCGCCCGCAGCCCGGCCCGCCTCCCCGCGCTGCGCCGCCCGGCCGGGTGCATGCATTGTGAGCCTCCCGACATGGTCTGCGAGACGAAGATCGTGGCCGCCGAGGACCATGAGGCGCTACCGGGGGCCAAGAAGGACGCGCTGCTCGCCGCCGGCGCCATGTGGCCCCCGCTGCCCGCTGCGCCCCCACCCGAGCCCCAGCCCCTGGGTGGTGCGGGGGACGCGGGTCCGCCGGAGGGGCGCGGCGTGTACATCCGCGAGTTCCGCGCGGCCGAGCAGGAGGCGGCGCGCCGCATCTTCTACGACGGCATCATGGAGCGCATCCCCAACACGGCCTTCCGCGGCCTGCGGCAGCACCCGCGCACGCAGCTGCTCTACGCCCTGCTGGCCGGTCAGTGCGCGGGGACCTGCCGCAGTCCGGGCTCGCCGGCCCCGCCGGGACACACGCGCAGGGCCCCGCTCGCCCACCGCGGGCCGGCCCAGGACGCAGCCCGGGAGGGGAGCGGACACGCACCCGCGCGACTCCGCTCTGCGGCGGCCGGCGCGCTGGCCTCCCGCGGCGGGGCGGGCTGGGCTCACGGCCAGGGCGCGCCGGGCGGGAGCGTGGGAACGAGAGCGGGCCGGGGCGGGGGCGCGCGGGGGTCTCCACCTGCGTCCCCGCCTGTCCCCATCGACCGTCCGGGTGGGGGCGGGTCGACGGCAGGTAGCTCCGAGGCCGAGGCTCCGCAACGGCCGCGTGTGACTATATATAATCCGCGGGGCGGGGGAGGCTGCCTCACGGCTCCAAGTGCTAATTTATGAGGGGACGGCAGCCAGCTCCCGGGGTGCCGGGCGGGTGTGTGCCCAGGACGCAAGCGGGGGGCAGGGGCCCTCGGATTGGGCAGCCCCGCAGGGGCCTGGGGGCCTTTCCCCGCTGCGTTTCTCCCCATTTCACAGATGAGGCGCCTGAGGCTTGGGGGCGGGGTGCGACTCCCCAAGGTCATGAGCGGAGGCAGCTGTCACCGCCGGCACATCGGCCTCTTGGCCGCTCAGATGGGGCGGGAGCTGCCTCAGGCCTTTCTGCCTCGTTCCAGGGGAGGGGGACGGCCTGGGGCGGGCTCTGGCTGGGGCCCCAGGAGGGTGGTCCTGGGGTTTTCGCACTGGAAGACCCCTGCCCCGGCTCCCCCCCCCCCCCCCCCGCAGGAGCCTGGCCAGGAAACTCCTGGCCTCCCATGGGGCCAGAGCAGGCCCTTCCCTGGGACCACAGGGTGGTGGGCGAGGGCCCCTCCCGGAGCCATCAGGGGCAGCCCCCACCCCCCCGGGGCCCGCTGTCCTGGGGACGCTGGGACACTCAGTGCGGGAGGCCCTGGAGGCCGCCTGGCCCTGCGGTGGGAGGTGGGAGGGAGCAGCCGGGAGGCCCCGCTGCTTCTCCGGAGAACACAGGCGCGGCGTTGCGTGGCGTGGCCTGTCCCCGGCACCGGTCCTGCGGGGCTCGTTGACGGGCCCTGGCCGCGCCCCTGACCGCCCCGTGTCCCCGCAGCGCTGTGTTTCGCCCTCACCCGCTCGCTGCTGCTGACGGGCCTGGCGCTGGCTCTGCTGCTGGGGCTGCGCTATTACTACAGCCGGAAGGTGGTCCTGGCCTACCTGGACTGCGCCCTGCACACCGACATGGCCGACATCGAGCGGTACTACATGAAGCCCCCCGGTGAGTCCTCGGCCCCTCCCGCCGCCTCTTCCTCCCTTTGCCCCTCCGGGCCCCCCCCCGCCGCCCCCTGGGCAGAGCCGCCCTCGCCCAGCGGCCTCAGGCCAGGAGGGCCCCCGACGAGACTTCTGGCCAGGAGCCGGGGGTGCCGTGGGCTGGCAGAGGCTGGGGCGCAGAGCCACCAGGTCCTTGGTGCTGAACCAAGGTCCACGCGTGTCCACATGGGCCCACCTGGTCTGGGCCTCTGTCCTGCACCCCCTGAGGGTGGGCTGCCGCCTGCCCTCCCCCGGCGCTTGCTGGGTGCGGGCCCCCCTCGCGGCTTGTGGGTCCTGCCTGGCCGGAGGTGCTCCTTGGTGCCCTGCTGACTGCCGGGTCCCGGTGTCTTAAGTTTCAGTCTCTACTTCTGGGCTCTGGGCCACTTAATGAGCCGCAGGGCCTTGCCCCGGGCCCCTGGCGAGGCCCCTGGCCAGGGAGGGGCCTGGACCGTGTCTGGGGACGCCCCGTCTGTCCCGCAGGCTGGCCTTGGGACGCGGGACCCCGGTCTTCTCCATGCCCGGAGCGGAGGTCAGATTCTTCCGTGTGGCTCCCTGGGTGCGGGGGTCTCCCAGGTGCTGGGCGTCCCCAGGCTGAGGAGAGGGCACAAGGTGGGCCCAGACAGTTGGGGTCTAGCAAGAGCCTAGGGGGGGTCAGGGAAGACAGCGGGGGACGAGGTAGGCGAGGCGTCCCCGAGCAAGGACGGCCTTCCCTGGCACGGCCGGCTCCGTGGGGGCTGGTCCCACCCCCAGCCCGCCCCGCCGCCGTGTGGCCGGCCTTGGGCACCTTTGTTTTCCTTGACCCTTTCCCAAGCCCAGACAAAGCATCTTACCAGCCCTGCAGGGCCCTTGCTGTCGCCTGGCTCTGCCCATGACAGGCGGGGGGGGGGGGGGGGGCAGGTACAGAAGCAGAGGGCTCACTTGGGGGCCAGGGGCGGCATGAGGACCCTGTGCTCGGGCCTGCGCCCGGGCCGCGTTCTGCCTCAGTGTGACGTTGGGGGGCCCTGTGCGGGTCTGCAGGGTGACCTCACGGGGACAGAGAGGCTGGACAGCAGCTCACAGGGCCGTGCTGGGTGCACGGGGAACCCAGGAGATGGGAGGCTCCCAGTCCTGCCCTGAGCTCTGGGGGGGCGAGGGGGGCGGGCCAGCGGGCGGCCGGCCCCAGGCGGCATTTCCTCAGCGCCCGGCTCGGCCCGTGCACGCTCGGCCCGTGCCAGGCCTCAGCTGAGTGCGGCCAGAGACGGGGGCCTGGCAGGCGGAGTGGAGGGGCTGCCGGGGGCGGCGGGCGGACGGGACAGAAGCACCGGGACCGGAGGAGGGGCGAGGGGTGTCTCCCGGGCTGGGCGCAGGAGCAGGACGCGGCGGGGGGAGGGTTTGGCCACTTGCAGGGGGAGCTGGGGGCGCCCGGAGACGGGGGCAGGAGGGCCCACGAGCAGGGGGTGCGCAAGCCAGTCTCCTCAGAGTGGGCGCCCCCCCACCCAGCCCTTGCCGGCTGTAGCCCTGGGCCTTTGGTCACCAATGGCCCCAGGCGTTCCCAGCGGCGGGTGCCCTGCAGCCCTCTGACCTCTGGTCTCCATCCCCTCCCCCCTCCTTGCTGCGGCCTCCCCTGACCTTCCTGCTCTGTGTGGGGCTGTGATGGGTCCGGGCCGGGGGTGGGGGCAGCCGGCCCAATCCCTGGGCTGGCTGCCCAGGACAGGCCAGGGTCAGTGGGGGGCGGTGATCAGGGCCATCCTGGGCTCCCCGCTTGGGTTTCTCAAGTGTCGACAGACGTCCCCCACGCCTGCCAGAGGCCACAGGGCTCCCAGCCCAGCAGCCCCTGACGCGGGAGAGTAGAGGCCGTAGCGTTGGCACGGCCCGGGGCTGGCATGGCCACGGGCCCCAGGGATCCCTGCGGCCCCAAGGCTGTGGCTCTTGGGGGGCCCTGCCACCTTGGCCTGTCCTCCCAGGCGCCTCTTGGGACCCGCTGTCCAGGGCCATCCGGACGCCCCCTCACGGCACCTGCCTCTCCAGCTCCCCGGCGTGGACACCCAGTGACGAGTGTGGTGGGCGCCAGGCGGCTGAGAGCCAGGGCAGGTTGGCTGCACCGTTGGCCTCTCGGTGACCACCCGTGGCTGCCCAGGCCTTTGGTCCGGGGGTCGCTGGGCAGGGGAGGGGCCCGCGTGGCTGCAGCCTCCCCTGCTCTCGGCACCGGGGTAGGGCCGCAAGGTCAGAGGCCACCCTGGGTCCCCAGGGGCAGCCGCATCCCACAGCAGAGCCAGCAGCCCTGACCGCCCTGTCCCCCGCAGGCTCCTGCTTCTGGGTGGCTGTGCTGGACGGCAATGTGGTGGGCATTGTGGCGGCCCGGGCCCACGAGGCGGACAACACCGTGGAGCTGCTGCGTATGTCCGTGGACTCGCGCTTCCGCGGCAAGGGCATCGCCAAGGCGCTGGGCCGCAAGGTGCTGGAGTTCGCGCTGGTGCACAACTACTCGGCGGTGGTGCTGGGCACGACGGCCGTCAAGGTGGCCGCCCACAAGCTCTACGAGTCGCTGGGCTTCAGACACATGGGCTCCAGTGACCATTACGTGCTGCCCGGCATGACCCTCTCGCTGGCCGAGCGCCTCTTCTTCCAGGTCCGCTACCACCGCTACCGCCTGCAGCTGCGCGAGGAGTGACCGCTGCCTGCCACCCGCCTGCCGCCGCCGGCTGCCCGCCCGCCTGCGCCCCCTGCCGGCCGCCCGGGCCTGCTCTCAGACGCGCTCACCGCGGCGTTTCTGTTGGGTTTCCCCCTTCTCCAACACCACATGGCTCTCTGGCCGGCTCTGGGGGGTCGGGGCTGTTGCTCGTCTGTGACACTTCGGGGGGTGGGTCACCCGCCACCGTGGCCCCCTGCCCTCCCCAGCCTGCAGGACCGCGCCCTGAGGAGTGACAGCGCGGACCACCGCCTGCTCACACAGAGGCCCCCTTCTGGCTCCCGGGGCTCCCGGGCCACGGCCATCCGGGCGGGGGGCCAGGCCTCGCCCGCCCCGCACAGAACCGCTGCAGGGAGGCCCTGGCCCAGCAGGCTCCTGGCCGCCAGCCAGGCTCCGGCTTGGCCGTCGGCCCCCAGGAGGCGCCGCCGCCCCGAGGGCCCCTCGCTCCGTGCATGCCGAGCACGCGGCCTGGCTGCAGCATGCTGCATGCCTGCGGCTCCCGCCCTGCCGCCCTGCCCGGCCCGGGCCGGCCCCTGCGGCCCCTGCTCTCGGGAGGACCAGTCTCACCAGCCCCTTGCTTCACCCAGTTCAGCTTTGCTTTGACACCCAATCACCTTTCCTTTTGGTCCCCACCCCTCCCCTGCCTGGGCTTCGCTGATTGGCACCATCACCCAGGTGTGGTTGCCGTAGCAACCCGCTGCACGGCCTCGGGCGGGGCCCTCAGGAGAGCAGGGTCGGAGGCCTCTGGCCCAGTGTCCGCGGGACCTGGCGGCCTCTCCCCGCCCTCCCTGCCTCGCGGCCCACGGGCTCTGCCCTGTGACTCTCCCTCACCGAGGCCGCTGCCACCACCGCCGAGCCCACAGCTTCTCCCAGCCTGAAACCGACCTATTTTTTTTAATAAGTTATTTAGACAGATATAGCACTCTGCATGTCTTTAATTCTTGGGACAAAACGGTAGTTCATACCTTCACACACACACACACACACACACACACACACACACACACCTGTGTGGTCTAGAATATGCACTGTTCCTGGCCCAGTTTGGTGGGGGTGGGTGGCTGGGTGGGTGGACGGTTTCAAAGTTTGGAATCTGGAGGGAGACCCTGATTTAGCATCATTTTCCCCCAAGAGCTTTCCGGGCCTGTGGGGAGGCTGTGGGCGGCCCCCCCAGCCCTGTGGTGCCCAGCCCCGTGGAGGGGCAGGGGCCGGCGGTGCGCGGCCCCCTCCGGAGGTTGGTCCGGAGGCCCGGGCTGCCAGGCGGGGTGGCCCGGGGGGGGCCGAGCAGGTGGTGGCGGGCGGTGGCCGGGCGTCTTGCTGTGAGGCTGGACCCGGCCGGGGAGGCCCCTGCGGGCGTTTGGAGGAAGGGGGGGTGGCAGGTTCAGCGGGCCACCGAGCCCGGTCCCACGGAGGGGACGTCCCTAAAAGGCGCTTCGGAAACTGGCAGGAGGGCGGAACGCCCCGTTCCCGAGGCGCCTGCTGCGCTGTCAGCAACGAGTATTTGCAGAGCCCTGTACAGACCCCGCTCCCCTGTACATACCCCTGGTGGCGCCCGGGCCCCGCTCGGGGTGGGAGTTTTGTAGACTGTACAGAAATCGGCACCCTATTTTCTTGCAGTTCTCAGATTTTGTTAACCTGGATTATACAGACAGACGTAAAGTGTTTTAGCAAAATGGAAACAGCTGTGCCTTTTTCCTCTTTCTGTTTGGCTTGGGGCGGCCTCGGTCGCTGCGGGGCCTGGTGGGGCGGGGCGGGCCGGGTGGGCAGTGGCCTCGCAGGTCAGCAGTGTGGGGGTGCACCCGCTTCCTCCGATCCTGTGCCCTGGAGCCTCTGGTCCCTGGGGTGGGGCCCCGGGGCTGCCAGTGTCTGGCTGGCATTGCTCCTGGGCAGAGGCATGGCCGCATCCTGTTCTGTGGACACCTGTCTGTCCGAGGGGGGTCTGGGGGTGCTGCTGTGTCTTCCCTGATCGGGTGGCCTAGACGGGGTGGACGCTGCCTGGTCTCGACCTTTCTTTACTGCCCTTTGTTGCTGCCAGGACTCAGGAGAGGTGTCAGGAGGGTGTGACAACGGGGTGGCCACGTGTCTGGAACCCTGAGGCCCAGCTGCTAAGGGGGCGGGGTGCCCCCGTTCCCACCAGGCTGGGTGTGCTCTGCGCCCAGGACTGGGCCCTGGCCAGGCCAGCGTGCAGCTCGGCAGACCCCGAGGACCGCTGGGGGCAGGTCTCCCATCCTTGGCACCCCAGCTGGCGATGGGGCACCCTGGTGCTGGGCTGCCCCTGGCCGGCTGCTCCCCTCCAGCCTGGAAGCCAGCTGCCCCACAAACGCGCTGCGATGTGCGTTGCGTGTGTGTAGAAACCCCGGTGTTACTTCTGCCTCCTGGCACGTCCTCCTGGGTCCCACTTGGTGGTGGTCCGGGCAGCTTCTCTGCGAGGCCAGTCCTGCGCCCCTCCGCCCTGCGGGCCGCCCGGTCTCCGCCACAGCCGCTCGGTGAGGCCCAGGGAAGGCCATCCCCGGGCTGGGTATCTGAGCTCAGGGGCCAGGGCACCCCAGACTTCTGTTGTCTGCCTGGGAGCCTGTCTGTGGAATGTTCCAGCATGTCTTCCTTAGAGGGGCAGCTCCAGGCGGTGGGACCAGGGCAGCCCAGGGCCCCAGGTCAGTGGGCTGCAGGTGCTGCGGCCAGGCCTGGGGGTCTCCCACCCTTCAGCCCCGCCCACGGCCAGCTTGGCTTCCCAGGCGGCCCTTGGGCGGAGGGGGGAGGGACGGGGTCAGCCCACCCTGAGTGCAAGGCGGGGCTCCCCCTGGGGAAGGCTCATGGTGGGAGGCCCCGCGGACAGGCGGCCCCCTCCTGCTCTGGGTCTCCTCCCTCAGAGGAGGCCCTTAGAGAAGGGGGGGCATGCTCCCCAGGCGGCTGCTTCAGGCGCCTGGCAAGTGCCCTGGCTGCCCCTGGGCCACAGAGCCCGGCTCCGACCCCTCGGGGCCCACCGGCAGTGGGGGCGCCAGCCCTGCCCGCCCGGGACGCGGCTGGCACGGTGCCAGGGCTGCTGTGGGGACTGGGGGTCGCCCAGGGAGCCGAGCGAGGGCGTCGCTGCTGTCTGCCTGGAGCCACTCCGTCCGCTCTGGCCGCGGCCCTGTTCCTGTGCTGGGGGCCCTTTGCATGGGGCTTTTGGGGTTCGCGGTCAGGGCCGACCCGGAAGGGGCGTGCTCCGCAGGGCCCCCACAGGCGCCGAGGGCAGCGAGGCGGGGGTGCGGGGGTGCGGGGGGTGCAGCACGCCTGCCGTTGTCGGATGTGTGTGTTTTTTCTTAACAGCAATAAGTAGCCATTTTGAAGACGGGGAATGCCTGCGTGTACGCACGCGCGTGCCTGATGCGATGCAGGTGTGCTTGCATACATGCGTGTGAGCACACACGTGTGCCTGTGTGAGCCCAGGTGTGGCGACAGGCAGGGAGCCTGGTGGCCGAGGGCCTCCACGCCACCCCACTGTGACGGGAGCCCGGGACCTGTGTGCTCAGGGTGGTGGCCGTGCCCGAGCCCTGCTGCCGTGCGGGGCCTGGGGGTCCCCGTTGAGCTGCGGCTGTTGTTCCTCCTGGGGCGGAGGGTGCTGGGCGGACTACACAAGGGTGCAGGGTGCAGATGAGCGTTGGCCTGGGTCCCTGAGCATGTGGGGAGGTGGCTGGGACCCGCCGTGGCGACATCGAGCCCAGGGCTCAGCCAGGCCGTTCGGCCGCAGCTGCCTTGGGCGCCACGTCTTCAGCCAGGCAGACGCGGAGCCCGCAGCAGCGACTGGTTCACTGTCTGAGGGCCCACAATTGGGCGACGCTCCTGAGACCCCAGGATGTGCCAAAACAGCCCCCAGAGGGATGGCGTGGCGACGAGCCGAGTCCCAGAGGAGACAGGCTGCCAGGCCAGGGGTGGGCGGCCACCCCAGCTTCGGGGGGGGCGGCAGCGTAGCCCCTCCGCGTGCGGGGCCGGCAGTGCTGCTGTCTCCAATAAAGCCAGACTGGACGGCACCGGGCTCCGCCCTTTCTTGCGCTCCCCCAGCCCCGCGCTGGCCGGCGGGCTGACCTCTGGGAGACAGCGGCCCCCCGCAGCAGCCGGGCCGGGCGCTGAGACGCCCTGTCCCCATCAGGCCGCCTCTGCGGGGGCTGCACGGCAGGTCTGTGTCCGTGGGCGGCGTCAGGCCTCTGGGGAGGGGCCGTAGGGCCTGGTGTCTGAAGGGGGTTGACGTGGGGTGGGGGGCCCAGGGCGAGCAGGGGGAGGAGAGGCTCCAGGAGGGCGCCCCGGCCCTGCCCCCACACCCCTCCCTGCGGCGTTGGTGCCTCAGCCACGGGAGAGGCCGGCTCTGCCGTCTGCTCCGGGGTCTTCCAAGTCGGACCAGGGTCAGTGGGTCTCGAGGCCTGAAGGTGCGGCCCCGGGACGGGTGGCCCCATGTCTTTGTCCCTGCGTGGCACACGCTGGCCGGGCTGGCCCTGGGGACACGGAGCCTGCTCGGAAGTCGGTGCCCGAGGCCGAGTGTTTGTTTTGAGCAAGACATCCCCGGCGGGGCCTCCAGGAGTTGCGCCTTTGAGGCGACAGCGCAAAGCCAGGCCCCAGAGGCATGGCCGCCACGGACACGCACAGGCGCCGGCACGGAGAACCCGCCACCCTGGGCCGGCCGCCCAGGCTCGCCCGCAAGACCGCCGACGGGGTTGGGGAGCCGCGCGAGAGGCGGCCTGGGCCCGGGGCTGCAAGGAGCTCGTCTCCCAGAGGAGATCCTGCTGCGTCCTGCGGGCTCGGCAAAGGCGGCAGCACAGAGAACCGGCCGCCGTGCACAGCAGTGGCCTCGGCTCGGGCCGGGGGCTGCCTCCAGCTGCCGGCCGCTGACAGGCGTCACGGGCCCTGGGGTCAGAGCCCAGATCCAGAAACGGAAGCTGGTGGGAGGGGCCCACGGGGCACACGCCCCAGAGCTGCCACAAAGGCCAGGAGCGGCGGGAGGGGTGGGGCCGTGGCAGCAGCCCCGGCTGGGCACGAAGGAGCCACAGGCGCTGGTTCACGTGATGGAACCTTTCTGTGCAAGGGGTTGCGTCTGGGCCTCGGTCACAGGCCGCTGCGAGGCTGCTGGGGTGCACAGCTGAGCCCTCCGTCGGCCCTGAGGGTCCGTGAGAGCCGCCCCGAGAGTAGACTGGGCCTGGCGGTCGGCCCGCCTGAGGCTCGTGGGGAGACGGCACGCGGGCCTCATGGGCCGGTGGCAGAGGACGGGACGTGGCGTTTCCCACCCCAGGAAGAAGTCACCCGGACAAGGGCCAGGACAGCTCTGTGCACACGTTTATTCCAGGTGGATGACCCAGAGGGTGAACGTGGCCCGTGCCAGGTCCCGCTGCAGCCGGGACCAGCCCAGGCCGCCTGCCGCTGACCGTGGCAAGGCCGCAGCATGGGCTGGTGGGAACCGGTTCTGGCCTCCCACCGTCGCCTGAGGCTACAGGCAAAATTCAGGGGAAAAATGCAGGCGTGGGGTGCAGGTGCTGACCCGGGGCCCAGCAGCGGCCTGGCGGTTGCTTGGAGACTCAGCAGGACGTGGGCGTGGCTGGGGGTTCGGGACCTCCTGCAGGGGCACCAGGTGTCCCCAGGAGCGGCCGGCACTCAGGCTCACCTTCAGGGGCACCTGTGGGCGGCAGCCAGAGGTGAGCGGCAGGCCTGGGCGGCTGGGCCCGGTCACCCCTGGGCCCACAGCGCACAGGCAGGCGCCGCTGCAGGCAGGCAGGCTCCCAGCGCGCACGCCCCCCTCCGGTTTGGCTGAGTCCTCCACTGGCCCTGCCAGGGCCTCTGTGCCAGCGAGCGAGCTGCCCTGCCGGTGCAGGCCGCCTCGGGCCCTGCTCCCGGGGGCCGCCCCTGAGAGGTGCCAGGGCCGCCTGGGGGCCCTCCTGGGACCTTGTCCCAGGCCCTGGACCACAGCTCAGCAGCCCCCTCTCCATAGGGGGGTGGGGCTGCCCAGGGCCACAGCCCCCGCCAGCTGTAGGAGCGCGAGTGGGGGGCTCCTGGGCTTCCAGGGAAGGGAAGCCCCCCCACCCCTGCCTCTATCTGGCTGCACCCAAGCCTGCGCTCCCTGACCCCACCCACCACCGCAGGGGACAAGCTGAGGGATGAGCACACGGGGTCCTGTGGCCGCCACCCGAAGTGGGGAGCGCAAGTGGGCGAGCGGCCTTCCTGCGGCCCTTCCCGCCGGGGGCTCCCAGGTGCCTGTTGACCAGGGCACTGGTCAGCATGGCTGTCCCGCCCGGGGGTCTGCCCAGGCTTCGGGGCCTCCCTCCGCCTCGTGGCTGCGCCCTCCTCCCCACCGGCTCGGGGCGCCCCTCGGGGAGTGCCCAGTCAGGCACAGGGCTGGGCCCAGGTGCCCCTGTGGGGGGGTGTGCCCCGGGGAGGGCGGCCCCAGGGGGAGGCCCAGCTACCCTCCTCGCCAAGCCTCGAGGGGCGCCTGGCCCAGTTCCCGAAGCCCCTGAGGACACCCACTGCCGCTCCCGCCGGGCAGAGGGGCCACACCTTGTCACCCAGGCTGACGGGGCTCCTCGCGGGCAGGTGTGGGGGCAGCCTGGGGCTGTGCCCTGTCCCGTCCCTCCTGCCCTCGGGGAGCTGGGCTCTCCCCGCTGGGGGCTCTGGCCGCAGGGGTGACCGCGGGGCCCCGCCCCCCCTCACCTGCAGCTGCAGCTCCAAGGCCCTGACGTGCCGCAAGGACTCCATGGCTCCCCTGACAAGCGCTGGGAGGAAGGGATGGGGGCTCGAGCCCTGGGGCAGAGTCGCACCACGAGAGCCGCAGCCCCGTGGCCCGGCCCCCTCAGCGGGGCTCCGTGGCTGGTTCCTGCTCCCCGGCCGCATCCACAGCACAGGCTTGAAGACCCCTTAACTGCCCCAACTGTGGGTCCCGGGCCCTGCAGAGCCAAGGCCCCGCCCCCACATTTCTCAGCTGCTGGCCCCCCTCCCCTCAGGGCGCCCACAGGGGCAGGCAGGGGTCGGCCAGCCCCCAGCTCTCCGTGCAGAGGCTCTGCGCCCAAAAGAGGAGGGCAGCCAGGGCGGGGACCGTGCACCCCCAGGCCCCAGTGAGGGTCCCAGAAATGTGGCTTGAAAGCCCATCGGGGCAGCTCCGCCGCAGGGCCTCAGTCACTTGGGGCGGCTGCGCTCAGCCCTGGGAGGGCAGCAGCGGGGGCGGGGGCAGCGTGGCCGAGGGCTCCCCACAGCCAGCCTCTTCCGTGGACGGGCGTGTCACTCCGCCCTCCTGAGCTACCTGACATCTCAGCACAAAGACACGGACAGAACAGCCCCAGGGGCTGCCGTGCTCTCGGCCCCCCCAGTGGGAGCGCTGCGCCCCTGCCAGCGGGGGGGGCCCTCTGGGAAGGCAGCCGCCCAGGCTGGGAGTCCGCCGGGGCCTGGGCCTGGCTGGGGTGCAGGGGACACGCAGTGTGAGGCAGAGAGGGGCCTGGCAACCCCCTCCCCGGGCAGACGCCTGGCCAGACACGGGTTGGTGCCTGAACCCCCGTGAGACACCAGCAGACCCGTTCCCCGCTGCGCTCACCTGCGAACTCAGGAAGCTGAGGCTCTTCCACGTCAAACAGCAGCTCGTCGTGAATCTGGGCGACCAGCCTGAGAGACACACAGCCCAGCGGGTGCCGCCCTGTGATGGGGCAGCGAGGGGCCTCGCTCCGTCCACCTGGCGAGGGCAGCGGGCAGGGGGTCCGGGCGGCCCGGCAGGAACGCCCGGGGGCGTCGGGCCGCCTGGGCCTGGGAGGAGGGTCCCCGCTGACCGCCGGCCATGGGGCCTGCTGCCGGGCCAGAGCGGGACCGGGACCGGGACGGGGACCGAGCTGGGCCGGGCGGGCTGGGCGTGCCTCCCGCTACTTTAGGGGGAGGGGGTGGGAGGGGCAATCCTTTTTACAAATTCACTTTTGAAGTTAAAGAAATACTTAATAAAATTTGGAAAGTGCATTCAAAATTCCAAAGTGCCAAACAAAAACACCTCGACTCCAGCTCCCCTGTCCGCACGGGACGGCGTGGCCCCACCCCCTCGTGGTCCCGCAGCCGGGGCGCCGCCGCCGCAGCACCCCTCCATGGACGCCCTCACAGGCTGGGTGCTCGTCCCAGCCCCCTCCACGGGGCGAGTCCCTCAGGGGGCCGCCTGCGCACTCACCGGAGGGGGGTCTGGGCCGGCTGCTGGGCTTGGGCCCTGGACGCCTGCCTTGGGCTGTGGCCCCGGACCCGGTGCCTACCCCACCCTCAATGCAGACGGAGGCGGCTCCCCCGTCCCCTCAGGGGGAGGTGTGGAGCGGCGACCCACAGGACCACCTTGGGGGTCCGCAGACTGCTGGGGAGGATGGTGGGTGTGGGGTCCCATGGGCCCTGCCCCCGTGCGACCTGGCTGCTGTCTCTGGGACTAGGCCTTCACGGCAGGGCCGCGTCCGGTCCGGGTGCCTTGCTGCCTGTCTGGCAGGCGCAGTGCGCGCAGGAAGGGGCAGCAGGCAGGCCGCCCCGCCTGCTGAAGCTGTGGGCCCGGGCTGCGCGGGAGGCAGCTGCCGGGGAGGGTGTGGTAAGGCCCACAGGCGGGCTGTGGGTGCCGCAGGGTGGGGGGGCCGGCGCTCTCTGTGGAAGGCGCACAGGACTCTGTAGCGGGGACGTGGGGCGTGCCCCTCCGTTTTCCCACATCGTCCCTGTCGCCGGGTGGGGCGGGGTGGGCTGGGTCTGAGGCTCGCTCTCAGGCGGGGAGCCCCAGGCAGGCTCTGCCAGGGCCCGCTGGCCCGTCACTACTTTCCCCGTTGCCCGGAAGGCTCGGTGGCAGCCGGGGCAGCCACTTCCATTGCAGCACCGACAGCGACAGGGACAGGGACCCGGGGGGGACCTCGGCCCCGCTGCCCCGGACCTTGGAGTGGAAGCCGGCGCCCGTGGCATGTCAGGACGGGAGAGGCATGGGGCTGCCGCCGCCGGGCCGGGCCCCGGGCACGCGAACACATCCCCACGGACGTGGCCCCACGGGGGATCCCGCCGGGCCCGGACCCCACGTGGCCGCCAGGGCGGGTGCCTGTGGTCATGCGGCCCAGGGCGTCAGAGCAGGCCGGCAGCCCTGGCCTCGCCTTCTGACTGACCGAGGCTCTGGTGGGGACTGCGGCCCCCGCGGGGACTTATTCTCCAAAGAGGAGGGGCCTCTTCCCAGATCGCTGCAAGGGTGTTCCACGCCTGAGATCGCACGGTGGGGTTCTGAGCGCCGCGTGGCAGCCGCCTCGGAATAGACCTGGCTTCTGAGTCACTCACATGTCCCCTCACAGCCACAGTTCTAGCTGGAAAGTGGGACAGGCAAGCAGCAGGAGCAGACGCGTGGTGTGGGGCACGGGTCCCGGGCGCCGGGTCTGCTGCTCCAGGAGGCACGCCGACTGCGGCGGCAACTGGTCCCGCGGTCCTGCCCGGGGTCCCTGACCGGGGCCGCAGGGCCGTGCCGTGCTGGGGGGGCCACGCCTGAGGGGCCGCGCCTCCCCTCCCCGGGCTGCATCCGCGACGCCGAGCCCCTCGGGGCCGGCCCTGTCACCGCTGCACGTCCCTCCTGCTGCGTCCTGCCCACCCTCCGGATCGGCCGCAGAGCTCTGAGGACGCTCCGCCGCAGCCGCCTCCTGGGCACACCCTGGCCCTGACCCCCCGCCCCCGCGGTCCCTTGAGGCCACGCTCACGGCCTCCTGCCTCCCCTGGGCCCACACCTTCTCTGCCCCTTTCGGAGGCCAAGCGGGCGAGCGTCCCATGGTGCTGGCTGAGGCCTGGCCCGGGCGCCCTGCGTGGGAGCCAGAGGCTGCCCCGGGCGAGCAGAGGAGCCACCTTCCGCAGTGCCGGGAGGCGCCCTGCTGTCCTCGCGCCCAGGGCAAAGGCCAGGTGTCTTCCTGAGGCCGCCGCCTCGGCTGGGGCTTCCAGAGGGGCTCCTGGTCCCGTCAGGAGGCGCAGGGCAAGGGGACGCCGGGGCCGGCCCAGCTGAGTGACCGCGGGCGCACGGGTCGCGCTCGGAGCCGCAGTTCCCCTCTCTGCGCTCAGGTGCCGGGGCCGACAGTGCCAGAAGCGTCCGCCCCGGCCCCCACGCGCTGCCGCCTCGCACGGCCTTCCCACAGAGGCCCCGGCAGACAGGCCGCCCGCGCCGACGACCGCGCCAGGGAGGAGTGAGTCTCCGGCCGTCGCAAACTCTGGCGGGAAGCGCCCTGGCCGTCCTGCTCTGGGCCCGTGGGCCGCGGGCGGGCCCGCCCCGGGGGCTCGGGGGGCGTGGGCGTCCCTGCACGACCGCGGGCCCCGGACATGCACTTCGCCCAGGCTGCCTCCGGCAGACGCAGCCCACGCAGCCGGGGCCTTCCCCCTGCGCACGGCCGGGGCCCCTCCTACGGCTCCGGGAAGAACAGGCCACGTTTAGAAAACACAGAGCACACGGTGCTGCCGATTCCTCACCCATCTGCTTGGTTTCCTGCAGCAACAGGACGTGCTTGGTTATGAAAAGCATCCCTGAAGACGGGGGGCCGGGGGGGGGGCCACAGGTCTGCGAGCGGTCCCTGCGGAAGACCTGTCACGCTCCCCGCAGGACCCTGTCCCCAAAACCCCCGCACCCTCACACAGCGGGGCCCTCTCTCAATCCCACAAAACCGGCCAACAGCCCGACCGTCCGGACTTACACCATCGCAGGCGAACGACCACCGGCAGCCGGAGAGCTGCCGCAGGCTGCTCAGCCCCTCCCCCAACGCACCCCGGGAACCGCGGCAGCCAGACACCCTGCGGGAGGGACGCGGGGAGGGCGAGGTGTCGTGCGTTCTGCTCCTGCCCCCCCCCGCCCCCGCGGAAGCCAGAGATGGAGCCCGCACTGCAGGGCAGGGGCAGCAGGGTCACTGGGGCCTCAGACCGGAGGGCGGGCTAGGGGACAGCCCAGCACGGCCTCCTGCCAGGCTGCCCTCCCCGGGTGCAGGGTGCAGCCTGGGGACAGGCTCTCCCCTCCCCGGACTGGACGCCACACTGCAGCCCTGGGTGGTCTTCGCCTGGCACACACTTCCGTACAGAGTTGCCAAAACCGCCTAAGGAACAAAGGCTCGCCAGTGGGAGTGAACAGGAGGAGCTACGTGAAGAAACAGAGCCGGGGGCTCTTTAGAAAGAGGAAAGGTTTCAGGGGATCAGGAAATCGCGCCTGGAGGATGCAGAACAGTGTCAGGGGCCGGAGAGAGAGGGGCCTCCAGTGGGACAGGGCGGCCCTGGGCCAGCAGGTCCCCACGTCCAAGGCGGCTGGAGCACACGCCTGCCCCGTGAGGTCTGAGGTGAGCGTGACGCCCCTCGGGTTGGGGACGATGAGGCCACTAAACATTCCACCATCTCAAGAAGCGCCGCCTCCCCGCCGTGAGCCCGCCCTCAGCGGTGGCCGCACTGCCCGCCGGGAGGGCCCTGTGATGTTGCAGGCCGGCTCTGGCAGGCGCCCCTGGGGACTAAGGCGGGAGGGAGCCGGACCCTCTGGGGTCCAACACGCTCGCTCATCTGAGGACTTCAGGTTGGCCGCCCAGCACCCAGGGCCGGGCCTGGGGAGCCAGGCAGGGTGGTTCTGGGCCTGCAGAGGCTGGGTCAGGGCTCCTCGTGACCCAGCTGCCTGGACGCTCGGGCAGCGGGCCCCAGGGGCAACCTCAGCAGAGGCAGACCAGGGAGAGCTGTGGCCCCGCGGCCCTGGCCGAGCCCCACCTCTGAGGGGTGTTGCTGCCCCGGCTCTGAGGCAGGGGCAGCTGGGCCCCCACGTCCTGGCTGAGGGACGGGACGGCGGCCACTGTGCCCGGAGAATCCAGCAGCTCGAGAGGAGAGCCTGGAGAGATGCACCTCTGCACCAGGCGAGCCTCGAGAGGCCCCTTGGGGCCCCAGAGAGACCGCCTGCTGTTGCCACGCGCTGCTGGGAGCAGGCCTGGCCCGGGTGGGGAGGAAGGGGCCTCCTGGGAGCGCTGAGAGGGGCTCAGACTCAAGGGGCCCCTTTGCTGGGGGGCGGTAACCTTGTCGGAACCATGGCCCAGAGCCACGGGCGGTTGCAGGGAGCCTGGGGGTGTGCCCGCGGGCCGGCCGGAGCAGCAGGCCCCTGCGCCCCCCACCCCGGGAACAGCGGGTGCGCGCGCTGGGCCGGCCAGGCCCTCACTGACCTGGCTGTCAGGGTTGGGGAGGCAGCCACTGCAGCGAAGACGTGGGTCATGGCCAACTTGCAAAGGTCTGCGGCCGAGCCTGTGGGCGCAGAGGTTCGGTAGCACTCATGGCGAGAGGCCGGTCCCCGCGGGGACTGCTGTGCCCTAGCCAGCTGCCTTGGTTTCCCGCAGTCTCCGACTGCGACCCCGCATCCTCTGTCCCGGGCCCGCCTGACTAGGTTGGGCCCACGGGGGCGACCCCCTGTTCATCAGCTCAGCATCGGCTGGCCAGGCACCTGCTTCCGCCTGCAAACCTGCCCTCCCCGCAACACGGCGTGGCCACAGGCGTGATGCCTCGGCGCGTGCGCTGGTCCTGCCTGCACGTGGGGCGTGCGCGTGGGGGACGGACTCTAGATCCGGCCGTCGCACCAGCCGGCAGCGCGACCCAGTGTGGGCGTGGCTCGCCTGGTTCCTCCGCCCTCCACCCGTGGGATGCGCAGCAGGCACCCGCGGGCTGGGCTCCTACCTCCCGGCTTCCCCTCTGGGCCCTGGGGCCTCGGCTCGCCCGTGTGCCCTGTGGAGTCCTAGCTGGGGACGATGCCGGACCCCCAGGTGACCCTGGGGCCGAGCCGGGACAGCTCGCTGCGCACAGGGTGCGAGGCCCGTGACTACTACATCCCTCTCACGGCGCCTCCACGCAGACACATGCGCTATTTGTGGGTTGTGGCTGAGGGTGATTAAGGCGTTTTCATAACTAGAGGCGAACAGCGTGGTGTCACCGCCAGCTGCTTCCTGCTGCGGGGGCTGGAGCTGAGGTGCTGGAGACGCGCTGTGTGTGGACGCCTCGCCCCAGCCCTCACACTGCCAGGCTCTAGGGTGCCACAGAGTCCCAGGCCGAGGGTGCAGGGACTGAGCTGCAGGCCTGGCCCTCGTGCCCGGCCAGACAAACCCCTAGGGCCTCGGTCTCTCCGCAGGTGCGGGGGCAGCCCTGGTCCAGGCTGTCGCTGGGGGGAAACGTCATGACCATAAAGACCACCGCGTACTGAGCACCGCTCACCCTCCGGCATGTCCCACTAGTGCCTCCTGACAGTGCGTGCAGGGAGGACGGAAGCAGGAAATGGGGGGCAGTGACCTGGCGGGGTTCCCGCAAGCAAGCGGAGGGCGGCAGGTACCTTGCACCACGAAGTTCACCGCCTGCCGCTCAGCCTGTGCCCGGAGCTGCGGGTCCTGCGCTCGGATCCCCGGCAGCGGTCTCCTCCTGCCCAGGACAGATGTCACGTAGCCTGGGACGCACGAAGGAAGCAGGGTAAGGGGCACAGGTAGACAGGACGGGTGGGGCCCCAGTGGCCGCGGCTCCCTCGGACGCTGGCCCAGCCCGCCGGTCGGGGCGGGACACAGGCACGCACGGCAGGCGGGGGCCCCCGCTCGCCTGGTGGCACGTGGCAGCACTCCCTTCCTCACCTGGACTCCCCAGTGGCCCCCGGGCTTCGCCTGGCCTTTCCTGCCTCGGGCCAGGCCCCGCCTCCTGTCCAGGGCGCAGCTGACAGTGTTCTCCAGGGACCCCGGCCCCTGCCGGGGCCTCAGCGCCCCGTTTTCCTTCCACAGCGAGGACCCCCAGCCTGCCCGTGGGTGCCTGTCTCCCTGGGTCGCACCAACAGGGCCCGGGAGTGCGCATCCCTGGTGTCAGCCCAGTGCCCACCCAGGGCAGGCGCCGCCGGGTGTCTCCTTGCGGTGTCTGCCCAGGAGTGCGAGTTCGGAGTCGAAGGGCGCACACACCTCCTGTTTGGACACGTACGCCCACACCCACCGGAGAAGGTTATGTCCGAGGAGGGGAGGGCTCTGGCTCCGGGTCTCGGCTCCGGGTCCCAGCCCCGTGCCGCCTGCAAGCTGTGAAGCGGGAAAAAGGCCCCACCCACGTGGCAGCGGAGCAGCAGGCGGCACACACGCTGGTCTATGGCAAAGCCACAGACACCACGCCCGGCCCGGGAGTGGGGTGGCGCCTGCACACACCCCGTGCTGCTGTCTACAGCGGTCCCAGCTCCAGGATCTCCCCGCCCTGGGCTCTGTCACTGGTCGAACATTTCAACATGGCAAGTGTTTTACTTTCCTCCACTGTGGGGTTCCCAGGCCAAGGGATGGTCAGGGCTGTGTGGCTTCAGCGAGGGCGTAGGTGGCTTCAGGGTTCACCCTGACCCCTTGGGACTGGGAGCCCACGGCTGAGTGTGCTGGGCGCGCACGGAGATGCACAGACAGGCCTGTGTCTGGACAGGGGTCGGGCCCAGGAGGAGCCTGTGCAGGGGCTGCCCTGGGAGGGTCCAGGGGAGCCTGGGCGCTGCGCCGGGAAGGCTGCCGGCTCCCGTTTGACCCCGTGGCTCTCCGCTTCCTCCGGGCCTGCCCGCCGCCCTTTTTCCTGTTGTCTGTGTTGTGCGTTCCAGCCCTTAGGCGTCCTTCTCTCTGTAATTTGCCCTGCTACTCTTTTCCAAGTGTCTTGTGTTGAATACAAACCATGTGCGTTCACAATTCCTTTCTTAAAAATGCTCTTCGGAAGCGTTCCTTTGACTCTAAGTGTCAGCTTGACCATGTCTCAGTTTTCCGTATGAGATATTTTTACTGCCACGTGTGATTTTCCTGGGACTTCTTTTTCAGCCCTAGGTCATTTCGGAGTGCAGTGAGTTCCTAAGTCAGTAGGTGGCCCCAGGGCCTCCGGCACAGACCGGCTCCTCTGCGCCCCACTGCGGTCGCGGGACTTCTCCCTCTGGCAGTGCCCCCTCCCACGTGTCGCTCAGGAGCGCGCGCGTCCTCCGTCGTTGGGTGCGGGAAGCTGTTTCTCTTCGTGCGTCTGTGCCTCCGCTGTTTTTTAGCTCAAGCTTGTTGACCCTGTTGCCTCAAGCAGAGCCTGGCTCTGGGCCCTTGTCACGTGGAACCTTTGGTCCCATTCACACCGCAGGGGCTGGACACTCACCCAGCCCCCACCCGCCAGGCTGCACCCATCAACCCGCCACCCTGCCACCTGCCCGGCTGCTGCCTGGAGGAGAGGGGCCACCCAGCTGCCGCAGGTCAGGCGTGGGAGGGGGGCAGACCCGCCAACGGCTCTGGCTGCCGCCTCACTGGCTTACCTGTCTGGCGACACCTGGCAATGGTTGCCTGGGCGAAGTCCTTGATTTTCTTGTACTTCTGCAAAAAACTCTCCAAAAACCGGTAGGCTTCCTGAACAGTCCCTCCAAGGCAAGCAGCAAGCCGCTCCTTCCCTGGGTGGGCAGAAGCACCAAGTCAGAGGCAGCCCCGACTCCCAGGCGGCGGGGACCGACAGGAGGCCTCCCTGGGACGCAAGGAGGCAAGGTCCTGCTGGCCCCCCCACTCTTCGGATTGGCCGGGATGCTGTTGGCTTTTGGCTTTACAAGGGGGTGAGTGCGAGGTGCTGGCCCCCTAGCCGCGCCTGCAAACACTCATATGTTCAGCAGCATCGGCTGAGTGCCGGCCAGGTGCTGCCGGCGCCGCCATGCCCGGAGCAGGTGCAGCCTGGCGTGCAGCCTGTGCGGCGCTGCAGGCAGCTGGTCGGCACAGGGGGAGGCAGGCGAGAAAGCGCCACCGCTGCACAAGGAGGAAACGGGGTCCCGGAGCTCCATCCTTAGAGTATTTACTAGGAGACACGCACGTTTGGGCCAGACCAGCATACTGGTCCAGAAGCCACAGCCTCGGGGTGGAGGCGCGACAACCAGAGAAGAGGCCTCGGAAGGAAGGGGCCGCGCGGGTCCCGGGGCCAGGCCTCTCCTGGCCCTGGCCGGCCAACGCGTCAGAGGTTCTGACAGCAGAGTGCCGACACCGCAGGCGAGGGCCGGGCCGCGAGTGCTGCCGCGGCCCGGCCCGGAGGCGTGGGAAAGGCCGGCATCCTGTGCTGTGCAAAGCTTCTGCTCGGGCTGCTGCGCTCGTTTGGCTGGAAATGAAAACACCCCCGTCGCCCTTTCAGGCCTAATTAAGACCACGTGACAGCTTCAGGACTACATTACGCTGAGCCACTCCATCTGCACCGCTCCGTCTCTCTGATGCTCCGGTCCCAGTCGCTGCCACTCAGCTGGGGCTCTCCGATGGGAAATGCCACGGCTTTCGGGCCGGCATGGGGGGGGGGGGGCTCGATGCTGCGGGCGGGCCTGGCGGGGGGCCTTGAGTCCTCTTCTCAGCCAGATCCTTTCTCCTGTCTGATCAGCTGTTAGGCCCACTCAGTGGATTTTTATCTCTGATGTTGCAGCTTTCAGTTTTAGATTTTCCATTTGGGGCTTTCGATTTTCTGAGATTTCCTATTTTTCACTCATTTTGAGCGTATTTTCCTTTCCTCCCTTGAGCATCGGTATAAAAGTGGCTTTAGCATCCTTGCCCGCTAACTCTAGCGTCTGGGCTGTCTCGGGGCCCGTTTCCTCGGCTGCCTTTCCTCTGGGGGGGGGGGGCCAGTTACACTGCTTCTTCCCATCGCATGTTGAGTAATTTTGGGCTATGTCCCAGATATTGCGAATGACATGTTGTAGACCCCTGGGTTCTGTTATGGTTTTCTCATGAGTGCTTTTTTTTTTTAATTGGGCAACTAATTTGGCTAAAGTTAGACTTTCAACTTGGTCCCTCTGAGCGGGCAGCAGCTGGAACCTCAGGCCAGGCCTTCCAGCCTTGGCCGGGTTGTTTGAAGCCTGCCCCAGTCATGAATATTTAGGGCCCAGCCAGAGACCTGGGCGGCGCTCACGCTCAGCGCTCTTCCTCGGCTCTCCCCTGAGAGCCCCCCTGCCTTCGCAGGTTCCCAGGCTGCTCCGAACGCGGCTGTCTGGCAGTTCCAGCTGGCGAGAGCGTGCCTTTCTATCGGCACTTTAGCCGCCCGCCCGGCAGAGCTGACGGGGCTGCCTCCCGGTGGAGAGCTCCAAAACGGCAGACGCGCCCTGTGCCACTCCTTCCTCCCGACTGTCGCCTGCCTGCCACCTCTGCCTGCTTTTGGTTGTTCTCAGTCCCTCTAGGTAGTTACTGTATTTCCCACACTTCAGAGTCGGCACCCGTGGGTGTGTGGGCTGCAGGGGCCCCTTACCCACTGCCAGAACCCACACTTCTTCTCAGCACCTGCAGCTGAGGAGGAGCCTCCTTCTCCTGCCAAGCGGCTGGGACACGTGGAGCTGGGCCGCCCAGGTCCCTGGCCCTGTGGGGAGCCTGTTTACAGGGGACCGACGACGGTGCGGCAGCGCCCAAGAGGCGGAGAGCGTGCACCGGCCTCCAGGCCCCGGGTCCCCGCTCCCTGCACCGTCGTCGGGGTGTGTCACACACCAAGGCCGCTGTCCCTCCGCCCCAAGCGGGACCCCTCTGTCTCTGGAGGGCTCTATCCCACGCTCCGTGCCTGCTGGCCCCTCTCCTCGCACGCCTTGCTCTGCGCTTTGCTTCCTTGGGCTGGGCTCCTGCTGCTTAAGCTGCGGTCGCAGGCGGGCCTGCCCCCCTGGGACTAAGGACCCCCGGCTCTCAAGTCCTGTGTGAGCACAGGGTTTGACTTTTCCCATGGATGGCCACGCACGTCCTGCGCGTGTGCTGTGCACGCGCTACAGTTCCAGCTTTAAGAAGGCTGTCTTCGCTCCCTTGGCTCCAAGCACACTTCCACCCCACACACAACCGCTAACAGCCCCTCGCTCTCGTTGGTGGCCCCGGGCCCCTCGTGGGCCTCGGCGTGCTGGCTGGCCCACCTGGAGCAGACGAGACTAACTCCGGCCTGGCTGGGGGCGGTCCCGGGTCCACTTGGCTCTGACCCTCAGTGCTGTGCCCCAGGCCTGCTCGAGGGTCTCTCCTGACAGACAGCAGCCCTCCAGGAGCGGGCTCTGCGCTGCCCCCACGGCCCTCCTGGCGCCCACTGTGCCGCCCGAGGCACGGTGCACACTTGGTGGTCCCTGGTGATCAGGGGAGACTAGGCGGGAGGTGGGTGGAAGAGACGCGGAGCTGCCTGAGAACCGAGAGGCACAGTGACTCTCCGGCAGCAGGGGCACTGGGCCGGGCTGGGCCGGAGGACAGGAGACAGGAGAGGCCTCCAGATGTGCTCAGGGTGGCCCGCGGAGGGCCAGGGTGGGAGGGGCGTTGCCTGGCAGGCGCTGAACTCAGCGAGCAGCAGGGTGCTGTGGGGCAAGGCCCCTGGCAACAGTGGCTCTGTGGCCGTGGGGTCGCCGCGGTCTCTGGTGGGTGTGCGGGAGGCGCGGGACCAGGCTGCCCCGCGGCTGCAGCGGGTGGCACAGACGTGGCGTCCTCCTGGGCAACCTCGATGCTTACATCCCAGGCCTGCTCCTCCCCCTGGGGTCTTTCTCAGTGGTCCTCATGGAAACCACAGCGGCATCTGCCTCTGCCCTGGGTCCCCCGCAGCCAGAGCAGCAGCTCCCAGACCCACAGGGGCACGTTTTTGGGAGAACAGGCCCTTGCAGCCCACGAAAGCTGGCAGGTTGGACGCCCCTCTGTGAGTTCCCAAAGGGCCCGGCTGCCCAGGACAGCGGCCGCGTTCACCCGACAGGCCCCGCCGCGCTCGCTCACAGGACCGGCTCAGGCCTGCGCTGGGGCCGCGATGCACAGGGCTCGGCTGTCGAGCTGGGCGGTGACAACGGGAACAGTGGCAGAAGCGGAGACTTGGGGTGGGAGCTCTGTCCCCGCCTGGGCTAAACACGGCAAATTACCCTTCTCACCAACATCACAGCTAATGACTCACCGCTCACTTACAAAGGGGAGCTCTTTTCCTCTCCAGAAAAAATAGGGCAAATAGTCCAGAAGGTGCCCAACCGACACAAGCGAGGACGGACTCCGGGTGCGTCGGGGGAGTGGGGGGCGAACCCTGCTGTCCTCACGAAGCCCCGTACCCAGCTGCCTCTCGCCCAGCTGGTTCTGAGGTGACGGCTGCCACCCCACAGCGCTGCCAGCCACCGGGGCTGCGCGCTGGCCCAGCGCTGAACGGAGGGAGGACCCAGGCGTGGTGGCAGATGCTCAAGGGGAGCTAGACGGCGCCGGGTGCTGCTCCAAGGACCCCCCCCATTACTCGAGCTGGTGACTGGGGCTCAGAGAGGCAGAGGGCCTTGTAGAAGGTCACAGAGCCAGGAGAGAAGAGTCAGGACCCCCTGAGCTGCCTGGCGGGGGAAGAGGAAGTGGCCCCCAAGGGCAGAGCCGCGCCAGGGGTGCCCCTGGAGCACGTGAGTCTGGACAAGGTCGCCAGGCACCAGGACCTAGTGTGATTGGCGGAGTGCTGCTCGCGACCAGACAGAGACTCGGGGGAGCAGGGGCACAGTGGAGAGGAGGCCGGGAGCAGGTGACAGAGCAGCAGCTGGTGTCACCCTGCTGCCACCCACTCAGTTCAGTTGCTTAGTCAGTTGCCCAAAAACTGTGCACACAAAACGTCCTCCAAAGTAGGGCGGAAGCCGCCCGCTCCGTGATGTGCTCTGCCAGGGGGACTGGCTGTGCCTGCGCCAGGAGGGCTGGCGGGAGCTCAGGCCGCAGGGCGCGTGGGGGCGGGGCGGCCGAGCACAGCAGAGCCCGGGCGCTGGGGGAGGGAGGCAGCGGTCTCCCCGGCCTCGTGGGCCACTCCCTGCAGGGCGGGCAGGCCTGCCCTGCTTCTAACCCACCACAGCACGGGCCGGGGCGGTGAGGCGGCCTCCCGCGAGGGCAGAGTGCCGTCTGCGGGCAGGCGGGCGTCGCCCCTCCTTGCTGGCCCCGAGGACGGGGGCCCACGCTGTAGGCTCTGCCTGGACGGGGCGGCCCGCGCAGCGGGAACTGAAGGCTGCCCCTCGGGGCTGACCGCCAGCCAGAACAGGAGGCCTGCCGAGTGCTCCCCCCGCCGAGCCCCACCGGCACCCTGACTGTGGCCCCGCAGAGGACCCAGCCAAGCCGTGCCCAGACTCCTGACCCACAGTAATGGGGAAATGACAGATGGGTCAGTCACGCTGCTCAGGAAGCCTGGGAGGGGGACAGCTGAGTGAGGACCTGACCGAAGTGAGGGCGAGCTCTGTGCATGGGGGTGGGGCAGGGCTCAAGGGGTTCCCACAGAGGGGCCAGCCTCGCTGGTTTGAGGTGGCTTCCAGAGCAAGCCGCCCAAGGCCGGGGGAGGGACTCTGGAGGCACAAGGGGGACCTAACGTATTGCTGACTGTGCATTTGCCGGATAGTCTTGCGCGGACGCTGGGTCAGCCTTGCTGCCTTTCCTGTGTGCACAGGGCCGCGGGCAGGGAGCGAGCGCTGGCCTGCATCTGAGCCACCTGAGCCGGGGGCGAGGCAGTGGCACGGGCCTGGCCGCAGCCACCTGGGCCCTTCCTTAAGGAGAGGGTGGCTGTCCACAGCCTCCCTGGCTGCTCCCTCGCTCTCCTGTGGGGACATGAGGCCCCGCTGACTCAGCGTGGCCAAAGGGGAGAAAGCCCAGGGGGAGGGGAGGGCGGGTCAGTGGATGGGGACGCGCCTTGGGCCCTGGGGCTGGAGCGGGGGGGGGGGGCGGGGGAGGGCCTCCTTGGGCATCTCAAGGCACAGAAATGGCGCCCAGCGAGCTGTGTGCCGCAGGGGTGGGCCCTGCAACGCCCCCCAGCTGGGCGGCTTTGGTGGACACTCATTCATGTGCCCGGCCCCTCGTTGGGAAGGGCGCCTGAGGACTGAGTGGCTGGGGGCCGCGCGGGTCGGGTGGGGGCAACCCTCATCGGCGTTTGTGCAGAGACACCCGGGGGCGCACACACGGAGCCGCGCGGGCAGAGGACGACCTCTCCAGGCGCGGCCGCGGCCTACCTGCCCCGTAGACCACGGAGTACACCACCTTCTTGGTCTGCTCTCGGTCTTTGTGCGTCACACGGTCTGCGGGGATGTCCTTCCTGCGGGGAGCGGGGGACACACTGTCACACATGTCGCGCCCGTCTGCCGAGCGGCCACCAGAGTCCAACCACGCGCACCACCAGCCCCGCGTGGCTCTTTCTCTGGTTCTTAACCGTTTCAAAGTCAGCCTGTCGTACGGGTGGGGAGACGCCCACTTCTGCGGCATCCGACCCCCCGCACGGTCCCTCCACGGGTGCTGGCCAGGGGGCCGGAGCGGCTGCAAGCAGGCCGAGACGCGGAACGCCCACAAAGCAGACCCGAGCGCGCGCTCCGCAAGGAGCGCCTGCCGCCGGAGGACGGCCTGCTCCCAGCGCGTGTCCTGTCTGCCTGCGGGCCTGGGCGAGCAGCCGGGCGGCTGCGCCCATCCTGGGGCTCAAACACTCAGAACAAGGGTCAGCGCACCGTCTGACCATCTGAGCGGTGGAAGGAACCAGTCCCCCGTGTGGGGGTTGGCTCTGGGCTGGTCCATGGGAGGCGCGTGCGGCCCTCACCCAGCCCGGCCAGCAGCCCCACCGGACAGCTCAGGGTCTTCTCCGGGTTTTCGAGCAGGGGAGCGGCCCCGGGCATGCACGGGATGGGGCTTTCCACACGCCCGGTGTCCTCGGGCCTCGGCCTGCTGCTGTCTCCCACAGAACCTCTCCGGGCCGCTCCCCAAGCTTTCGGGCCCTGTGGCTTGCAGGACGTTTGCCTTACAGAGTTCTCAGCAACGCCAACCCCCTCCCGGGCCCCAGATGAGTCCTCAGTCAGGGGCCCACCCATGTCAGCCCCTCAGGCCCCCGGGCCGGTCACAACCTGCAGACACAATTCTTTGCGAGCAGGAGGACCTGCTCCCCCGGAGCCGGGGCCAGGGGCCGCACCGGGCGCCAGGCTGCGCAGCCGGAGGGGCGGGCCCAGCGAAAGCACCACAGCCCTCCCACTGTTCCGAGGGGCCCTTTTCTTTTTTTACATTTTATTTATTGATTTTAGACAGGAAGGGAGAGAGAGAAACATGGATTTGCTGTTCCACTTATTAATGTATTGATTAGTTGATTCTTTAAAAAAAAACAAACCCCAGAAAACCTCATTTTTTGAGAGAGGGGAAGGGCAAGAAAGGGAGAGAGACATGAGTTACCTCTCATATGCTCCCCAACCCGGGACTGAACCCGCAGCTCAGGCATGTGCCCTAACTGGGAACTGAACCTGCGACACTTCCGTCTACAGGACGACGCCCCGCCAACTGAGCCACACCAGCCGGGACCCCTGAATGAGTCTCGTGCGGGCCCTGGCCGGGGTCAGACCCGCCGTCCTGGCGTAGGGGGATGAGCGGCCCGGCCGGGGCCCGAGCGGCCCTTTCTGGACTCAGCCTCTGCTTGGCTGTCAGCCGCTGCCTGTTCCTCAAACACTACGTCTTCATGGTGAAAAACCATGAACAGACCCCGGCGGGTGTGGCTCAGCTGGCTGGCATGTCACCCTGTAAACCGAAAGGTTGCCAGTTTGATCCCCAGTCAGGGTGCTGCCTCAGCTGCAGGTACGAGAGGCAACAGATGGATGTCTCTCCAAAAAAAAAAAAAAAAAAAAAAGGGAAAATGCCCTTGGGTTAGGATTTTGAAAAAATCTTTAAAAACCCACAAACAGGAGCCTCAAGAAAGAGCGAAGGGGTGTCCCCTGCAGCCGTGCAGGGTGCCGCCCACAGGCCCCAGCGGGCCTCCTGCCGGGCCCCCGTTGAACGTGGCAGGGGCTCCCTCCCTGCCCTCGCCCTCACCCCGGATTTCCCCAGGAAGTCTTGCAAGGTGCCCCGACGCCAGCATTGGTTGCTGTGTCCTGTGAGAATCATCTCAAAAGACTCCTGTCGTTCTGACAGGTCGCCTTGAAAATCTCTTGCCCAGGGAACGATGCCAAAGGTAGCAGGTCTGTACCCCGATCCGCGTCCACACCTGTAAGGCTGGCCGCTGCGCTGAAGAACCCCCTTCCTGTCCACACAGCCCCGGCTCCGCAGAAGCCCGGCTCCAGGCCCCGGGCACCCAGCAAGTCACTCGGGAGCCTGCCGCTGCGTTGGCGTCTCTGTTACCACGCACGGGTTCCCGGATGCGTGGGCCTGCTTTTGGAAGTTGTTTTTTCAACCACTGTGTTATTCCATTTTGCATCCACATGACGTTTCAGAACTGTGCCTTTAATAAGATACCTGAGAGTCTGGTAAGACTTGGGTTTCCTCCCTATTCCTCTTTAAACTTTTTCCATGATCAGCTGGATTCTTCTGCATCGTAAACAGCAGGTTAGCTTGTCTAGTTACTGAAAACTTCGATATATTCGGACAAGCACATTCTCTGCGTACACGTCAACAGGAGGAGGAGGGGCATCTTGACAGAGGGAGGTCTCCGACTGCCGTTTCTGCGTTTCTCTGCCTTTTCTCCATCTGGATCTCGCGCTCAGATATTTCGCTGTCAGTGAAAAGGGTGCTGTGCCTTTTTCACGGACTCTTTCTGCCTCCACTTGCCCTTCGGCCTGGCCTCGCCTCCCCGTCTTCCCCCAGGCCCTCGGTGTGAGTTTCCTTTCGCTGACGCCCGTGGCCTCCCAGCAGGGAGCCGCCACCTTCACGCGGGACGCTTTTGCTCCTGTCCCGGTCGGCAGGTGCCTTCGTGAGCAGCAGCACGGCAGCAGCGTATCTGCTCCTGAGTTTCCCAGGGCACATTGGGGGTCCCGCTGGGTGGCCACGGCCGGCTCGGGGGCTGAGTGTTCTCAGCCAGTGACGGCCCAGTGGGGTCCTGTGTTCAGACTGCATCGGAGAGAGATAAGGTGGAGGCAGCGGGGACGCCTGGGGGCAGTCTGCCCTGGGCGGTCAGGCACTGACCACAGCAGCGGGCGCAGGAGATTGCGGGGGAGGGAGCGCAAGTCGGCTGGAATGCAGTGCGGGAGGGAAGCCCTCTGCGGGCCTGCTGAGCTTGCGCAGTCAGGGCACAGCGGGGCACCCACTGCGAGAACGGGGACTGCTGGCCTGGAGCTCAGGACACAGGTGCCGCCGCCACCCCAAGGTCTCCCACACTGCAGTGCGGGGATACGCTCCTCCCAGCTGCTCTCACCTTCACACCAAGGTGCTCTGCACGGGAGGGCCTGGGGCCTTCGCCCCCCTGCCCCCCCGCCCCGCCCCCCGTGCCGGCCTCGCTCTCCACCGGCTCCGTCAGGACACAGTGGGCGGCGGCGCAGTCCCCTCCCTGACGTCCCCTCAGCGGGTTCCTGTGGCGCCGCCCTAAACCCTGCAGTGCCCCCTGTCCCGGGATGGCCCCGGGGGCCACCAGCTTCCCCTGGCTTAGGCCAACAGGGACACCGCTGACGGCGCAGTGGGGGGGGGAGAGGGGCCCGAGCGTCCCCGTGCCTCATGGGAGCTGCGACCTCCACGCCGCAGCTCCAGCCCCTGCTGGCCCTCCTGGCGCTCTGCCCCCCCCAGGGCCGGTCCTCCAGGCGCTGCCACTGCCGCAGGGCCCGCGGCCTCGCCTCCCCTCCTGGCGCTCTGCCCCCCCAGGGCCGGTCCTCCAGGCGCTGCCACTGCCGCAGGGCCCGCGGCCTCGCCTCCCCTCCTGTGGGCTCTGCCACGTCCCTGCAAACAGGCGCTGAGCTGGACGGAAAGTCCCCACGGAGGCTCCGGCTACAACTCCAAGCGCGGGAGTGAGGAAGAGGTTGGGCACCAACTCCCGGAAGCCCCAAGGGTTGGGGGCCCCGGCTCTAGAATCGAACCTTCTGCACACGGATCGTGGGGCTCACCCACAACTGTGCCTTCGTCTGAGTTTGTTTCTTATCAGAGGACTTGCCCCCCGCTGGCCACGGCAACCAGGGCACGGTCTAGCACTCTGCTGGCCCAGTCTGCCTACAGCCTCAGCGCGTTAGGATGTTGTCTGCCTCGCAAGTTATCACAGGTGACAATTTTGCCACATGTTACACCATTTGCCAAATGCTGCCTTCCAGCTTCCAGTAAACATCCCCTCACGGCCTGCCACCCAGCCCGGAAGCCACATGCGCTAGGATCCGTGAGAGCAGCCTCTTGCTTCTGGCCCCAGGCCCCGCAGATCTGGCAGCAGGCCAAGGGGTCCCGGCACACCGTCCCCCAGAGCCACTGCCCACAGCAAGCGCGGCTCCTCTCTCGTCCTCACGGCGTCCCGTCGTGCTGCTCCGCCTCTCGCCGCGCGGCAGGACGGAGCAGCCTCGCTCAGGTGGCCAGGCGTGCTGACAGAAGGGGTCCGGAGACATTGGTGCACTTCCGTGAAGCCTCAGCTTAAGAGTGACACATGTCACTTTTGCTGATATTTTATGAGCCAGAACAAGTCGCATGCCCACGTCTGACAGCTGCTGGGCAGGGAAGCACCACCTTCCCGGAGGGGGGTGGCCAGCAACACACTCTAACGTGATCGCCTTAAAGAGGACATCGCAGAGAAGTGTTAAGCAGAGAAAAACACATGTATTCTGCAGTGGAAAACTCTCAAGTTTCGGTCTGAAAATGTTGAGTTGCATGCACAGCTGTAAGGATTGCCTTTTTAATTTGCATTTTGAGAAGCTTTTAGGAAACCACCTCATCAGGCAGACGTGCCACGATCCCTGTAGAGAAAGCTGCACAGCAGCCTGGACGGCGAAGCGTCACTGTTCGCGCATGCGCGTTCCAGTCCCCTCCCCTTGGCTGCCAGGTGGCATCAGCGTTGAGCACACCATTCTCGTTATAGGCACAATGGCTGGACTTTTTCCGGACAGACCTCATATACAAGCTAATAAAATGCAGGAGCGACGAACAATAGCCAAGTAGACATGAATTTCTCAAGCTGGCTTTATGAGTGAGCAGCTGAACAGGAATCTGAAGAGAATTATTTTCTGCCTGATACTTTAAACCTTTTTCAAAAACCCGTTGCGCGTATTTGCGTGGGTCGCTTTCCGGGCCCCCTTTCCGTCCCACGGGTCCCGGTGTCCGCCCCTCCGTCAGCAGCACCGTGCTCTCGTGGTTCCTCCGTATTGAGTCTTAATGTCGGGTAGCGATTCCTCCCACCTTTTTCTTTGTCAAGATCATTGCAGCTCGTCTGGGCCTGCGCCTTTTCATGTAAATTTAGAAATAAGCTTGTCTATCCTAAAACTTGCTTGGGTTTTAATAGAGGTTCCATTAAATCCGTGGATTGAGGGCAAACCGAGCCATTGATGACATCGAGCGTTCCATTCCACGAGCACAGGGCGCCTCTCCATTTGTTAGACCTTGGACTTCTTTCATCAGCACTTTGTAATTTTAGACACAGCGATCCTGTACTGATTGTGTTAACTGAATGCTTAGGCATTTCCTTATCTTTGGAGTGACTGTAAATGGTATTGCTTTTTAAATTTCAGTTTCTGCATGTTGTCATTTTACAGAAATGCTTGATTTTTGTGGTGATACTGTGTCTCATGACCTTGCTGAACTTATTGGTTCTAGAAGTTAATATTTTTCTTGTATATTAATTGGGTTTTCTATATAGACAATCATGTCATTTGCAAATAAAAAGTTTTATTTCATCCATTCTAATCTGTATATGATTTGTTTCTTTTTCTTGCCTTAGTCAATGGCTAGAACATCAGGATTCAATGTTAGTAAGTTGTTCCTGATCTTAGGGGGAAACCAGTCAGCCTTTCACAATTAAATATGCTGTTAGCTGTAGGGTTTTTTTGTAGATGTTGCTTATCCAGTTGTGGTTGTTCCTCTCTCTAACTTCCAGAGAATTGTGAACATAAACGGTCACTGAATTTTGTCAAATGCTTTGTCTGGGTCAACGGATATAGTCGCATTATTTTTATTCTTTAGCTTGATCATGTGGCGGGTTACACTGATTTTCAAACATGTAACCAGGCTCGCACACTTGGAACAAGTCCCACTTGGACCCACAGTGTACTTACTTTTAGACATTGTTGGATTTGGTGTGCTAGCATTTTGTTGAGGGCTTTGCATCCAAGTTCTGAGTGATATGGGTCTGGAGTGAGGTTTGTTTTATTTAATTTTACTCTCTTTGTTTGGTTTAGGTATCAGGGTAGTACTGGTTTCACAGACAAATTGAGATCTTTCCTCATTTTTAACCTGACCATTCAGTGCTATACATTTCCCTCTTGGCACTGCTTTGTATGCATCCTTTGCCTCATACTTTGACAAAATGTTTTGCTGTAATACTTGGTTAGCAATAGCTGATGTGGCTTTGGGCCCACTGAACAAAGGACATGCTCGGTCATCTCCACAAACACTTATCTTGAGCTATAGACAGAGCCTCTCACACCCTCTGCGGGAGGGTATCCAGGGCACTGTCCCATCGAAGCACTGAGACGGCAACAGAGCTCACGGCGAACCCAGTAAGCATTCTGCCAAGGCAGGGGCCGTCTCCTAGGGCTCCACGCCTGTGGATATAGGGCAGGAGTGTGAGTAGCTTGATTACATGCCTTTAGAGTTCTATACTGTCTTATATCCTAACTGGAGGGGAATTGAAACAGAAGGACATCTTCTTGGAGGAAGTGCAGAAAAAGCTGAGGGGAGAAAAACACCAGAGGGTGCACTTTTGCTCCAGGCGTAACAAGAGAAAAAGAGACCAAGATAAAGAATACGCGGTGAACACAGGAGAAGATGCTGAACACTGGTAGGCGTCAGGGAGATGCAAATCCAAACCCCAGGGAGATGTCACGCCACACCTACTGGGGTGGCGAGAGCTGGAAAGGCAGACATTAAAGAGTGTCGAGCGCGTGGGTGAACCCATGCACTATTTGTGGGAGCATGAAACGGTGTGGCTATTTTGGAAACTAGTTTGACAGTTCCACAAAAAAATAAAATATAGTTGCCACTGTGTTGTACATTTTAAAATGGTTAAGATGGTAATTTTTTTTTAATTCATTGATTTTAAAGAGAGAGGGAGAGGGAGAAAAGGAAAGATTGTGAGAGAGAGAGAGAGAGAAACATCGATCTGTTGTTCCACCCATTCACACATTTACTGGTTGTCTCCTGACCCGAGACCAAACCCGTAACCCTGGTGCATCAGGATGATGCTCCAACCCACTGAGCTACCTGGCCTGGGCTACAATGGTTAATTTTATGTCATGCTATCTTACCACAATAAAAACCCCCAGAATTACTATATGACCCAGCAATGCCACTCCTTGGTACTTATCCAAGTGAAATGAAAACCTATGTCCACACAAAAACTTGCACATAAATGTTCATAGCAGTATTATTCATGAAAGCCAAACGGTGGAAAGGACCCAAATATCCATAAACTGATGAATGGGTAAACAAATGAAGTGCTAGTTGCTTTTGTACACTGAAATTTATAGACTACATTGCTCCATCTATTGGAATGTTATTCAGCCATAAAAAGGAGTGAAGTACTGATAAATGGAACAACATGGCTGACCCTTGAAAACGTTACGCTCAGTGAAAGAAGCCAGACACCAAAAGTCACATATTGTATCATTCCATTAATAGGAAATGTCTGGAGCCGACAAATTCAGAGAGACGGGAAGCAGGTTAGCGGTCTCCATGGGGCAGGGAAGAATCGGCGTGGGGCTGCTCTTCGGGGTGATGGAATGTTCTGGAATTAGAGAGCGGTGATGGCTGCCAACCTTGTGAATGCACTGACCACCACTGAGCAGAGGAGGGACGAGCCTCATGGACACTCGGGGAAAGCTTCCCAAGCCCTCGGGAGGGAAAGGCCTGGTCACGTGTGGGCCTGGACCAGACTAGTGGCTGGAGGGGGTGGGAGGCAGCGAGGGGCAGGGGCCGGCACCGGCACTGAGCCAAGGGAGGTGGCCCTGCCCTCAGAAGGCTCACACGCCTTCATAAAAGACACTAATGGTGACCCCGAGGTGAGCGTCCAAGGAGGGAAGGGCAGGGGTGGAGGGCGCAGAGGAGCCGCCCTCGTGGAGCGTGGTCTCTGGCGTCACTCCTGCAGGGGATCAGGGTGACAACACAGGCGGCTGGGATGGTGAGGCGGTCCAGAGGAGGGAGCGGTACCAGGGAAGAGGCTGAGGGGAGGAGAGGGCGGTAGTTGCAGCGGCTGCAAGAGCAGTGACCTTCCCAGCAGCCGGCCCACTGTGGCTGCTCTGCTTCCTCGCAGCCAAGTCTGACTTTGCTCCAGGCAGTGATGTGCCTGGCTTTGGTGAGAAATTATGACTGTGCCACTCTCTTCCAGAGCATTCCCTTTGCCAGCCTCTCTTGCAGCTATGCCAGCTGACACCCTGGGTCTGCAAAGTGAGCTGTAGCAGTCAGTCGTGTGCAGCAGGCTCTGGGGCAGGGCTTTTACCCTCCTGACCAAAGGGAAGAGGTGGGAGGAGAGCCTGCACCTTCCCTCTCCCTTCTGCCTTGGAGACAGGCGGCAGGGATTTCACCGCCAGGAGAAACCAGCATCCTAACGACACTGACACAGAAAGAAGGGCAGGTCTTGGGTGACACTGTTGCGTGCCCAATGACACCTGAGGCCGTCTGCCTCTGGGATTCTCTTGAGGGTAAGTCACCGTGGGCAGGACCGTCACATGCAGCCCAAAGTGCTCCGGGCCCATGCGGTGGGCGTGGGGCAGCAGGGTGACTGCCACCCTGGGCCCTGCGCTCCTCACGCAGCTGGCCATCTGGAGGGAACGCGTGACTTGCACTTTTAATTTTCCCAGCACTTGTTATTACACTCCTTAGCATAGACTTCCTTTCTAGTGGTGAAGCACCGTCGGTTTTCATATTTAGGAAACTCTTGGCATCCCAGTTATCTGCTCTTCATTTCAAAAAGATTAACCTCTGGAGAAAAATATTATTTCTTTCTTAAGAAAATAGCCTTGGAATAACTTCAGGCTTTTGAAATGCAGGCATTCCTGCAGATCTGATACTATTGTGAGCTCACATATCTTACCACTGTGCAGTCAGGGTAGAAAATACATCATCTCTTTCAGATTCCTGGAATAACTTCAAAAGCTCTGGGTCCCCCGATAAGTGTGCAAGAATGCGCAATTCAATCTGCGAAAAGTCTGTGAGAAAGAACTCCGCATTAATTCAGAATCTACCGACAATGTCCCTCCTTGTTGCCACCCGCACCCCAGGCCTGCTCCCCCTTCCCTCCACCTTGGCATCAGGGTCAACCCTCCGCCGCTCTGCCAGGGTCCTGGGTCAACAGGGCCACTGGCTGTCCCGTGTCTACAAGTCCAAGAGACCCCTCAGCCTTCCGTGAGGCCGGCAACGCCTCCGGGAGGGCGGGGGGGCAGATGGGCTGCATTCATCTCTCCATTCATGCTGAACACCAGCATTGCAGAAAGGCCCTACTGTGTGCCAGGCTGTGTGCTTGGGGGGTGCTGATGAACAGGCAACAGTCCTCTGTTCGCGGAGCCCCCACGCCGGGAGGGGCGGGGAGCGTGGCAGGTGAGACGCTGCACGGGGGGCGGGGGAGGACAGGCAGTGCCGCTGTGCTGGGGTCCACGTGCACTTCATGAAGACGATGCCGTCCGAGCAAAGGCACAGAGGAGGCCAAAGAGAGCGCAAGGCACCATCCGGGGGCGAGGCTTCCACGCAGGGCCGGGGGCTGGAGGACAGCAGAGCGGCCCGCACTGCCAGCCGGAGGGGCAGAGTGAGCGGGCCCTGGTGCGGGGGGATGTGTGATCTAGACAGGGCGAGGCGAGGGGCCCTGCGAGCCGGCCTGCACGTCCTCACTGTGCGTAAGAACACTTCGCCTTGCATAAACACCTGCCTTCGAGTTTATCTTAAAGAGTGAGTTTCAGTAAGAACCTTTGAACGAATTGATTTCAAACCAGTTTAATGGTATGAAGCGCCTCACGTGAACTACAGGGACACGCAGCGCCTCAGCCGCGGTTGGCCCGTACCTGCTGCCAGGAAGCTGTGGCCTTCAGCCGCGACGAACACAGTCCTCGGGGCGATGGTGAGGGTGTCCTCCTCCGTCCCTGAGGCGTGAGTGCAGGGCACGGGTGAGCGTGGCCATGAGCTCATCCATGGCCGTTTCTCATACAAAGTGATTTTAACATCGCCCTAAAGTCAAAGGAGTCTAGATTCCGGATACTTCTGAATTCATTTTTAGAAAGGTACACTTTTGCAAACATTTCCAGTAATTTTCAGACTTTAATGCAAGCCAGCTCGATAGTTGTCTCTCCACTATCGGGAGGTTGTCGGGGGGGACAGATGGGAGGAGGGGAGCTGCTGCCTCTGTGTAATTACCATCTACTGTCACTTGCAACCTGCTGGAGGGGAGGGGCCGTGCCTCCCCAGCTGTGCTTCCCCCCGCAGAGGGCAGCTCCTGGGAAGCACTGGAGGAGCCGCCGCGGACCCTTGCAGGCCTTTAAGAGATGCTGCCCGAGACGTCAGCAGAGTAGAAAGAAATGCATTACCTTTATAATTCTGAGGTGTGGTAATTTGAATTGGGTGCTTGGAGATTCCTTGGATATTCTGTTAATAATAAGAGAATATTATTATTCTCTTATATATAATAATATTATTATATATTTAATAATAATATTAAATATTATTTATATTTATATAATAATATAATATAATAATATTATTATTTAGCTTTAGCTAAAAGATCTACTTTGAAATTAATCTGCACACTTCAAGGTATTTGAAATCCATCCCATTTTATTAAACATTAACAATTTTATGCACAGCCACACTAACCCTTAAATACAACCCGCTAATGTTGAGGCGCAGTTTCGGTGGGCACGCTGCTGAGTGGGCTCAGCAAGCACGAGAGCAAGTCTTTGCGGTTCGGGCCTGCGACCCTATTGCAGTCACGCACATTCTTAACCGGCAGCCAACAGATCAGCCTAGTTAGCTGGAAAGTTCCTACGCAATATGCTAAACACAGACTTTGGTGAAGTTTTATTTTCATTTTTCTTTAACAACGTATTTGGAGTTGAACATTCCGGTCTCTCTCCCTGACCACCCCTCCCCTGGTGCTCTGGGCCCTGGGTGCCAGCCCCGTGGCTGATGGCAAATGTGTCTGTAGCCCCTGAAAACCCCTGGGCACTGTCTGTCCAGTGCCATCACAGGCTGGGGCGATAGCGGCAGGTCACAGCCCTGCGCCAAACGCGGGCTCTAGCCTGCATCCGCTGCTCGCACCCTGGGAACGTCTAATACGTCGGCCTCTTGGCCTCGGTGGTGCCTTGAGCAACGGCAGCCCCGTTGCCCAGTGGTGGGACTCCTTGGGTATTGGTTGGTCCTGTCTCCCTAGAGCTCGTCACACGCGCCGCCGTACAAACTGTGGAGCATCTCGGACAACACGCTGTGAGGCCCCGGTGGCCCTGGGCGGTGGCGGGCAGGCACAGTCACCCTCGCTCTCTAAGGTGAGGACACAGGGGCCTGGAGGTACAAGGCTAGTGGCTTTCCAGTTGTCTGTACATTAGAGTCCCATGAGACGTCAAAAAAATACTACTGCTCACACAGTAAGCCCGTAATAGAACAGAGATGAAAGAGGAAGAGGGCCAGTGCACTCGAGGACAGATCAATAGGAACCGTCCAACGCAAAGGAGACGAGAAACTATTGGGGGGAAATGAACAGAGCTCTGGGGACCTGTGGGGTTGTATCAAAAGGACAATATCACTGTGTTATTTGAGCCCCTGAAGGAGGGGAAAAAAGATATTTGTGCAGGGAAAAAAAAAAAATAATGGCTCGAATGTCCCCAAATTTAGTGACAGACATATATTTTAGATTCAAGAAACTGAAAAGCCTAAACAGGATAAATTAAAAGACAATCAGGCCTGGAAATGTCACACTCAAACTGCTAAAAACCAAAGGCTAGAACACAATTTTGAGAGCAGCCAGGGCGACGGCACAGCTGGTGCGGGGCGGCCCCACCGGAGCGGCGGGGACTGCGGTGGCGCGGCGGCCGGGGAACGGCCGGCTGGGCGGAACCGGCAGCCGCTCGGGGCTTCCTCCTGTGGGGGGCTCCGGGGTGGGGGCCCCAAGGACACCCCGCGGAGTGAACCTGAGGGGGCCCGGAGCCAGCCAGCACACCTGCTCTGGAGGCGGGGCCGCAGGGAAATGTCTCCAGAGTGAACGGAGAACTTCGGGTGTGAGGAGTGAACCAAAGGGTCGGCACCCACAGAAATGGAACGCACTGCATTGCATTCAAGTTCTCTGGGATATTTGTAACTGTTAAAAGCAAAAGTTATTATACTTTCTGGGGATGTTCACAGTGGATGTCAACTTACTTGATGTGATAAAGTCTAAAAATACGTTAAAATTGGTATGTATACTATAACTCCCATAGGAATCACTAAAAATATTATACAATGAGATTTAGCCCAAAAAATCTAATATATAAATTGAAATTCTAAAACTTATTCAATAATTCAAAGGAAGGCAGGGAAGAGGGAACAGAGGAACAAAAAGCAGAATGGACAAATGAAAAAATAAAATGGTAGACCCAAACCCAGCCGCATCAACAATGACCTGAAACTTAAATCCTCTAAACACACAAATTGAAAGGCAGACTTTGTTAGATTGTGCAAATATAAGATCCAACTATTTGTTGTCTAAAAGGAATCCACTTTAAATATGGTTTAGAGGGATTCAAAGCAAATTAGTGAAAAAAGAGACACCATGAAAACCCTGATTAGAAGAAACCCGGAGCGGCAATGTTAGGACGAGACAAAGGGGACTCCGGAAGAAGGGAACTCACCGCGTGTAGCGAGAGCAGTACGCAAGGACAGAAAGGTAAAGTTACAGAGGAAAGGTAATGACTCTACATGCGCAGACGTCGAACAGCAGAACCTAGGAACACGCATGGGGAGAGCAGAGGGAACTGTAACACACAGCAGACACAGCTGCGGTCGCCCTCAGAGACGGACACCCGCTGCCCGGGCGCCGGCCGGCGAGCGGCGGTGCCCCCGGCAGGGGCCGCGGAAGGTCGACAGCGCCGCCCCGCCCCCCACATACCGCCGCCCCGCCGCCCCGCCGCCCCGCCCGCGATTTGCAGGACGTGGCATCCGAAGGACTGGACACGCACGCTCTCAACTGAGCAGGGGCGCGGCTCAAGACAGGCCGCACCGCAGGCCGCACTGCACGCCCCGCGTGTCCTCTGACAGCAATGGACTTAACCTGCAAGCCAGTACCAGGGAGATACCTAGAAAATTCCCAAACAGCCGGACATCGAATAACACGCTGCCTAAGCCAGGAGTCAAGGTAAGATTCTCAAGGGAACTCAGGAAATGTATTGAATCAAATGCAAAAGAAAACACAGTATTGACGTGTACTGGACGTAGCCGAAGCAGCACTTAGAAAGGGAGAGAGTTCTCAAATCAAGGATCTCAGTGTCTAACGAGGGGAACGGAGAAGAAAAAAAAAAAAGGCAAATTAATTCCAATGCAAGTCACAGAAAAGTAAGTTAAAATGAATGAAATTCAAAACAGAAAAGCAACAGAAGTGAATCAATGGCACCCAAAACTGGTTCCTATAAAAGACTAACAAGCTGATTAACTTCTTCCTGTCCAGAAAAAAAAGTGCGAGCTGCTGCCCTTCTGCTCAGCCCCCCCTGGGCCCGGGCATCAGTGCCGGCCCCCCGGCCAGCTGCCCACGGCCCGGCCGCGCTGCTGAGGACGCAGCAGTAACAGGGAGGGCAGCCCCGTCTCCGTCGGCGGGGAAAGAAATGGGTGGCAGTGACCATCAGGAGGGCCACCGCTGGCCTTCAGGCGCGGGCTCCCCTGGTCCTGACCTGCATGTGGAGGCGCGGCAGCAGCAGCACTTTCCCAGGCTGCATGGGCATTGTCCCCAGGCTGCGGGGACAGCGGACACTACGCTGCCTGTGCAGGACACAGGTCCCCGGGGCAGCCGGGCCTGTGGCGTCGCCCCAGTGTTCCGCGCCTACGTCCCTTCCTAGCCACAGGAGCAACCCACAAAGAGCTGAATGAATGAAATGAAAAATAATTTTCATCACAACCCAGCAAAGACACATGATTTTTATCATTTCATGGACGAGAGAGCGGAGGTTCCCGGGTGTTGGGTAACTTGCCGGAGTCACACTGCTAGTACCCGGGCTGGGATTCGAGCGCCCGTCTGCCTAAAACCAGGGCTCCGTGGCCTCTACGGCTCCATCAGACAGCGCCAGCGCTTCCTGAAACCACTTCTTAAGAACACGTGGGAAAGAGAAACAAGTAAAACCCGCAGCACCAGAAACGTAGGAAGGACCGCCGGTGCAGGGCACAGAGCAGGGGCCGCACGGACCCTCCCCATGCTGGCAGCTGCCGCGCACTTGCTGCTCGGAGCCCGAGGGCAGCGTGCGCCTCGGCCCTGCGTGCTGCTGGGGTCCCGTGGGGGCCCCTCCGCTGGCATCTGCGGGGCCGGCTCCCTCACCCCCCTGAAGCTCTTGTTTGGTGGTCGCCTCCTCCATCAGTCCCTGCCCCCGACTCCATGTTTTCCACACTTCAACATGACTTCCTCAGTATGTTTGTGGTCTCCCCACTGTCCTCGCCCCCCACCGCGCCCCCAGAGGGCAGAGGTTTTGACCCTTTCAGCGTGACACCTTGAACAGCCAGGCACACAGGCAGTGCTAGCAGGTGTCTGCTGAATGGACGAATGAAGGAAGGAGAGGGCAGGGGTGGGGACTGGGGCTGGAGAAGGCGGCAGGCAGAAGGGGAGGCCGGCTGAGGGCGGGGCGTGGGAGGTGCGTCCTCCTACGTCCTGGAAGCTGCACGGAGGGACACATCCATCCCCATGGAGAGAAGATAAAAGGAAACCATGGAGAGAAGCAAAGAAAAGGGCAGTATCCATAATATGTAAAGAACTTTGGCAGATTAATAAAAGGCAAACCACTAAACTGAAAACAGACTAAGAAGATAAACAGGGAAGCCACTGAAGAAACCCAAACGACCAATACAGATGAAAATATACTTACCCTCCTCAGTAATTAAAGAAATGCCGATTAAACCGCAGTAAGATAGGAATTCACACTCATGGAACTGGCAAAAAGCAGTGAGTCCCGGCGCGGCAGAGCGTGCAGAGCGGCCAGAGCCCGGGCGTGTGCAGGTAGAAAGGGAGCGCGTCCCCCTCCGGAGGGTGACGTCGGGGAGGCGGAGCACCCGCACGCCCACGGCCAGGCCACGCTGGGGGCCCGCTAGAGAGACCTGTACCCGCCCCCACGTACCCACCGCGGCACTGCTTTTCCTTGCAGCCTTGTTTCTAACAGAGACGGGTGAGAAACCGCCCGGCATCTTCCACCGTGAGATGCTACGCAGTCGCCAAGGGGCACGGACCGGAGCCGCTTCTGTCCGCGCGGGGCATCTCCACACCTGAGGCCGCATGAAAACAGCAAGCCGCGTGGCGAAGCACAACACGGCACCACGGACGGAAAGTCGGAAAATAGTATAAAATCCCACCTATTATATAAGGAAACGTGTTAAAATGGATGATAAACACGAAGTTTGCGGTAAAGGGGGAAGCAGTTTGAGAA